TGCTATTCGCCGTGTAGTATGTGCATAATGTATATATACATAAATATATATCTTTATATTCGAGAATTTGAGTCTCTAGATTCTAGATTTGTCATCCCCAAAAGGCACCACAACCAGGGTCCATGGGGGGGGTGCATGTATACTTATATGTATGCATGTAGATAATTTTGTACACATGCATATCTATAATATATGCATATTTAGACACAACCAGATGGCCGACGCGGAAGAAAGCAACGGACTGCGATGAAAGCTGCGCTCAGGCTGTAACTGCCATGGCTGAGAGGAAGTACGACCGCATGTGCAGCCGCGGCGACGCGTGGACCTCAAGATTTTTTTTTGGGAACCTTTGCTGCCAGTATTGCGCCGAGGCCTTGAACAAACAACTCACCCCAAAGAGCAGACAACTGCTCTTCTTTGGTTTCATTTGGTGGGTTCCCTTTGGTTTCCTTTGGTCTGCTTTAGGCTGCTTTGGTTTGCTTTGCTTTGGCTTGGTTTCGACTCGAGTTTCCCTGCGGTTTCTTTGGTTTCCTTGTCCCGTTGAACATGACCAAGCTCAAATTTGCCCTTACCAGACAAGATCTTGATGGGTGTTTCTCAAAATTGGTGCCCCCTTTTCGGGGTGGTTTCCTTTTGGTTTCCCTTTAAAAAAACCATCCGTGTAAAGGGGTCCATTTCCGATTTTGACACCCCCTATGAAACTCGGCAGTCGCTTGGAACTCTCGATGGAGACTTCTTGGGCGGTACCCGAAGCCGACAGCTCGCCTTCCCTTGAGAATTGCTTAACACTTCCAGTCAGCGATGGGAGGGCCCTCCCACTTTTTGGGCTCAAAAAGTGGGAGGGCCCTATCGTTGCTTCTCAGATAGGCCGATCGCTGGAACTGGGGCCAAGAACGTCTCGCCCTCCTTTTTTGGGCAAGGTGAGCGTCCTTTGTGGACCATTGGGAACGCACGTGGAACCGTTTCACCAGTTTGAGTTTCACCAGGTCTTCCAAAAAAAAAAAGCGACTTGGGCCGTAGGAGTTTGGCGCGTCCTTCGGTTTCCCTCCACCTTGCTTAACGAGGGTGAAGCCCGGAAGCTGAAAGAGCGAGCCAGGGCAAGCCGCGGGGTTTTGGGTCTTTGTTTCCATTTGGCGGGTCAGAAAGAGCTGCTAACCCCAAAATGGGCAACCCCCCTGATGGAAACATGGACGATTTAACCGGTCCCATTCCTGGTGGTTGAATTTCGACCCATACCCATATACTCATCGATGAGTGTGTCTCTTTTCTTTGTATTCCAGGTGGACAAACCTGTATGTATATATATATATATACAATATGTTGACCCCGGATTAAGAAACCCTGTTTCCCAACAACAACATTTCCCATTTCCCACGCCATTTTTGGTGTTGCTGAGCAGCCGGCTGGCGTCCGTTCTTTTTTGTTTGACCTGGCTGGGATAGGTTTCAAAGGGACACATCTGGGAAAAGCCACCGGTTTCGAAGATTGTTGTATTTGAGACCAACCCAAATCCGGTGTGGAAAGAAGGGACCTGTTTTTTTTTGGGGGGATCCTGTTTTTAGACAACAAGTGTGGGTCAAAAATAGGTACCCAAAACGAAACCCTGCAAAAGGAAAGGATTAAAACCTGCGGTCCAATTCCTGGTATCATTTTGACCCATATGGCTGTTGGGATCCTATTTAAAGACCAGAAAAAGCAAGAAGACAAAAACAGGAAGAAACAAAAAATCAACCACCTGTAGGTGGAAAACCCCCGGCTACGGTTTCCCCCCGATTTCTCCCTTCGGCCCCCGATTTCTCCCACGGCGTCTCCGTCTCTTTCGGCGCCTCACGCGGTCGAAGGAGAGGGCGGGCAAGCGCCTCGCGGCGCGGCAAGAGCAGCTGCTGGCCATGCCCGGGGTCCCACAGCTGGGTTTTGGTGCGAGGCGCCCGTCTAAAGCCGTTGCTTTCTCGGCTTTCCTTTTGGCTTTCCAAAAACAAGAGCAAAAAAGGGGTACCCTCAAATCCTTTTGGTTTCCCGCCAAAAACAAAACAAGCCAAAAAAAGGGGGACCCTCAAAAAGGACGGCTGGAATGGGGTATTTTGATTGGGGGTCATGGACTTCAACCCTGCGTCATGAACCAGTGGGCTTAAAGGCTGGGGTCAAAAAGTAGGTCCCCCAGCAGTTCTTCTCGAACCTCCCCGGAACACCTCCAAACCAATCCGAGCCAATTGAGGGGAACCTGATACCAACAGCAAGACCGAAATTCAGCTTGCTGGTTCTCAGTACTAGTGCCCTTTCTTTAACCCAACTTTTTTGGTTGGGAGGGTTTCAGATAAAATAGTACCGAAGAAAATCGGGTACCCTTGTTTTCTATCTGGAGGACCTAGCGATGGTTTGGTTTTTAGGGGACCCTCTCAGTTTCCTGTGGAGAAACTCAGCAGCTTTGCTCTCTTCAATGGGGATTTGGTTGGTCAGAAAAGGTGGTCCTTTTGATCGCTTGGTTTGGTTTGAAAGATGGGCTCCGCTGGTTTAGATTCATTGTAGTCCGTGCGGCAATCGTTTTGGGACTTGGTTTAGTACTGCGCTTCCGAGCCATTTTGCCATTTAAAGCAGGGTTGTGGGAAATGACCACTTCTGTGATACAACAAAAAGGGCTTCCCAAAGACTAGCACAAGTGGGAATAAACCCCTTGATTCCACAACCCTGCTTTAAAGGAACATCTCCCAAAGTGGAAAGCTTTCTCGTTTATCTGGGCAGAGACCCCATGGGCTTTTATCTGTTGGGGAATGAAGGAAAATCAAAAGGGCCTTGATGGCTAGACGTTGCGGAAAAACACATTTTCTGGGAAAAGGGCCTTACAGCCAACAGCTAAAAGCTATGGGATCTAGCTGGGGGTGGGGGAATGTGGGTCTGCATGGTTAGGATTGGGTGTGGCTCAAAATTAAAGAGCTAGGTTACGCATGCTGTAGTGTTTGTTTCCATACACCAAGGTGTCATTTTGGTGCATGTTTCTGAGCCACAGCCAATTGAGTGCTGGGAAAAAAAAACTTCTTAAAACAAACTCTGTGGGCTTTTTCCCTTACAGGAGTCACTGGACTCCCCTCCAAAAGTTGATCCATGTCCTGGTGGCTTGGGCCAGCAGGCTCCGGCATTCGGGGAGGGCTCCGGAGGGTTCCGGGGATGTCGGGGATACTACCTGGGCTGATGGTGCGACTTGGAAGGAAAGCAAAAGACACGAAGGATCCATGCAAGGAAAACCGGTTTGTTGATGTTACGCGCATGAAATTTGATGCTTGGACCCTCTCCCAAACGGTTGGTGAACCTCCAGTTGGTCAACTTTTTCGATGTTACACTTTTTCAGGCTGAATTTGTTGGGGTCACGCTCCCTTTTGACTCATACCCATTTCGAGTTGTTTTGAGTCGACGCCACTCCTGAGTGGAGTGTTTTTTGTCCCCGGTTTTCCCACTTGTTGGTTTGTTACACTTGCTGTTTTTTTCTTCTTCTTTTTTTCTTCTTCTCCCTTTTTCTTGTTTAAAGAAGACAAAGCAAGTCACAAAAACAAAACAAACGAAAACCGGCTGTGCGGCCCTTGGTTGGAAACCGCCCACCAGGGTATTTTCTTTTGATTTCCTTTTCGACCTTGGGCTTGAAGGGCCACCCCAATGTGTTTTGCCTTCAAAGCCATGGCCTTTTGATGACGGGGGAAGACTTGGGGCGGAACTGGTGGAACTCAGTTTTAGTCACGTTTTGGCTGTGGGTCAAGAATAGTGGCTAGCCCTGGTAAATGGAAACAAGGACTAAAACCTGTGGTCCAATTTCTGGTGGTGTAATTTTGACTCATACGCGTTTGGAGACATGAACTGTACTTTTCCGCAGCTCATGGAAAGGTTTGGGCGAATGATCGTGATGTTCGACTGTTAAATTTCACGTTTCGTCACTCTCTATCAGGGCTATAGGTGGGGGTATGTCACTATGTCCACTTTGATTGCTGCTAAATTTGACGTTTCCCCCTCTCTGGGGAATGTCTATTAATTTTCTTGACTACCATTTCACGTTTCCCCTCGTCACTTGGTGGGGTATGTCGCTATGTCGATTTGGGGAATGTAAGTTGGCCCACCTTCGCCACCGAGCGCTTCGCTCCGAGGAACGACATGATCGAAGAGGCCATCCTCGAGATCGAAACCGACCGGGCGCTCCACTCGGCGTGCAGCTCAGAACTTCGCTGCGGAACGCCCGCGGGGTGTGGCGCTTCCAAGAGATGGGTGGCTCGTCTTTCTGGTCTTTCTTGAGGAATCGGACCCCCAGCACAAGTGGTTTTCCGGTTGGTTTTCCTTGAAAGCCGCAAACGAAGGTTTTCCTCACAAAAACACACACCCACAGGAAGTGGACACACCCCTTCTGGAAGACAATTCTCCTCTCCCCCGGGTTAAACGCAACTGTTTGACAGCCTCGGACTTTACATTGTCAGAAGTCACAGAGTAAACCCGGAGCCTTTTGCCCTGTCTCCGAAAAAGGGGGCAGGCAACCAACTCCTTCATTTTTTTTTGGGGGGGGAGGGGGGCGGGGTACAATATGTGGATGTTCTCAAAATAGTTCTTGCCACAGTACAACTTGGCTTTAACAGGCCTGAATTTTGAGACACACCCAGACAAGCCTTTTGATTTGGGTTTCCGTTCTCATCCCAGGTTTTATATGAGATTTGGCGTTTTTCAATAGGTTCTACCATGGTGCCATGCATGCGGTATGCAGGCTTAGGGAGGAACTTGCTGGAAGTTTCGATACAATGTGCAATTGAATGCAGAACAAATGCATCAGCAAGGCGCTATGAAGAAGAAGAAGAAGAAGAAGAAGAAGAAGAAGAGGAAGAAGAAGAAGAAGAAGAAGAAGAAGAAGAAGAAGCTGTAGCCTTGTAAGCAAAGAGAAGGCCGAAATCGGCAGCCGTACAGGTTCCTCCAAGGCTTCTTTCTCCAAGCAGTGTGCTGACCGATGCAATGTTTTCGCTCTTTGGGATGCTAGTGACATGATTTCCCCGTGCAAGCCATCGGACCCACTTCGAGTAATTGGAAGCCGCTGCTTTGGCCCCTTGGCACTTCTTTGATTTAGGGTTGGAAAGGGAAATCGCAAAGATTCAAAACAAAAAAACACCTCCAATTTCCCCAAGGAAGCTCACCCAAAATTGGTGCCCAAATGCAATGAGAGGTTTTCACTGGTAAGCTACATTTGGGGTGTCTCCAGCGATTTGCTTCGGTTCCAACCCATTGGCATCGTGCCTTGCTTGGTATGTGGATTTCCAACATGTTGTCGTTTTCCTTCTTGCTTCCCTTTGCATCAACCAACGGGTGTACCTTCTGCCTCAAGACCTCACTCCGGGCTCAACTTTTCGCCGCCCCACGTCTCTCAGGACTTGAAGCCCTCGGAACGCGAGGCGGGGCCGAGGATCAGAGAAAAGACCAGGGGGTGTGTTCGGTTGCTCGGGCCATGGGTTCGGTTTCTAGGACCCCGAAATGGTGCGGGGGTTGGTGTGTGCATGGTGGGGTTCTTGGGATCATGTGGGCATGAAATTCTAATTGGGGACCCTCTGGTGGGTTGTTGGGGCAAAAAAATTGGTTTGATGTCCAGCAAGGGAACATTCCAAACAAGGCCCCTCTGACATGAAAGGTTCTGTTTGATGTCCACCAGCTCAGGAATTCAACGGGACCCGAAATGGGGGACATCAAACTTCGGTGGGGTTTGATGTCCACCAACCACTTTCCAGGTGGTTCCTGATTTAAATTCATGGTCATATGTCTGTTTTCCCTCGGTTGCATCGGTTTTAAAGGGAATCTATCACTGAACAGGGTCTCGGGGTCTCGGGTTGGAAACCAAAAGTTGATCGCCTTGTATTTTCCATTTGTTTAAGAATGTGCTTGAGAATGTTTTTTATCTTCCCTTGGCTTTCATTTGCTGAAAGGAATATGTTTGTAATGGGCCTGTCTCTTTTTGGGAGTTGTCCCCTCTTCTTGGTTGATGGGTTTTAAATGGGAACCAAAAGGAAGCATGCGTGGGGGTTTGAAAAGGAATCCATCACTACTGGACATACTTTTTCCAGGAGGCTTAAGCAAATGGAGGTACGGGTCTGTCTTTTCGAGGGTACCCCTTGGTAGTCGGTTTGAAAGAGACACCAAAAGGAGCACCATCATGTTTTTTGCGGGGGCGTCCGGTTCCCGAGCCATTTCCCTTTGAAACGGAACCTCCAAATTGCTAACGGGAAAATCCAGCGGCCCTTTTACGAGCCATTCTTCTGGTGGTCTAAATCGGATCAAGAGGCAAAGAGTTCTTCTTGGGAAGTGAAGGAGAGAAGACCAAGGGGATTGATTGTTGGAAAGGGAAAACCCCAGCACGGTGCCCTGTAGAAGGCACAAACATCCGGTAGATGTGGGTGCAAGGGACCAAATCAACATGGGGGCAAAGTGTCTACTTGGGGTCTTCAAGCATAGTGTCAGAAGGGTGTTTCTGAAAGAGGCACTCTCCCACTTTTTTAAGATGGCTTAAGGTAGAGCACCATCAGATTGCATCATGCAAGAGTGGTGCCCTATTTGAGGAAACCCCTACAACCGGTTCTCAGCATTGCCAGACCCGGTGACCTGTTTGGGCCCTTTGCTTTTTTGGGGTTTCCTCCAGTTTCCCTTTTGCAGGGCTAAAGAAGGTGGGTCGGTTCAGCAAGCGCGTTCAAAGCTCCCGTGACAGCGAGGGCAACTCAGAATTGGCCAGGAATGGCCTTACTCCATGGGAAGAAGACGCACAGTCCAGAGCGTCTTGCGAGCGCTCTCAACCCTTACTTCGAACATGAAACCCACCGAAACACAAGTAGCTTTGAGACTTGCTGGTGCGATCTCGGTAGGGAATGACCGAGTCCGGGTGTTGGGAATGAACCGGAAGGGGATTTCCGAATAAAGGAACCCGTCGGATGGATGGTTTTTGTTCTCGGGTGCATTCCAACTCATTCCCTGCCCATCGAAGCGATCGCAAGGAGAGTCCCCTAGAATGACTCAAGCGGCAGCTCACCAGGTTTTGTCGTGGAAAACTTATGTGTCCACCTCGGGCGCTGCCAAAAACATGTGCTTTTCCCCCATGACTTGAATTTGAATTTTAATGGCGGACACCAACCCCAACACCCAAAGGGTATCCAGCCTCAACTGGAGCTTCGGTGGCCGTCGCAGGTCCTGGGCGCCTTTGTGGTCTTCTGGTGCGAGCGCACCCGGGATGCCGTGCTGGGGCAGTATGGCTGGTCTCGCCTGGGCCCCAAGTTTTCCCACGACTTTTCGCTCGCGGGGAGGAGGGAGGAGGGGGAAGGGGCGGGGAGGGGGGGCCACTTGGCGTCTATCTTGCGACCACCTGTTGTAGGGGGATGAATGGTAGTTTTTTTTTTTTTTTTTTTTTCTCCCCGGGTATTGGCGTTTTAGGGAACTTGTTTTTATTGGGTGCTTTTTGTGGATGGTCCTTGGTGTTTGGAGCGGGGCAATTGACAGTCTGACATTGGCTTGCTGACCACCTTGATGACCTATCTTTGTTTTTTGCACCAATGCAATTTGCGTTTGGCAATTAAATAGGGTTTGGCGGTTTAGCTTGTGATTTATGCAGGCTTGTCTCAAAAACGGGAGGTGAGGGTGGGGGGGGGGTGGGGTGGGGGGGGGGTAATTTAGCATGGTTCTGGGGTTGAGTGCACCAACTGGTTGGCTTACGTGCAAAACGTGGTATGGGTGCGTGTGTTATAATAAGAAGCTGTTTACCTTTAGATTCTCTTTTATTGCCACCCAAGGGTACCCTCAAAATGGTTTACTTGCCACATGTGAGTTTGTCTCCAAACAGGGAAGACATACCCAGCATGTGTATGTCTTTGTTTAGGAATCGCACCCCCTCCCCCGCCCCCCAAAATGGCGCAACGGTTTTTCTCTTGGTTTCCCGTTAACCCCGAAAACATGACAAACCCCACATGCCGTGCCGGGTTTTCCTCAGCCCCCCCCAAAAACTGGGCTGTTCAAAGGCAATCCGCAAGAGCCTTGGGTTGCGCAAGGAACAGGTCCCCTTTGTGGCCGTCCAAGAACAAATCAGGATTGGGCCAAGCCTTTGTTTTCAACAGCCCAGGAAAAAAAAACCAAACAAGAAAAACAACTTTTGCCCTTCAAACCAGGGGAGCGGCCTCCAAAAACGACAAAGAGCCACCTGCCGGGTGTTCCGAGAGCCCCAAGGAAAGGCGCCTTGCCTCCCAAGCACCCAGCACCGACGCCCACGGAAGGCTCTTTTGGCGGAGGTTAGAAGGCCGACGCGCGCCAAAACGACTCATCATGGGGGGGGAGGGAGGGGAGGGGGAGGGAGCCCAAATCAGCCTGTATGAAGCCCTGAACAAGGCCTAAAAACAAGAAGAGCTTCGCTGTGCCTTTTGCCATTTGGCCACCCCCAAGCTTTTTCAAGGTCGCGCACTGAGTGCTCAGAGACCCGGCTTCCTTCGTTCGTTCTTTTTTGGGGCGCCCTCCTTCCCCGCCCCCACCTCAGGTTCCTGGTGCTGCCGCGCCTGCTGCCAGCCCCGGCGCCTCCGCCCGGCTCTCGGTAGCGATGGGTGCGAGTCGGTAGAGGTGAAATGGAACTTCTGGGTGAATTATAAGGACCTCGCACGACCGAATTCACCCCAAATGGTGGTTTATGGGGGGAACAGCCCAACCACCGCAAGTTTCAGGCTGGTGAAAAGAACAAGTCACCCAGATGCAACGACCTTTGGTCCCTGAAGAAAGGAGACCACCAGAAAGGGAGGGTTTGTAAGGGTCATTCCATGTCTCATTGCCGGTTGAGCATCAGCAAGTTAAACCTTCTTTTGGGTTCCTGCTAGATGCTCTCGGGCACTTTAGAGCCAACTTAGCACTTTAGAGCCAACTTAAGTCGCGATCATCACATCTTCACTGTTGTTGCCATGTGTTTAGGCTTCCTTCTTGTTTTTCCGGCTCTGTTCAATTTTTAGTAGGTGGCTGCAAAGCGCAGATTCTTTTTTGCTACTATGCCAAGGATTGTAAAATTCAAAGTTGTTTGTTGGCATGTGTTTCGCAACTTTAAGACGACAGCAACCAATGCACCCTCACACAAGCCACGCCCATGTGCTTGGCAAGTCTTTGCGTATAGTTTCTTGCTTTTCCGGCCCTGCACATTTCGTGGGGACAGACAAGAGCAAGCTCAGCCTAGATATTCTCCTTCCTGGGAGCGAACCACAAGTCTCAATTCCTTTCGAAAGAATCCGCTCGGGGACTCCCCTGGCCACTAGGGGACTCCCCTATCCGCGTGGGACTTCAACTCGATGTTTCCGGGTGCGAGTGAGGTCTCAAGCTGCCTATGGATGCCCGGCCGCCCAGATACGACCCTATCCAGACCTTTATGGCGATTTGGTAGGATCTTTGGGCTTGCTTTTCACCCCCCCCTCAAAGCGCCGCGCCCTCAGTGCACTTGGCAAGCCTCTTTGGACTTCAACTTTGTGGGAAACGGTGATTTTTCATTGAACCCAGAAACAGTTAAACTTCTTGCAGGGCAACCAAGTGGCTATGTGCAGTTGGTTGGTTGCAAGGTTTGGCTTCAACCAGGCCTTGGCTGCCGTTTAACGGGGTTTCCCAAAGTGTTTTTTTTTTGGGGGTGCTACACCAAGTTGGGGTCGAAACCTGGAATCTTGCGAACAAGATTTCAATCCACTAATCAATCCACCAAGATGCAAAGGGCAGGGACCCCTTGGGCCCCCGCGGCTTTCAAAAAATCTCCCCCCGAGCTCAGGAGAGCGAGGGCAGCGACGGGCCCCCGGACGAGGAGGAGGTGGCCTTCCCTTTGATCGTGGAGCCGACCCAGGCGTCGAAGTCGCAGCCTAGTGGCACGGATCTCGGCGGAAGATTCGGCTGCGGCAACTCTCTAGTGCTAATGGGTTGGATCTTTAGACTGGAAAACTTTTTGGATTTTCTGCAGATTTCCCTTTACCCGGCAAAAAGTTGAACTTTTTGACGGGGGATCTACAGCACCCAAGAGCTTGTTCATTCTTTGGCGGTGGGTTATCAAGGTGGTCAGAAACTGGTTGGTGGTTTCCCTTAAACCTACTAGCTGGCGGTAAGGGAGCCGGTGAGGAGCTGGGGCTATCCATTCTTTTCGCCTAAAGAGGGAGCCTTGCGGAGCCGATCGGGGTTCTGTAAGGGCACGGTCGTTTTTCGGTCCCTGTGGGACTAAAAAAATGGCATCCACGGGTTTAGATGGGGATGCCGTCCGTGAAGAAGCAGGGAAATCCATCGATTTTTCCGGAAGGCCACCTATGTTTGGGTCTGGCAAAGAAGGAGAAGCGAACGTCCGGTTCAACCTCATTTTTTTGTTCCTTCTTCTCCAGGTTTTTAGTTGGTTTAGTGGTTGGGTTTCCGCATGAGCCACTAGATTTTAAGCTTTTGGCAGGGGACTTGATCACAGCCCAGCAAAAGGACGCCAAACACCTGGAATTGATCCAGAATTTTGAGAAACACCGTCAAAGAGGTCTCCCTAGTTTTGAGTTTACCCCAGAATGTGGTTGGGGGGGGGGGGTATTTTCAAAGAGAAAGGAGAAGCCCGCATTGTTTTGAGGTCCTTTTTTTAAAAGACACGTATTTGGGTTTCAGGAGGGGATGATCCCCCGCCAAAAAGCTTCAACCGGCCAAAAACTGCTTCAACCCGCAGGACCCGAGTCTGCAGCTTTGGCAGAACATGGACGTCAAGCCCATGATGCGGTCGCGCGGGCCCCAGGCGATCCAAGGCGATTCCGGCAATCTCTTTTTTGGAAGCGGCGGAAGCGGGTTTGGTTTGGAAGGCATTTCGGCGCCTCAAGGGTGCCTCAAGAGGCGTGGGCATTGGACATTTGAGGGGCGTGGGGTTCATTTTGGGAAACCAAGTAGCCGAATTCGAGTCCCAGTGTTTTGGCGACACCCTGCTTCGTGCTGTGGCTTTGCCTGCCGTATCCATCAAATTGATGTGTTTTTTTTAGGGCGCCCACAGCTGGTCTGAGCTATGGCGAAGGTATTTGGCAGGCCAGTTTCTTTTGTTTAATTGTTCCCCTTTCAGGTTTGCCGGGGGAGAACTCTCAGGTGTTGGCGCAGAAACATGCTATTTCCGTGTCCAGACTTTTTATTTTTTAAACCAACCACATATATATATATATATAACAAAAACTATAAGCACCAGGAATGAAGTTCCTAGGCCTGAGGCAGTTCTCAGTCAAGTAAACAACAATATAATATATACATATATATATATATATATATGTATAATATAAGGACTCAACATGACCCCAGAACCCCAAGCTCCCAAGTTTGGAGGACCCCGGGCCACGGAAGAGCAGGTGGACGAGCCCAGGGTCGAAGGGCGAAGTCTCAGGCTTTGGAGTGGCGCTCGAGGGCGCCAAATCATCTTGGAGTACCCCCTACTCAAAATACCCGCTTCTTCTTTTTTCCAGGGCATTTGTTTTTGAAAAGCGGCGGGTTTTCCATGGTACATATTTCCTTTTTGAGTAGAGGGTCCACATGATACCCCTAAAAAAAAGGGTATTTGGAGTAGGGGGTATGGCGGTCTATGTGTCGCAACACAAAGGCAAGGCGCCTGCAAACCCAAGTAGGAATCGCCAAAGGACATGATCTCCAGCTGTTGGGGACCCAAGTCCATATGCCACTTAACCCGGAGGCTCATGTTATTCTTGATTTACACCCTTCTTCCTATTTTGAAGATGTTTTCTTTTCCCCTGTTGGTTTTAATTGGATTCGATTTCACTGGACCTTTTTTTTTGGGGGGGGGCTCACGTATGGGTGCCCCTTTTGCTTTGGTCCCCCAGCCTTTCCGGTTTGCTCCAAAGACCCCACTACAAGAGGGGGAGGCCATAAGGTCCGTTTTTTTTTCTCCTTCCGTTGGGGGAATCGACCCCCAGAGCCCCTTGGGGTTTTCTGACCGGTGCGAAACTGCCAACTTGTTGCAGTCAACTCAGGGCGCGGAGCTTTGCCATGGGCATCGCCGGGGCCGCAGAGTGAGGTTGATGGCAAGAAGTCTCTTCGCCGCGAGGTGATTTGGGCCACGTCCTTTGACCGGGTGGGTGGGTGGGGGTGGGTGGGTGGGGGTGGGTGGGTGGGGGTGGGTGGGTGTGGGAGGGTGTGGGTGTGGGTGTTGGTGGGTGGGTGGGTAGGCCCAGTTTTCCCCAGAAGGCGAGCTATGGGGGTCAATAGCTCTGCCCAGAACTCGGGGCTCCTTCGGTGTGGTGTTTTTTTGTTTCAGGGGCAGCTTTCAGGGAGGGTTCCGGAGATGCGGTGGTTTGGTTCCGGGGTGGTCGGGGATACCTGGGCTTATGTTGTTATGTCCCGGACTCTCAGTGATCGGGGTGCCAAAGAGTGTGTCGCACTCAAGCTTTGGGACGCCTGCCTTTGTATGATGTATTATACGGATCTTTGGACTGGACCGCTTTTTGTTTGAGACGGGTCCCACAAGAAGTGAACCACTCCTTGCGGAGGGGTCGTTACAGTGGCCTCAAGACATGGAGATCAAAGAGGGAGGCGGCAATCGGAAGCCTCAAGTCTCCGCCCTCGAGAGAACGTGCCGATCGAAATGGTTGCCGGCGTTTTCCTTCATGAATTGTGCGTTTTCCATTGTTTCCCTTGGTTTTGTAGGTGATCGCAAGAAAACTGCTGCTTGTGTGTTCGTTGCAAGTTCGTAAGTGGTTGGCAACCTAAGTCATAACCCACTCGTAAGTCCCCCTAGGGGAGAGCCTCTTTTGTTACCGCAATTGGCGATCCGCGCTGGCTAACTTGGGTCTATTTGGGGGACGCCTGGATTGGTGAATTCACGACACCCAAATCAAACTCACGGCCATGGATCTTGCTGGGTTGAAATATTTGGACGATTCAGCGGTGAATCATGGACCTCCAAGTCTACCGGCAGAAAGAGTGGGGGTGGGGTTGTCTCTACGCCTCTCACTGCCGGAGTTCCTGGACTTGAGTCACTTTGGGTTGGGACCATTTCAGTGGAAAACAACAAGCTTGGACTTTTTTTTTGTGCCATCCAGCCCAAGGATAAGCCAAGGATAAGCCCGGATGACCCTCCATTGGTTTGTGCGGCGAAGTTGGGGCCCAGCTTTTCTCCAAGACAGCCAGGGCCCACTCTTCTGAACACCTTGGTTGAACCAACCAACACTTATTCCCCAAACCAACGACCCTCCACATGGGATCTGGCTTGTCTCCGGCCTAAGCCTTGTTTTTGTTTTCCCTAACGGGTGCCAAGACTCACAAAAAAAAATACACCTATGCTTTTGCCTCTCTGTTATTTTTGGTTCATGCAAAACACCCTCTTGCCCATGACAACTAGACACTGGGAACCTCGTGTTGTGTTCCCAGATGGTTGGTTTTTGCAGGTAAAGATAGGATCCACTTTGCAGACGCCATGAATACCTTGACTTGGGGATGGAAGAACATAGCCTTGGGCATGCAGATGTGTTGGGGTCTTTGGGCTCCGATCCACGGGCTGCTTATCCGAGCCTAATAGCTGGTGCTTGGTCCGGAGCTGGGGGGGTCCAAATGTGGTTTTGAGGAGGGAGCCTTGCGGAGCTAGGGATCTGAGTTCTGGTTGGGGTTATGGCAGTAAGACCTGGTCAACTGTTTGGACCTTTAAGAACTTTCAGATTTTCACGCTCGTTTTCTGTTTGGGAAACCCCACCAGTTAGTGCCACCACCACGTTCTCAACTCGTTGTTTGTATCAGTTGGACTCAGTTTGGGCCCAAACAAGCCAGCGTCAACCCGCCCTTCGCCGCCGCCCAGTGCCGCTGCGTGGTGTTCTTCTTCGTTTTTGTGGCCGGGGCCCGAGCCGAGCCCTGCGCGCAGTATCCCCGCCCGCAACTTGAACCTGGGTGAGGGGCGATCCCCGAATTTCCATTGCTCCCCACTTTCCCTTTTGTGCGGACCCGAAAAGGGAAGAAAACCAGGGCACCGGTTTGGCCGCACCGCCCCCCTCCCCTGACTCTTAAGAGGAGGGGGGGGATCTTGCAGAAACGGACCGAACCGTCGCCCTTCTCCGGAACAGCTTGCCCCGCAGAAAAAGAAAACTGCCCCGCGTTGGGAAGCACTCGGCTTCGGATCCGTGGAGGTTTTCTGAGTGGGTGGCACAACTTGGCTTCGAGCTGTACTCCTGCGGAGTAACTTGGGGGTGAACTTTTTCAGGGCTCCTTGAAAGAAATATTCAGTTTGCGACCAGTTGAAACATGTTGCCTTTTCAACGCCAAAATAAAGGGAAACCATTTGTTACAAGGCAATGTTCAGGTGTATGATTTTTTTTTTTTTTTTTTTTTTTTTTTTAAATAAAACAACCAACATTTAAACACAATTTCAAAAATGGACATAATAATAATAGTAATGATCATGATAATAATGATAAACATAATATTAATAATAACAAATAATAAAAATAATAATAATAATAATAATAATAATAATAATAATAATAATAATAATAATAATAATAATAATAATAATAATAATAATAATAATAATAATAATAACGATAATAATAATAATAATAATAATAATAATAATAATAATAATAATAATAATAATAATAATAATAATAATAATAATAATAGTAATAGGGGAACTCCCTCAAAAAAGATAGATGAATCCACCAACCCCCAAAAAGAAGGGTATCCTCGCAAAAGACACCCCCACAGGGATATTTTCTGGGTTCACCATTTTTGTACCAGGTTTTGATTGTGACTCAAATGCAACCCAAGAGGCCCAAGCCTCGTTTTGCGGAACCCAATTGTTGGTTTCCATGTTACTTAGGGAGTCGGGCATGGGAAGAGGATTGACATCCATGGAAGTTGCATGACACGGCAACCCTTGTTGTTCTTTGGCAATCTCCTTTCTTCAGGATGTCCGAGCCATTTCCTTTTAAAGGAAGCCTCCCAAAGTGGACACCGATCGTTGCAATCGGAAACCACCAGTCAACTGCTCAGCATTTTTCCCCCCCCCCCCCCCGGAAATCCAGGCAGCCCGAAGATTTTCGTGGCCCGAGTCTTAGACTGCTGCCTCTTCAGAGCCCATTTTGGGCATGGGTCAAAACTAAAAACCACCAGGAATCGGACCGCAGGTTCTAGTCCGTGGGTCGGTCCATTTACCCAGCGGCCTTGGTGAAAATTTTGCCGAGGGCTGTTGGGACTGAACAACTTTTTGCCCCATGGATTTCCCGAAGCAAACCACTAAGTAGTTGGTCACTTTTAGCAGGGCTTCGCAGAAAGCAACCGAGAGGTCCCAAGCCATGTTGGGGTGACCCGATTTTTGACCCGAGCCCATTTTGCCGCAGACTTCGCGCCTGTCAGGTCGCCTGCTTCACAGGCACGACCCACGTCTTCTATCCCATCTTGCTGCCCATGCAGGCGGAAAGCTGAAAAGCTCCCGGTCCCGGAAGAAAAAAAAAAAGAAAAACGCGGCCCAGGGCTTCAAGGAGATTTCAACCGTTGAAGCGGAGAGATGGCTGTGGTTGTCAAGACCAATGGTATCCCATTTTGGTTGGTAGGTGAATTCACCACCCGTTTTAGGACCTATTTTAGTGGGGATTGGGATGTTCACTGGGGGATAACCGATTTGGATTTTGACTCATGGAAATATGGAGATATGGGGCGCAGCTTTGCCAAATGGTTTCAAAATGAGAGGCTGCGAACGGTTTCCGTTGGTCAGTTTTGACTCCGATCAATTCCATCGAGCGGGAGCAACTTGGAGCTGTTTCGAGATCCCTGCACTGTGGATGGATGAAATCTCCTCGCACCAGCTAAGAAACCCTGGAATGATGATTCCCCGCGGTTTCCCCATGATTTCAAAGTTGTGCGAAATGGATTTCGTTCATCCGCGGTATTTGACACCAACACGTTCCTTGGTACTTGCCGTGGGAATCGGATCATAACTTGAGATTCCTTTTCCGGGCGGTCTTTTCCGGGCGAAACGGCGAAACGGTTGCCGCGTCATCGTAGAAAGGGGTTTTGGGCCTGGGCAGAAGTGGAGGTTTTCCTGAAACTCCATTTGGCTTTGGCTAAAAAAACGTGGTACCACACTGCAGGGCTCCTTAAAAGATACATCTTGCCCATTTGAAACATGGCTTTTTCCACCAAAATAAAGGGACACCACCATTTACAAGGCAATGTTCAGGTGTATAATGTAAGGATCCCTGACACTGGCACCTTGGTAAATGGAGCCAAAAACTAAATCCTGCGGTTGCCCTGGCTCTTTCAGCTTGAGCCAGACCCATTTGGCTGGGTGGGTGGTTTTGGCGTCTTCTCCCACAAAGAGGCTGGAGGGAAGCATGCGATCTTTGGAATTGCACCATTTTTGCTCCCAAAGGCCGCTGGTCGCCCAAACATGCTTGCGTTGAGATGGCCCCGCACCCCCTGTGTTTGGACAAAACCCGCCAGGCATGGATGGCAACCCATGAATACTGGGGTCACACCACCGAGCAACTTGTGCGAACTCGATTCTGTCCAGCATCAATAAAGGTGACGATCGTGTTTGAGTTGATGGCCCTGGACCCCCCAATGGATGGACAAAGTCCTGCACCAGTTGGCAGGTTCATCCCTCAGATGGACGAAATCCTGCACCACCTAGGAAACCATGGGAAACCATTGTCCGTTGGTATTTACAGGGGAATCATCATTCCAGGGTTTCTTAGTGCGTGCAGGATTTCGTCCATCCACAGTAGGTTCATCCCTCGTATGGCTGGGAAGCGCTTGTTTGTTTCTGTTGCTGCCCCTGGGTTGGTCAACCACGGAATGCAAAGCAAGTAGACCAACCACACACAGTGGCAACCCACACCAAACAAAGCTTTGTGGCTACTTGGTAACGGATTTTTGGACCGGACAACTGTTAGGTGGACTCCTTGTGGGTTTTCCATACCCAGAACAAAGTGATACTGCGGATGGACGATATCCTGCACCACTTCAAACCATGGTTGAACCCATTGTTCGTTGGTATTTACCGGGGAATCGACTCATTCCAGGGCTTCTTACATGGTGCGAATTGGACATTTCGTCCATCGACAGTACCGTAACACCTTTTGTAGAGGCTGTTTTCCGTGGGTTTTTGATGGTTTCCTGATACCGGTTAGGCGTGTTGCAGAGGGGCCAACTGCAACGAAGAAGGGCGATCTCGCGGCGAGGCCGTGGTGTGGGTGGTGACCAACATCTCGGAGCCTGTGGCCAACGTGTCGGGCGCAGGGCGCCCAAAGGGAATCTACCCAGGGGCTTGGGGGTAGGTTCAAGTGGTTTTCCTCTTTCTTTCTTTTTCTTCTTCTTTTCCCCCCGAACTTGGGGTGGCACACGGAGGTGTTGAGAGTTGGTTTTTTGACACGGTGATTTTTTTTCGGAATTTGGCTAGACAGAGATGTTGGGTTGGTTGGTTGAAATAAAACACCTGGGTGTTAGGGTTGAGGGGCGTTCTCCCCACTTGAACTGCCAGGTTGATTCGGGCGTTACGTTTTTTTGGGATGGTCTAACCTCTTCACAAGTTACGGGTATGGTCCTCTGAGTCCCTTTTTGGGGCCCGCATTGACCGAGCGATCGAACTGGAGGAATATGGAAAGGGCTTGGGGGCCCCGGTTCTGTTGGGTGTCATGTTGCCCCACTTTCCCACATCCGGTCCAACACAAGTTGTCTTCTCCCATGTGGAACACCCAAAGATCGGAGCCATCCAACCGGGTGAGCTTTGTTTCCCAAGTTGCATCCGCAAGAAGGTCAAAAATTCTAAAGCACGTGGAAACGCAAGAGGAAATCTGCTGCATTATTACAAGCTTGGCCAGAAAAAGGATCGCAACTCTTTGCTTTGGTTCTCGTTGTTCAATCCATGTGGTTGTTTGTGTCGAACCAGGGACCCTTGCACAAACGGTTCCAAAGGTTACCGTCATAACAACGATCGTTACTACAGACACACATGTCTTGCCAAAAGAAAGAAGGCGCATTGTGTCCATACTCTGGATGGACGCAATCCTGCACCACTTTGAAGCCATGGGAAACCGTTGTTCGTTGATGTTACAGAGAAATCATCATTCCAGGTTTCTTAGGTGGTGCGAACCGGATTTTGTCCATCCCAGTCCTCTCCGCACTGATTTAGAGGACTTGCTTGCAAAGCAGGTGGTTTTTGGACTGATATGGCTGTGGGTCAAAACCCATGGTACCATTTTGGGGTAGGGATTTTCACCCATGGCCATATAATGTTCACCCAGGATTAAAAAACCCGTCCCACTATTAGGGGGGTGTTCCCTAAACGGGGACACCCTCCTATTAATCAACCAGGGGTTTATTAATCCGGGGTTAACATTACCCCTGGCTAGCCCTTGTCTGCAACCCTCAATCCGTGGCACAGAAATCAATTTCCTCCGCGGAGTCGGAGTGCGAGGCGAACTGCTGGCGGGTGTGCGAGGTGGAGCTGTTTTCAGACACGCCGGGCTCCCAGAGTTCTGCGTTTGGCTTGGGGTCAAAAATAGGGGCCCAAAATGGAACCCTGGTAAATGGGAAAATGGTGTAAAACCTGCAGTCGTCTGGTGGTGTAATTTGACCCATACCCACTTAAGGACGTGCGAATTCATGAACCAAGCGGTGCTTTGGGGATGCCAACTCAGTATTGCAAGCAGGAAACATCAGGGATCACCCCAAGATAAGTCGAGGCTGGACAAGGAGAAGTCCAGGGCTGAAGGCTTTGGGTGGAGCATTGGGGTTTTGTCTCACGGGCAGCTTCCCCAGATGGGTTCCCTCCGGCTTCCGCAAACAAACCAAATAGCGAACAGGGTTTACAGAGGCTTAGATGGGTGGACTACCATTGGGGTTTGAATTGAGAACCCGCAAACAACGGCACAGCCAGTAGCTTGTCCCAAGTCGGCAATTTCATATCTCCGGTGTCAATACTTAGCGCTTCCTTCCAGACCCAAGTAGACGGACCGACTTCGCAGCCACGTGGGGGACGTGAATCACCAACAAGTCCCCCGGAGAAAAAAAAAGCGGAAAAAGAACAGCAACAGAAAACACCGCCCATTTCAAGTTTCATTCAAAAGGGTCATTCAGCTGTCACCAGACTTCCCCTTCAGTTTCAACTTGCCCCTGGTTACCCCACTTTTTAACTGCCACTTTTTTCGGCTCCAAGAAGGGACATGACTGCGGCACTGAAACTGCCACTTTTTTGGCTCCAAACAGGGGCTCGGGGCTCGGACACCCGGCATTTCGGCTGGGTCTCCTTGGGTGAGCTGTGTTCGGGAAGCGCCGCCAGCCGCCGAGGCTCTGTCAGACGCGCTTGGCCCCCTACATGTGGGCTGGCGGCCCCAGCTCCGGAAACCAAACATCTGGGCAAAAAAGGTGGATGGCTCCTGGAGCCGGTTCCTTAGGTTTTTGTTGTTGCGTGGGTTTTTTTGTCCTCGTTTTTTTGTTTTGTTTTGTTTCTTCTTTTTTTAATACATATTTTTTTCTCGTTGGTTTAGTGGTAATTTGCCCAGTAAAAGTGAAACTTTTAGCAGGGGATCTGAGAACAGCCCAGAGCAGTTGGCATGAATGAATCCCGACTTTGGATGGGTGCACAATCCCTTTTCGCACGACCTAAGAAACCATGGTTGAAATCATAGCGTTTGTTGGTATTTACGTTGGGCGCATCCATGTAGGGTGTCTTATGTGGTGCGAAACGGATTTCGTCCATCCACAGTATGATATGCTGCATCACAACCAACTGGTGCAGGATTTCGACTTTTCTGTCAGGTGGTTCGTTCGTGCGATGTCCCGGGCCCTCAAGTCTTGGGAGAGGTTCTCAAACTGACTTGGAGGCTGGCGCTGAAAGCCGACCTCAACAAGCCTTTGAAGCAATGTTTGAGTTTGTACCTAAGAACAAAGAGGTAAAAACAGACGGTCAAATCAACGAACGATGGCGCTCTTAGAGACACCACCGAGAGGGGTTTTGCCCACATTTGGGGTATCTGAACATGGGCCCATCTTTGAAGTTGGTTCAAAGGAAAACAAGACAGCCAACTATTTATTTGGGAGACTCCCACATGTGTGTTTTTGCACGCACTTCCGGCTCCAGGGAGAGCTGAATCTATGAGCGCTGTTTGGACTTCCCGTATCTGAAGTGCGAGCCATTATGTGTCATTCAGGCAAGGTCTATGCTTGGTGGATTTTTTCTTGGTAGGTGGTTTATCCCAGCATGTATGGGATTATTCATGCCACCTGGTGCAGATTGTTCATCCACAGCATGCTTGGACTTGTGCTCGCACAAAGAAATCCTTTACGTTCAAAGCTCCTGACCATGTAGAGGAAGCTTCTAGGGGTTGATTCCCCAAAAACCAGATCCATTTCCCAAGGGCTTTTTGGTTTCTAGAAAGCTCCGGATCCCTGGAAAGAATGGAAATGGAAGTTACCCCTAGAAAGCTACAGGTTTTCAATTGCCCAGCTCTGTTAGCCCCGAGACGGAACTTTTTGTCCAGCTCTGCATGCGGGTCAATCCAATCCCCGTGGCGGGGTTGATGCTGAAGAGGTGTGGATGGACAACAGTCGATTGGGGATTTATGAAACCCTAAGACTGGCTGATCAAGCAGCTGTGGTGGTGGCAACTCAACAGTGCAAGTAGACCAAGCACAAACCATGGTTGAATTTAAGGGTTTCCTTTGGTCCCTACTTGCAATATTTGGGCATCACCGTACCAACTGGCGCGAAGTGGAGTCTATCCATGCACATGGGCGTGAGTTTTGAATTGGGGATCCGTTCATAAACATCACTTGTACGGGGATTTATGTCCACGGAAAGTTGGAGGCTGTTTCCTAAAAACATTCATGGCCACGCTCCACATGAAACGCTACTGTGGATGGACGAAATCCATTTCGCACCGCCTAAGAAATGATGGGAGACTATTGCTTGTTGGTATTTGCAGGACAATCTTCATTCCAGGCCTTCTTAGGTGGTGCGAAATCGATTTCGTCCATTCACAGGCTGAATGCCGGTTGATATGAATGCTGGTCAATAGACTCCGCCAATCCCAACTGGTGGCTGTCTATCTGTACTATGTGTGCCATCAAAAGGCGTTTGTAGGGGTTGGTCATCAAAGGGAGTTTTCGACCGATGGACAGGTGCCCAAGGGAAACATTGACCCGCTTTCCGGGGGCAAGTCATCCTTGTGGTTTCGGCCCTGGCGAGGATGTCGGGCTTGGACGCCTGATCCTCTCAGTCATGGACGCTTTTCCCCCCGCATTTTTTAAAGGATTTGTTTTTGGAAGGGAACTCACGAGGACACCCCTATCATTTTGGGGGTCGGGACCCGAAAAAAGGGGCACCATACGCCCATGCCCCATTTTGGTGATTTATTATTATCATTATTATTATTATCATTATTATTATTATTATTATCATTATTATTACTATTATTATCATTATTATTATTACTATTATTATTATTATTATTATTATTACATTGTTTGTTTAATTTAAACAGGACCGCCTTCCTTTAGGGGAAGTTTCCGATCTTTGGCTTTAGGTCTCCAGCAACGGCCTGCCAGTGGGCCCGGATGCCCAGAACACCCAGAACACCCCGGCGGTGGCTTTTTTTGGGCGGCTTGTTGGGCGTGTGCCACCAAGATGTTTCCTTTGTTGTTTTGGGAATGCGTTTGGGACCCCCTGGAAGAACATCACAAGGAAGGGTTTGCCTTGAAACCAGAACCAGTGGCTAACCAACATGGCTGTGGTTGTCAAAACCGTTTTGGGATCCCATTTTGGTTGGTAGGTGAATTCACCACCCATTTTAGGACCCATTGTAGTGGTTGGATTGGCATGTTCACTGGGGGCACGATTTGGGTTGATTTGGGTTGGTTTGGAAGGAAACAGATTTGCAGGAAGGAGTCTTGGGAAGGCCGCTTTTTTGTTTTATTTTTTTTTTGGGGGGGGTTTGCCCCTTGACTTTTTTTTTGGGGGGGTGTTTTTTTTCTTCTTCTTTCTTGTTTTGTTTTGGGGCGGGGGTGGCTTCAGCATTTCCTTTTGGGTTTTGCCCCTTTGCCTTCGACCAAAAACCGTTTGGTTGGTTTCAAGGGGAGCAGAAAGTCGAACACATCCACGCGTGTGGCTTGGAGGGTACCACTCTCGCGGTCGGTTTTTGTTTGGGGAACCGAAAGGGAAGCGAAGTCCACTTTGGGTGTCCAAATCCCTGTGGATAGAGGCGAAATCCATCCAACGCGCCGTGCAGAAACCCAAGGGAGTTCGATTCCCCTGCAAATACCAACGCAATGGGTTGAACCATGGTTTCAACGGTTTCAGCCATGGTTTGCTAGGCGGTGCGAAATGGACTCCCGTTTCAACCATGGTTTCAAAAGTGGTGCGGTGCAGGACCTTTTTCATCCATCAGGAGCCTAAGGGATCTGAGCGGAAGGGCCGCGGAACGCATTGGTGGGGAGTGGGGGGTAGCATTTGTGGGGAGTCTGATATGGGCTTGTGTTCTTCTTGTGGGTGGTTTTAGAGGGAAACTGAAGAACACCACCCAAAGCTTTGGGGGTAGCCATATTAATGACATGGGGGGGGGGGGGGCATGATTTTGGCGGAGGTCGGCCAAGTCAGGCTGAAGACACAGTGAAGATTGTGGGCGAAGGGTTTATTTGCTTTGCGACGACAAGAGGGACGACTTTGGGTTCATGCAGTCAGCCTTTCAGTCGGGTCCAACATCGGTGGTGTCCAGCGAGCAGTTTACATCAACGGGAAAGACACCTAGGTCCCCCAGTAGTGCCCTTTCTCACCCTTTTTTTGGGGGAGGGTTCCCCTACTAAACAGACTACAGCAAAAAGGATACCCTTATCCTAACCTCTCTACTGGAGCACCTAGACACCGAATGTTGTGATCCGCAATATTTACCCTCACTCCCACTAACATGGCACCTGACATAGCGTCAGGTAAAAAGGAACTTGATCTTCCAGGCACCCTCCCGATGCTATGTTTATGGGAGGAAGGGTAGGGCATGCGGATATGCGGAACACCCCGAGTTGCTTTCTGCCAGGTGGGGACGCAGGCCTGCGCTTCGTGCAGGACCGGAACTTTGCAGGGGGCAGCATGCCCGGGGCCCAGAGCTGTGGTCAAGTGACAGGCCGAATGCTGGGCCCGCTTGTTTTTTCTCTTTTCCCCCTTTTTTTCTGTTTTTTTTTTTCCGCAAGGGTTCACAGAATTCCTTGGTTCACACAATTCCTTGGCCCCTTTTGGCCCCGTTTTTGTTTTTGGGAGTTCGGGAGATTTGTGGTTTCCATTTGCATAGTCGACAGTATTACCACGACAACCTGATAGGGGACGACCAAAAACTGATGTCCTGATGCACTTGGCACGTGGTTGATGGCGAGCGATTTTAGACATGCATAAGCCAAGCGGTTAGAACGGAGGCGTGCCAAAGTGGCAGAATGATGAGAATACCAATACTGAAAATACCAATGCTAGTACTTGTACTTATACGACGACGACGATGACTACTGCTACTACTACTACTACTACTACTACTACTATTACTACTACTACCCACAGCCCCCGTGGTTTGCCGGCACCCCCGAATCCACCCTTGTCCAGCACGTGGTTCAAGTATGGCACCCTTTACTACTCAAGTAGCAGAACTCGTGCAGCCATACCTGACAAGTGGTGACCTGCGTTCTCTTCAGAACGTGGGCCCGTGGTACCACGAGCGCATGGGTAGCAGGCAGGTCTGGGGTTTTTTAGGGTTTTGGTTTAGGGTTTTAGGGTTTAGGTTTAGGGTTTTTGGGGTTTAGGTTTAGGGTTTTTAGGGTGAAGGTTTCTGCAAGCAGGTTTGGGTTTTTTAGGGTTTAGGCTTAGGGTTTTAGGGTTTAGGTTTAGGGTTTCAGGGTTTAGGTTTAGGGTTTTTAGGGTTTGGGTTTAGGGTTAGGTTTAGGGTCAGAAGAATAATAAGAAGCTAATAATCATAAGAGCAGTAACAATAATAAGCTACAATGAAGAACAGAGAAGGAAGAATGAAGAAGGAAGAAGGAACAGGGAAGAAGAACGAAGGACGAAACAATCAACAACTAATGATAGTCCGAATAAAAGTACCAAAAAGAGGAACAAACCAGAAGAAATAATCAAGCGCAATGCCACCGCGCCTTTCTCGCGGGTTTTCCGAGGTGCATGAACGACTGGCGGCCTTCAAACTGCTGGGTTGGGGGCTCGATATCAGCGGATCCCAGGGTGGATGGCTGCGGGTTGTGGTTCCTCCAAACATTTCGTAGGGTGGAGAAGTATGGAACATATGTTCAGGGTAAGTTGAACGAAGAAAAATCAATGAACCATGAATGAACATTGCTCAGGGGAACTATGTTGGTACATTCATTCGTACAGGGTAGGGTAATTTGAAGATACGGTGGATGGACGAAATCCATTTCGCACCACTTGGAACCCATGCGGAACCGTTGGTTGTTGGCATTTACAGGGGAATTATCATTCCTGGGTTTGGGTTTCTTGGGTGGTGGAGGATTTCGCCCATCCACAGTCTGTGCATTCGTCCCAAGGCCAAAGCGGGTTGAACCTTTCTTTTTCCCCAGGGGGAGCATCACTTTTGGGGCTGACGTGCACTGATTTCGATGATTGTTCGGGGTGATCTTAAAAGGCTTATGAGGAACCCCTCTGTGTGCGTGTATGTGTGGGGCCTGTATTGTTCAATGCCTGGACTGATAAACTTTGCAGATGACCACGAGCTTCGCCGCAGCTTTGGAAACCGCGGTTTCCCCCGGGCTGCGAAGGTTGCCACCGCGGGAAGCGAGCGTTGGGCCGTCAGGAGTTGAGGTTGGACGGCCAAGGGCCGAGCTGAGGCTTTGAGGACTCCAGTTGAGGTTTGAGGCTCCCAAGGCCCAGGTGGGCTCATATCTCCCGTCGGCTCAGACGTTGGGAACGGACAGTGGCGGCTTTGTCTACGCTCAAGCAAAGCTTGTGCGGGTTTACTTGCAGGTGAGCGGCACAAGCTCCATCAGAAACTTCAGGTGGCCGAATCTGATGCGACTTCGTGCTGCACGCGTTTCACGGCAGAGTGCTGCGTGAGGTGACACCTCCTTGAACCATGAATCAAAGTGACACCTGGGTCCCAGAAAACCGCCAAACTGTATGACCCAATCTTTTTCTTGCTTTTTGCTTCTCCTGAAATCTTTGCTATTTTATGGTTTTGGGGTAGACAAAATTGACGCGCCGCAAACCGTTTTCTGAGCGCACACCTTTTCTTGCGGGCCAAGTTACAGGTGCCCGAATCTGGTCTGATCCAGGGTTTGATGGGAGATGCAACCACCAACAAAGCCATTAAGTGTATTTCTCTTTTCTGCAGTGGTTTGGAAAGGGTTATTTGCGCAACAGTCAATATGTGCTGTCGTCTGCCGTAGTGAAGCTGGACATTCTCATCAAAATGCCAGGAAATGGCTTCGGCTACTCACCGAAACCCAATGCATTGACAGGTACAATTCTCATGTCTCAGGTGAAACAATGGTCAAAACTCGGTCTTCCGACCGGTGTAGGCCTTTGTCGGATGCGCCTTTTTTCTTATTTGTCAGGGAACCCCAAAATGAAGGCGCACCCCGAAAAAGAAAGGCGCGGCCCTAGCGTCAAGGCGCCCAGGAAGGGAGCCGTAACCATGACCAAGGCACATGCATTTTTGAACAGTTTTTTGGCGTGCCCAGTTGGGGCTTGAACGCGCTGATGGTCCTGTGCTCCCCCAGTAGGGTTCCCCTACTATTCTAACCTCTCAGTTTGGGAATAGTCATTTGCCGAGGTACAGGCTGTTGCAGGCCAACCTGCTGTTGGACGAAATCAATTTCGCACCATCTAAAATATCCTGGAATGATGATTCCCGTGTAACGACAGCCATTTCTTAGATCTTAGATAGCGCAAAAGGGATTTTCGCAACCATCCACAGTAAGATCCATTCTGAGGCTTGGGCAAGTTTTGCAACAACACATTGGCCCAAGCCTGGCATGAAAGGGTGATAGGACTTGAAGGGTAATGTGAGAAGCGAATTGATATTATTCACCAGGCTCTCTCATTCTATTGTCTCTTTTAGAACCTCTGTAAAACTTTTTTTTTTTGTTCACTGTTCGTATTCTTGTATGTTCATCATTTCATTTCTCCTTTGATTATTAGCTAGCATTTCATTATGTATTTCAATCTCTTTGTCCTCATCGTTTCATCATACTTTAGCATTTGGTGAGGACAGAGATAAAAAGATAGACAGTAAACATGCCCAAAATATAATAAATATGTATATATATATATATATATATATATGTAGGCATACAGTAGATAGACCCCAACGCTATTCCCTCACCCAATTCTTGGCTTTTATCTCTATCACTCACTCCAAGTCCTTTGCTACATCCGAATCGAATCCCTGGAAAGGAAATCAACATGAAGTTGTTTGAAGAGTTTGAAGGCCAAACTTTTTATGCCACCCAGGTTGTTTTTCAAGCCCCGGATGGGTTTGCCTCCTCGGCGTCCCTCGTTTCAGCATGCGGGTTTGACTCACTCAATCCGATCAGGAGCCCATCAAGCTGGACTCCCTGTCGTGCGGAGTCACAGGCACCTGCCCCGCCCACGCCCGAGCAGGTGAGCAGGTGAGCGCCGCTTCTTTTTGGTTTTAATGTTTTGTTGAGGGGGAATTACAGGGACTGGGATAACCCTTGATTGATGGTTTGGAAATTTGGATCCGTGGTTCTTGCAAACACGGGACACACACCCTCTTGACAGGTCAGTGTGCTTTTGCCTTTCGGATCAAAAGGTAACACTTCCTTGCTTCTCAAGAGTTTTGGGAACGGTCGAAGGACAAAACATCCAGTTGGATGGTTTAGTGCGAGGGTCATCCGCCTTCCTGACTGACTCCTTTGAGTCGCGTTTCGGACTTCAGTCCCTGCCTAGATCGCCAAGTTGGGATCTTGCTTTTTTCAGTCACTGTTGCGATCGGTTTTCGGGGGTAAAGCGCAGGATGGAAAAAAAAGAAGCAACCGATCGCCGGCGATCCAGGGCTTCGGGGCATCCAAATGCCTGCGGTTTTTGGTTCGGAGCTTCGGCTTGAGCGGCCCTTCATTTGGATCCGAGGCCTCCCGGCGCCTGGAGCTTGAGGCGGCCGGGGCTGGGCGGCGTTGGTGACGCGATTTGGCTCCGAGCGCGCCTTTTTTTTTTTTTTGGTTTGAGCCAGGCGTCGCCCAGACAGGTCCCTATGTTGCAGCGCCCGAAAGGGAAGGGGGCGATTTCTGGCGGAAGGAAAGTCCGAACATTCGAACCGCAACGAGTGAAGTAGCAGAACTCGACCCTTTCGCAGTTTTCGTTGTATTCCCTTTTTGGAAGGATCAATGGTGCAGCGTGGGAAACATCGCCCGCGAAAGCAACGCAGGGTCCGCAACTCATTGTGCCGCTTTGCGCAACGAAGTGTTCGGCGCTGCTCATTTGCTGGTCGTGTTTCTTTCGGCTCAGCTGTCTGGCATTGGCGCTGGGCCCAGCCTCTCTAAACTGGGCAGCCCTAGAATAGGTGCTTCCCTTCGGTTGCGCTTAAAAACCCCTTTTTCCCTTTGCTTTAAAATGGGTGCTGTTTTTCAACCATCTCCTCTCGAGGCTGAAGAGATGAGCGCTGCATTCGAGAGGAGCCGCCCGGGGTGGGTATGTATGTATCTGGCAAAACTAGGCCAGAAGCGCATGAGTCGCCTGTGCGCTAAACATCGCGAAACACACTCAGCGCTCCATTTTCCAATGGGGTTTGCAAAAGCCGTCTTTGTGGCCTCTGGAAAAACTATTTGGCCTGAGCAACTTTCTTGACACAGGAGAGGAACTCATTGGCATTCTGTTGCGCCTTGTTCCGACGAAAGCTCCGCTGCGGAAGTCTTAATTTGAAAGTCGTCGATCCAGCGCTGTGCCCGTGAACCCTGGCCCTTTTTCTGTCCTACGGCAAACATTTTCAAGCTTTGCCAACTTCTGTCAACGCGTTGCGTTCCCAGCAGTCTCTTCCGACGTGTTGCTGTCGGCTGTGCCAGTGGGGCAGGGGCAAATTTAAACAACACGAATAGGCTTTTAATGATTGCACTTGCACCGTGGATGTCGGCAACGCTTTGCCGCACTCTTTTGCCTCTTCCCTCTTGCTCCGCGTATTTCGAGGAGCGCCAGGGGAACTTGAGCCAAAGCACAATTCGACCAACAGTTGTTTCCAGGTGACCATGCTGAAATATTTCCATTTCACAGGCCTGTGGCTCGGGAATGATTCACAAAAAGACGTACCTGTGGGTTGCTCAGGGTTCGGAACTTTTAAGGTGACCTGCCCGCTCCTGCGGCACCTTCTTGTATTTCCCAAAACCACGGCGTGTCCAGGCCGAACGAACTACTGGCCGTGGTCTCCGCAATGCGGGATTTCCAATGCGTCTTGCGCATCAGGAACGCAACCATCCCATGAACGCAACCATACCCCACTCCCCCCCCTCCCCCCCAACAAAGCCCCCCCCAACAAAGCCCCCCTCCTCCCTGCGCGATGCTGAGTGACTCTGCCAAAAAGCTTCTTCTGCAAAATTGCTATCCGTGCGCAAGCGACCTGCGACGTCACCAGCATCTAGCAACCTATCTATGTATCGATGTATCTATCTATCTATCTATCTGTCTATCTTTCTATTCATCTGTGTGTCTGTCTGTTTGTCTGTTTGTCAATCTATCTATCTATTTATATATCCCAACAGGCGCACTTGCAGGCGCCATTTCGTGGAGCAAAATGCAGAGCCCTTTTCTTGACCTGCCAAGTTAGTTCGGAACATAGCCCGTGCCTCCCTGACGGCCTTTTGCGGGAGATCCTGCTCGCCTTCGGCTCTGGTAGTTTGCCGCTCATGACTTTGCTCTTGGTAGTTTGGCTTTCACTGCCGGTTGCCAAAGTTGCATGGTTAAATATATATATATATATATATGCAGGTATGTACACCCATCTACTCATATAGTGTTCGCGCTGTGGTATACATGAGCATGCGGCCGGAGATGAGGCGGATGAACCCCCAGCTCTCTCAAGACACCTGGCTGCGCATGCGCCTATGGGAACCACTACGAGGCATGGAAGACATTCACGAAAGGGGCAGTGTTTTCCTTTATGACTGCTTGTGTGGGTAAAAGGCTGGCAGGGTGCAGCGACAGAGAAAACATCTTCAAGGGAGCCTGTTAACGCACTCGTTAGCATACACATACACACATATTTATATATATATATGCATACACATGTTTATGTACATGTGGAGAGGATTGCCTCTCATGGAACGCAAGCTGTGACAAGGCGATCCAAGGAGGAGTCAAACCTCCACAATTTGCTTCTCAGCGTGAGCCGCTGCAAAGACAACGCCTCACTCGTAGCTCGTGTAGGGCAACTGGATCTCTGCCTTGGTTTGGGATGTATTTCTGAAGGAATTCCGAGATGGTCGCAGGCGGTTTGTTTCCAGCGGTTGGCAAAATTTGGGTCTATCTTAAAGGGAACGCCCTTCTGGACGGCTCAAAAAACAACTGCTTGGCACACGGAGGGGTTCTGAGAGACACCCAACAATCCGATGCGGAAAGGCAGACAATTGCAACAGATTTGGGTGGCAGGTTTCGCAGAGTCTATGTCCTGCAGGGCTTGTTGCCAAGTTTGATTGAGCAACCAGTTGCCATGGCCAAAAAGGCGGCGGTGGTCTTCTGTTTGCAAGACCTGCCATGGATGAACTCTCCTGAGAAACCGATTGAAGGTGGTTTCAACAAGGGGATTGAATCCCCAACTGTCAAGCGGCGAAACCACCTCTCGATGCCAAACCTCAAACAGAAGTAAACGTCCAGCGGCATGTTTTTGTGAGAGTGACATTCTCAACCCTAACGGCGATGAGCATGGACACTTTTGAACGTGAGAAATACTCAGAATGGGACACTCAGCCATTACTGACTTCAGCCAGGGTTTAGTCGCCTGACAGGAGAGAGGAGTTGCCGTCCCCGACGAGCTTGGAAGACGTTTCCAGGCGCGGCTGGAAGATGGGCGAGTTTGCGTCAAAGAAGCGAGGGCTCTTTGACAAAACAAATTCATGGACAAAGGTACTGCAAGGGGCGCAAATGCCAAGTGCGGAGTCATTTCGTCTGCGGCCGCCCCAAAAATATCCCAAGTGGCAGGGCCTCCCAATGGGGTCAGGGGAGTCCGATTTGGGCGTGTTTGGTGCCGCTGGGTACATGTCCTCACGTCCTGAAGCCCTGGGCTTTGGTCACTTTTTGGGTTTGGACCATCCTGGAGAGCCAAGTTGCTTGTTTCAGTCATTGTTGCTGGTTTTTGGATGGTAAAGTGCATGGGGAAGAAAAGAAACAGCAACTGGCGATCCAGGATGTGAGTGGCAAGCAACAAGTTCGATGTTTTTCGAACCATCAACTCAGGAAGTGAGTCTCGGTGTGTCTGTTTTGGAGTTGGTACTCCTTTTGGGTTGGTGTCAAAGGGACACCACTTGGAACACGGACACGGACAACCCGAAGCCATTTTGGGGAGTCTGCTAGGGAAAAAAGACACGCCAATGGACCCCAAGAAAGGGACAATAAATACAAAGAATCTCCAAAAAGTTGGGTCCCACTTTTGGGCACCCAGGAAAGGGACCCAGGGCCATGCCACCCACTTTTTGGTTTTGTTGGCGTTCCAGTCGCGGAGGCGCCTCAGCGGCTCCTGCCCTTGGGTGGAGCTGGGTGGTGGGCTGAGAATCGGGGGGGGGGGGCGCTGTCGGGGTCGGGGGGGAGGGTTCCGGCGCGGCGCTTTGCTGGGTGCTTTTCTTGGAGCAATTGGAGAAACACCACTGAGAAAAGAACAAAACAAAAAACAGAAGCGCCTGTTGAAAAAACCAAGCCCCGGAAAAACATGTTTGCTCGTTCGAAGGGCCAAGGGTGTTGAAGCAAGAGTTGTTTGGGTTTGTCTCTAAATAGGGAAGCCTCAAAATGGGTGGTTTGGCTTCCCTTTAAACTCATCCCCAAAACGGGTAATGTCCGAGCATCAACAAGAAGTGCAAAACAAGCACACCCCTTGAAGATAGTTGGGAACCTACACCGTGTTCTTGTCGTCCTTCTTTTTCCGCAGCCCCCTGTCAGCGGGCTTCCTCCTTCTTGTTCCGCAGCTGTTGGCATCGTTTTTTGCTTCTTACTCGTGTTTTCCTCTTTTTTTTCCTTCTCCTTTTTTTCCCCCCTTTTTTCACTTTCCGCCGGGTCAGACCGCGATCCGCCGCCCGCAGTTTTTTCCGGAGAACGCCCCTCTGCCGCGGCTCCGGAGTGCGGCTCTTCGCGGTGCTTCGAGCATCCGATCTGGTTGTACCTCGCCAGCTGGGCTCGTAGCTCTAACTTCTACCCCTTGAAATTGAATGGACGGTTGAAAGCGTCTTCGAAATGAGCCCAACATGCTGGCTCCACACATACCGGCACTACGCATGAACCTGATGCTGCTGGTTTGGATGGGATTTGCTGTCCAATGCGGGTTTCCTGTGGGGAATTCCAGTGGGCCTTGCTTTCTCCGATGTAGATTTGTTTGTTGCCACCCAGGATGGCAAGGATATTAATCAACGGGGAGGACGCCCCCCTTGAAAAAAACTGGGGGTGGATGAACATGGGGCCAACATTCGTTTGGAGCTTGGGGGTTCTCTCCCAGGCACTTACAACACCAGCCTCATCACCTACACCATCCGATACCAGGCCGTCTTCCTGTCGTCCGGCGCCAAGAATGGAGTCCCCCCTCTTGCGAAGGGCCAGCTTGAGATCGGGGGAAAATCGATTCCGAGATTCCCCATTTTTAGCCTCAAGACCGAGAGCGCAAGTGTCGACCCAAACTGGGTTGACTCATATTAAGTGACACATTGGTTATCATTATTGCTGGAATTTAGTCCACATATTCCTGTAAATAAAGAATAATCTAACGCATTGTTTGCTTTGTCGACTTCTAGCTGAACCAATCTGAGCTGAATATCTCATCCCTGTTCCTTGGTCACCAGTTTTTCGGCTCCTAGGCCCAACACCAGTCTTGGTGTTGCTATGAAATGGTGGACCCTTCGTTTGTTTCGTTTGATTCCCGGAAATCCAAAGGAGGCCAACAAACCATTCCCACATGGTTGTTGTTGGGAAACATTTTACATTTTTGCTTATTGTGGTTTAGTGGTTGAAATCCAACCACTTAACTGCTAAAATTTGAGAGTTTTTGCTCCCCTTCAACGTCAACCAAGCCCAAACCCAGCGATCAGCTCGCAGCTCGCTGAGCTCAGGGTGGGTGGCAGCGGCTCTCTGAAGACTTTGCTGAAGACTGCGCTCACCACGGCGAGGGGCCTAAGGGAAGAGTTGGGCGAAAGACTTGGGACAAAGACCGACCAGGCCACAAGAAAAACAAACCCCTGGCTTTTCAAAACAAATAACAAGAAGGAGGTTGTTTGAACGAATGTGTTACAGGTGAATGTGTGTAAACTGCAAGCCCAACCCCGGCAAAAAAAAAACAGCGAGAACAGCAACCAACCCTAGTTCCCTTTGACAGAAGAAGCAGGAGGTTGTTTGAACCGTATCACCATTTATGGTCCTTTGAAATGAAAAATACCCTCATGGCTTTGGCTTTGAAGTTGTTGACACATGCGACTGTGTTGAAACGCTGCCGCGTGTTGACTCACTCTGCTTCGTGCCATGGCCGGATCCAGTTTCAAACCTCCAAGGCCACCATACCCACTCAAAAAAGAGAAGTCACTCCCTGAGTTCCTGGACCTCAAGCTCTGTATGGGTTTAGACCATTTTAGTGGACATGTTTGGGGCAAACCACAAGTTTGGAACTTTTTTTAGTAGCCCATCCACTCAGGAACAGTAAAAGAGGGGAAGTCGTTTTGGAGCTTGGACTTCAATACATATGCATTGATAGGGCTGGGTTGAATATTTTTATCAAGCGTGGGGTTACCCTATAGAGATCCCCAAACCTACCAGAGCCACAAGGTGGTTTTCTTCTGGGTTTCCCATGCGAACCCACCACTTTACGGGACCCGTAAGACGGGCAACGTGGCGAACAGAGAGTTTGATCCTGTTTGGGCCAATCCACTCAGGATGTGAGTAATAACTACCCGCTGAAATTGTGTCTTTTCACAGGGCGATTTGTGCGCCCAAGGGTTGGCCAGGGGGTTTTTCTCCTCGGTTTTTTTAAGCGAAATCGGGTCCCGAATCCCATTTTTCTCTATAAGCCTAGGCGCTGGGCGAAGCCCCGACGGTGCTGGCGGACACGTCCAGCCGGATGCCCAGATGCTTCCAGGGTTTTCAGAAAAACCCCGGTTCATGTATACATATATATATATATATGTATGTATGCTTTTTGTTTTTGTTTTTTTTATTTCCCCCCTTTTCGGCTATGGGTTGATTCCAACCATCGTTCTTTTCGACCATCGTTCTTTTTTGTATGGGTTGATTCCTTGTCCATTCTTCTCAACCATCGTTCTTTTCAACAGCCGGATCCGTTTTCCCTGGTTTTAGAGGAAGAAGGATCCCTGGAATGAATGGGGAAGGTACCCCTAGGAACGTTGGCGACGTTTTGGACAACGCCGGGACCTGGACGCGGCAAGGCCATGACGTTGGCAAAGTCCCCAAAGCCTGAAAACTCGGAGGTTCCCAGCGAATCGTCCGGTTCAACTTTGGTTTTTAGTGATTTTTAGGTGGTTTGGTGGTTGGGTTTCCGTTTAGCAAACGAAGTTTTTTTTGGGAAAAATGGGTCTGTCACTGACGGTTCTGTGAAGCCTTGGACCTCTGCCCCGTGGATTCCTGCGAAGCAACCGCCCCGAAATGGCAACCCCGGATCAAGCAATGGGTGTCCCTTGCTTTAGTGAAAGTTTAGCGCGGAAATCACTTTTGGACTGGAACCAGATTACTCCGGGCTTGCGCTTCAGCGAAAGTACCAAACTCTCTTGCTATCCCTGAAACCAGTCTCAAACTCTCGGCAACTTCCGGTGATTCGCGCCAAAAGGAACCTGGAACGAAACCTTCCTAAGCGGTGCGGAGATCCTTGGTGCCAAGTTCCACGGCTTAGTCTGGCAACTTTTGAGGAGCCAACGTCTCGGTGAAATCGGAAAGCACCAAAGCCTTCTCCGAGCAATCGGTTTCACCAACCCACGGTTTTCCCGAAAGAACCAACAGGAGCCATGGTTAAACATTGGTTGCGGTGGATTAATATGGCAAGTAGGGAGCAATGGACACCCAATATAAAATCCCGTGGTTTGTGGTTGGCTTACTTGCAATATGTCAAAGCCATTGGAGCCGTACCATGGTTCCAACCTTGGCAATCCATGGCACCTAAAAAATATATACGCCACCGAAGTCTTGTCGCGCCCTCAGTTCAGTCAAAGTGGTTCAGGATTCCGAAGTCTTGACCAAACCGCAAGGATCGAATATTGGCTCCTTTGGTTCCTTTGGTTCCTTTGGCTCCTTTTGTTTTTTTTTGGTTTCCTTTGGTTTCCTTTGGTTTCCTTTCGTTTCCTTGGCTTCCTCTGGTTCATAGTTGATCGAACATCGATGGCCCCAGTTGCCTGTGTCACAATCTACCACCGTGCATTTTCCCAACCCGTTTGCCCTTGGAACTTAGGAACCATTTAGCTTGGCCTCTGCAAGATTGCAGATGGCAGCTCTTTTTGTTTTTTGGGTCCCACCAGTGAGAGATGGAGGATCCATGGGATCGATCCCCCAGTCCTCTCAATCCCAGGCGTCAGGAAGCCCTACGTCTTCATGGCCCGGCCTCCGAGAAAATGTTCTTCTCCGGAACTTTCGCGCGCATCCATCCCGGATGACTGAGACTGGGTGTGTCCCCACTTTTTTTTGGAGTTGATGTGCCCTTTTTTTGGCGGTGTGTCCCCCCACTTTTTTGAGTTGGTGTGCCTTTTTTTGGGCGGTGTGTCCCCCCCCCCACTTTTTTGAGTTGGTGCCCTTGTCTTTTTTTGCGGTGTTAAGGGCGAGGCAAAAAGGACGAGCTCCCCGTTTTGGAGGGCTCCCGGGACTTTTTTCACCGCTGCATCGGCGAACAATTCTTTGGACAGGTTTGCCCCACCGGTTTGGATCGGTTCGATTCCGTTTTTACCAGGGCCCACCTGTTCCAAAAGGTCACCTTCCGGGACTGAGTTGGCCATGGGTCCAAAACCGTTTGGGGATCCCATTTTGGTTGGTAGGTGAATTCACCACCCATGTTCAGAACCTATTTTTGTGGTTGGATTGGGATGTTCACTGGGGGTACGGGGTTTTGACCCATGGCCATTTGGAGTTGGAGTTGGGAAAATCGGGCTGGATTTGCCCCCAGCATTCCGTAGTCACTCTAGTTTTCAGTGGGTTGTTTGGAGCCAGCCGTCCCTGGCCGTTTGTGTCTAGGAAACTGAACCTTTTGTGCCAATCGCATGATGTCCACCACCACTTTCTTAGTTACCAGATGTACTGGTACCCCAACTTAGTCATGGTACATGTACTCCCAGGTAACCCCTTCTCAGTTTCAAAGCAACCCCTTGGGTACGCTTCAACTGTCTTTGTTGCCCACCCCTTCATGCGCATGTGCGGTCAACATCATTGTCATGGTTGATTCCACCTTGGGGATTCAGAAGATGCGTTGCTTCCGATGGATGGACCAGCACTCGCTCTTTCACGAAAAGTTCCAAGGGGCAAAAGAGTCCAACGGCTTCCTTAGGAACCTTTGTACTTGTCCACGAGGTGTGGACCATCCACCCTAAGTCACCAGCTTGATATTGCTTGTCTTCACTGTTGCCACGTTCTTACCGAGGGTTGGACAGTTCTTCGTCTTACTGGTACATCCAGGTTCTTTTTGGTACCTGGTTGCAACCAAGTGGAACCTGGATGCACCAGTAAAGAAGACCGTTTTACCCGTAAAACTGTCGGGAACCTGGTTTTTCGGGTACCGCGGGTGGGACAGTTCCGCTTGCACCCCCCCCCCAGTGATCCGTTCTCGGCGCCCGTCTCAGGTGACGCCCCCCACTGTGCCGCCGCCCGCACCGGAGGCCCGGACCTGAGAAGGTGGCGGAAAATCCGAATCCGCCCCCCATTTCAGGGGTCCAGGGTTTTGAGGATAACTTTTGTTTGTTTGTTTTTGTAGTTGCTTTTTCTCTGTTTGTTTTTGTCGTTTCTTTTTTTTTTTTCAGAAGACCCAGTTTGATTTCTTCTCTGGGTTGCTTCCAACCATGGTTCTTTTCAACCATGGGGTTCCATTCAGAAGCTCTCTTTCGTGGGATTGGCTCGTAGGATGCACGCCGCCAGTTTCAAGCACTTGCAGCTCCTCGCGAAGCTCATTGGAATGTATCCTGGATATGAAGCCATCACTTGTTGGGTCGAGCTGCAGTGAGTTTCCATAGCAGGTAATGTTTCGAGGGCGCAGTTCCCAGAGGTGCCATCGAAGACTTGGCGCCTGGAGGGCGATGGACCCCCTTCAATTCAATCCACAAAAGCAGGCAGGAGAGTTGCTAAGACTTTGGGCCCCTGTGGCAAGGGGTCCATTTTTGGTGCCGATTTTTTTGCAACATGTCGGAACATGTGGGCGTTTCTTCTTTTAGGGGACCCCAAAATGGTGGTTGTCCTTGGGCTTGCCCCTCAACACCAAAAAACAAGTCCCTCGAACAACCCGCGCCTCCCATACTTTAGGTTTCCACCGGAAGTGGTTGATGCCTCCTCCAAACCTGTCCCAAGGCTTCCCGTTCCTTTTCCCACTTGTAGTTTGGGCCCGCAGGCTACGCCATGCCCGGTGCTCAGAGAAAGAGGCAACTGGGAGCGAGCCGGGTGTGTTTGAAGTTGAGCACCTCCAACATGGGGGTGCCTTTGGTTTTTTGCAAGACCATGTGTTTGTTGGTCACTGAGACAATTGCAGCAAAGTATTGGTTGCAGAATGCCATGTGTAGGCTTCCCTGTAGAAACGTTTTGGCAAGCTTAGGACGTTTCCTGTGGCCCCTCCGGACGCGAGTACAACCCGAAAAGGGGCACCACACACAAAACAGGAATCGACTTGATGGTGCGGCTGTGGGCTTATTTCTATTTCGGAACTGGTGGGGTTTCTCGCCACTGGCCGTCAAGCTTTGTGGGACAGCGGCCACGAAGCCGAGGGCGTGGTTGCAGAGGCCCCACGTGGTCTTTTGAGGGTACAAGGTTTGAGGCCAAAAAGACACCCAAATGGAGGTCGAAAAAAATGAGGGAAACCAAATGGAAGCCAAGTGTTGTATTTTAGAATGCCTGGGAGGTCCATAACCCCATTTCACCCACCTACAAAAGGACACCTTTTAACTGGTGAAGCAGGGTTTTTGTCAGCAACAACCCAGTTTAACAAGGGGTCTTTGGAAGCCTTGGGATGTAACCAGCTGATTGGTTTCAAAAGCAAAACCAAAAGCCCCACAGCTCTACTGCTATTGGGTTGGATCTTTAGACTTTAACTTTTTGGATTCCCCTCATATTTCCCTTTACCCAGCAAAAGGTTAAACTTTTTGCTGGGGGATCTACAGCACCCACAGGGACTTGGCGCTGGGTTTCTGAAGCCGTCGGCTGAGGCGGGGACGCCAGCGACGCGGCCCCCAGGCTCAAGGAGTGGCTGGGCTTGTCCGGGCCGCGGCCTCGACCCGGTCGAGCGACTCGAGCGGCTCGAGCGCCTGCCTTAGGCCCGGGCTTTGGTTAGGCCAGGCCTAGGCCCGAAGAGCCGCAAGTTGCCATATGGCGGTGGCTGTCAAAAATAGGGTAACCCCAAAATGGAGGCGTAGTAAATGGAAGCATGGACTAAAACCTGCGGGCCCCTAGTGGTTTAATGTTGGCCCACACCAATAAATATGAATTCACCACCCATTTTAGAACCTATTTTAGTGGGGATTGAGATGTTCACTGGGGGTACGATTTGGATTTGACCCATGGCCATATTTGGGCCGTGCAATAAATAGGGTGGGGCTACCCATTGGTTTAAACATGTTTAAGCCACTGGTTATGACGACGATTTCCTGTGAAGGTGGTGTTTAAATCATATTTTGCCCCACTTTGACAATAAAAGGGACACCTCCTAGAGGAGCCTGCAGGGTTTCATAACATACTGGTTCCCCCTTTGTCCATGAAAATCCAGACCTCCGCTGGGGTGGGCCCCAATCGTTTCATCTGTTTTCTTTGGAGGGGGGTTGCCTTTTAATTCTTCGTAGGGGGGTTGCCTTTTAAAAATCACTTGTCAACAACAGGTTCACAGTTTTTCCACGGAGATCTGGGAAACTGACTTGCCCATAGATGGAACCCAAGAAACTCATGTTGGATTCGCGCCTTTCTTTGGAAGGTTCATGATGATTTTGTTCAGGGGGTCCTGCACCCTACCCCCCCGTCAAATTCGGAAGCGCTAATTGTCCTTTCGCTTTCTCTTTCCCTTTCCCATCCAACCCAAAACGACGCTGCTTCTGATCGCCAAAAGAGCTCCTTAAAGCGTTGAATTGGTACTTCAGGCAAAGTAGTGACTAACCCGGAAAGCGTACGCCCAAGGGATAAACAAATCATTGTTACTAAGGAAATGGGTGTCTTCTTTTAGGGCACTTCCCAAAACACATGGGGAGTTCTTGGGTTTCCTTAGACAACCAAAAATGGGTAGCCAGCACAAAAAAGACACCCAAGCACCAAGTACTTGCCCTTCGAGTCCCTGAAACGCCCTGGGCGGGTGGGGGCAAAGGGTGAAGCGGTCAAACGCCATGTATGCTGCCCTGATAGACGAAAGACCCATGGTGCTACGAAGCGGAATGCACAACAATGGCCGTAACTTGACTGCTATTGGGTTGGATCTTTAGACTTTAACTGTTTGGTTGAAATCAGGGGGTGTTGCACTAAACCCCCCAAAAAGATGATTTTTTTGCAGGGGGGTCGTTGCAGCAACCAGGGTACGTTGGACGGACTACACTGGGCTGTTCTCAAATCCAAAAGTGGGAACAATGATCTTTGAAACTGGGCCAATCCGGGAACATGGGCGGTGTCGAAAGCGGGCCAGTGAAACGAATGGGAGGTCAAACTCTTCTAGTCTGGAAAAGCAAACATGCTTCTTTGTGTTTGCCATTTTGTTTGTGTTAAACCTGGAGAACAAAATGCGCTTTTGGGGGTCATTGAGGGGTATGTGAAAAGGGTACGTGCCAAGGCTTCAGTGAAGGTCCTTTGGGCCAGTCCTTTGCCACATCACGTTTGCGATTTTTCCTGCTCCCTCGGTCCCGCAAGGGCGCCAAAAGGCTTCCATTTGGTCAATATTTGTTTTTACTTTTCCAAGGGAATCTATCACTAGTCACTACTGGACATCATTTTTTTTTTTTCAGGGGACGAAAACGCAAACGGAAGAAGGCGATCGCCGTTACAGACTTTGCCTTTTCGGCCGCGGAGAACGGGTCGTGTCGAAGGTCGGGAACGGAGGCGCTGGCATCCTGCAAGGCGCGAACATCGATGTTTCCGCGGCGTTTGATTCGTGTTGTGAAAGCCCGCAAAGACCCAGTTGGATCGCCAGTTGCGATCGTTTTTCCTTTTTTTCCCCATGCAAAAACCAGCAACAGTGACTGAAAACAACAGCAACTTGGCTATCTAGGCAGTTCAGGGCTGGTCCTTGCTAACTTGCCCCCAAAAGGGTGTTTTGGACACAAGGTCGGCTTTTTCCAGAACACCTACCAAAGGTCCGACCCGACCTTTGCCGCGGGGTACCGTTGGGCTTGCTTGAAAGGGAAAGCAACAGAGCAAAAGGAGAGCCGAAATCCACTTTTGGGGTAGCCCTTTTTTCCAAGAAACTGTCCGGTTTCCTCAACGAAAAGCCGGAACATGAACTACCAGCAGTGAGTTGCCCCTTATCCAAGTCGGGGAACGCCGCAAAACGTGTTTCGTTCGTTTTTGCTTCCCTTGAACACCCCAAACGGGTACCGAAAAAGGTCACACCATTCATAGTGTCCACAGAGCCAAAGGCTTTGTTTGGGCAGTGCTAAGCTCTCAAGAACTCCAGGGTCGTACCCTTGGGCGATCCCCCTCAGAAAAGGAAGGGGTCTTTTGGAGGAGTTCGTCTTCCAGAAGGGCTAGGGAGTAACGTTAGCTTCGGATTGATCTGGACCGATTTCAGGGGAGATTCCCCTTTGTTTGTCTAGGTCCCGCAGTAGTGCCCTTTTATCCTTTTGGGTTGGGCTGGTTTGGGGCGCCCCAAGGTGCACTCGGCAGGTTTAGGGCGCCAAGCGTCTTTTCGGCAGGTTTAGGGCGCCAAACGCTTCGAAGCGATCGGAACGTTCGAAACGCTCGAAAAGTTCGAAAAGGTCGAAACGAAACGTTCGAAGTGTTAGAAACGTTCGAAAAGTTCGAGAAGTTCGGAAAGTTCGAGACGTTCGAGACGTTCGAAACGTTCGAAAAGTTCGAAACGTTCCAGAAGTTCGGAAAGGTCGGAAAGTTCGAGACGTTCGAAAAGTTCGAAACGTTCGAAACGATCGAAACGTTCGAAACGATCGAAAAGTTCGGAAAGTTCGAAACGTTCGAAACGATCGAAACGTTCGAAACGATCGAACAGTTCGGAAAGTTCGAAACGTTCGAAACGCTCGAAACGTTCGAAGCGTTTGAAACGTTCGAAAAGTTCGAAAAGTTCATACTTTCGAAAAGTTGGATCGAAACGATTGAAAAGTTCGACACGATCGAAACGATCGAAACGACCGAAAATTTCGGAAAGTTCGAAACATTCAAAACGTTCGAAACGTTCGACACGATCGAAACGTTCGAAACGATCGAACAGTTCGGAAAGTTCGAAACGTTCGAAACGCTCGAAACGTTCGAAGCGTTTGAAACGTTCGGAAAGTTCGAAAAGTTCATACTTTCGAAAAGTTGGATCGAAACGTTTGAAAAGTTCGAAACCGCAACGATCGAAACGATCGAAAATTTCGGAAAGTTCGAAACGTTTGGAGCGTTGGAGAAGCTCGATAGTGGATGCTCACGATGCGCCATTTGCTTGCTGCAGTTGTAGGTTTTGTGCTAGCTATTTCCCCCCTCCTGGGCGGCCATTCGGGCTTCGAAACGTTCGAAACGATCGAAAAGCTCGGAAAGTTTTAGGAAAGTTCGAAACGATCGAAACGTTCGAAAAGTTCGAAACGTTCGAAACGATCGAAACGATCGGAAAGTTCGGAAAGTTCGAAACGTTCGAACCGTTCGAAACGTTCGAGACGTTCGAACCGTTCGACAAGTTGGATCGAAACGATTGAAAAGTTCGAAACGATCGAAACGATCGAAACGATCGAACATTTCGGAAAGTTCGAAACGTTCGAAACGTTCGAGACGTTCGAAACAGTCGAAACGTTTGAAACGTTCGGAAAGTTCGAAAAGTTCGTACTTTCCGAAATTTTCGAAAAGTTCGACACGTTTGGAGCGTTGGAGAAGCTCGATACTTTAGCGTACAGATTTATTTGGCGAACTTAGCTCCCATTTATCTAACTTAGCAAAACTGCATCCGCTAAGTGGTTATAGCTCACTTACTAAGTTCGCTAAGTCTTGACCTAAGTTCTGGCTAAGCTCTAGCTAAGTTATTGGAGCGTGCGCGGAGAAGGGTATATCGCTGTCTCCCCGACACGCGTGCGCGTGTATCCAGCTAAGCCCACATCGCACCGCAAAACCAACAGGGCTTTTGACCGCAGATGCGTGTGTTTGCAGCGCGCTTTTGCATGGATGAAAGGACATGCTGGGAGAACTGCTGGCCTTCAAACATGGACATGTTTTGTGCGCCTACGTTTAGCGGCTATAGGGCCGCTACATTGAGGCCGCTATATTTTCAATTCCCCCCCCCCCCCCCATGCATGCAGTGTCTTGGCGGCGTGCGCATTATGTAGCCTTTAGCGGCGCGGCGACCAGACTCAAGTAAAAACATCAGGGGCCATATAGGAAGTAAATAAGTGCAGAGACTACTATACGGGCCATGTCTGTGACGGGTTTTAGTGCCCTGCAGGGATTGTTTGTTCATTTGCTTGAGCAAAGGGGCTTCGTTTTGGGCACGCCTGCTGAGCAAAGGGGCTCCGGTTTTTTTTGGCGCGTATACTGGGCAAGGGGCAGCCAACCAAACAAAACGCACTTTAGCGCAAGGGAGGATCTGTAGCGGCCAGGGGCCGCTAAGCTGCTGAACAATCGCACTTTAGCGGCATGCGCTAAACCGCTATATAGAAGCAAACTTTAGCGGCCGGGGCCGCTAAGCCACTATAGTTTTGGGCCACGCCTCTGTGACTATAGTGCCCAGGGGCAGCCAACAAAAAAAGCAAGCGCTATAGGGGGGCGCTAAGCGGGCCAGGGGCCGCTAAACCGCTCAAAAACTTGAGTATGCTTGGCCGACAGCTAGACGAACTTTAGCGGCTATGCCGCTAAAACACTAAAAGAAAACTGTTGGGGATGGATTTGCCGGGATGTGCCGGGATGTGTGGGGGTGTTTAGAAATGTGTTGGGGTTGGATTTTAAGCTCTCTTGGCCTCTCCTGCAGTGTCGGGAAAGTCTCGGGATGTGTCGGGGACGTGTCGACAGGGATGTGTCAGGAACGTGTCGGGAATGTGTCGGGATGCGACAGGATGCGTCGGGGATGCGTCGGGAATGCGTCGGGATGCGTCGGGGATGCGTCGGGATGCGTCGGGAATGCGTCGGGATGCGTCGGGGATGCGTCGGGATGCGTCGGGGATGCGTCGGGAATGCGTCGGGATGCGTCGGGGATGCGTCGGGATGCGTCGGGGATGCGTCGGGGATGCGTCGGGATGCGTCGGGGATGCGTCGGGATGCGTCGGGGATGCGTCGGGAATGCGTCGGGAATGCGTCGGGAATGCGTCGGGGATGCGTCGGGAATGCGTCGGGGATGTGTCGGGGATGGCATGGGGATGTGGGGTGGAGTGGCGTTGGGAGCGGGAGTCGAGTTGGAGCTGGGCAGCTGCCAGTCTGGACCTGGCAGCTGCCAGTCCTGAGCTTCCAGTCTGGAGCTGCCAGTCTAGAACTGGCAGCTGCCAGTCTGGAGCTGGCAGCTGCAGTCTCGAGCTGCCTGTGTGGAGTTGGCAGCTGCCAGTCTGGAGCTGGCAGCTGCCAGTCTGGAGCTGGCAGCTGGAGCTGGCAGCTGCCAGTCTGGAGCTGGCAGCTGCAGTCTGGAGCTGGCAGCTGCCAGTCTCGAGCTGCCAGTGTGGAGTTGGCAGCTGCCAGTGTGGAGCTGGCAGCTGCCAGTCTGGAGCTGGCAGCTGCCAGTCTGGAGCTGGCAGCTGCAGTCTGGAGCTGGCAGCTGCCAGTCTCGAGGTGCCTGTGTGGAGTTGGCAGCTGCCAGTGTAAAGCTGGCAGCTGCCAGTCTGGAGCTGGCAGCTGCAGTCCGGAGCTGGCAGCTGCCAGTCTGGAGCTGGCAGCTGCCAGTCTGGAGCTGCTCCAGACTGGCAGCTGCAGTCTGGAGTTGGCAGCTGCCAGTCTCGAGCTGCCTGTGTGGAGTTGGCAGCTGCCAGTGTGGAGCTGGCAGCTGCCAGTCTGGAGCTGGCAAACATGGCGCAGAATATAAGGCTTCGTGTGTGCATTTCTGACACCCTTCCGAGGCCACTGGCCGGGTGCATTTTCTAAGTTCGCTAAGTTCTGGCTAAGTTTTTAATTATATGTAGTTGCTAAGTTCCCGCCAAGTCCGCAGCAAGCACCTAGAAGCAATTGCGCTAACTGCCCGCTATATCTGCCAAACAGTTATAAGTGAGGCGACCTTATGCATTATTTAAGCCCACTTATAACATGACTTGCCCCCCCTTATAAGTCACCTTGTCGAACTTAGCAAGTTCGCCAACTAGATCCGTATGGAAACCATAATGTAGGCCAGGAACCATTGGCACCCGAAACCTGCCACAGAACCCATTGGCACCCGAAAGCTGCGGAACTACTTGTTTGGCACCCGAAACCTGCGCAGCCCATCCTTTTATAGGGGAGGGTTCCCCGACTAAAATAGACAAACCAGAAAGAAATAGAGGGTACCCTTATTCTAACCTCTCAAATCTGGAGGACCTGGTTGTTTTTTGTTTTGGTGGGGAGTCCTCTCTCCGAGTGGGGTCCAGATTCATCCGAGGTCATATGGTGACTCTGGAACCCTTGAAGCCCGCTTGGGGTCGCTTTGAGGAAAATCGTCGAAGGGTCCCTAACTTTCAAGTTCCATGTGTTGCACTCCCCGTGACCCAAACAACACATGGAGTATATATATATATGGTAGAGGTTTGTCACCCCCCCCCCCCACCATGGTTATGGTAGCCTTAAACCATATATACAGAAAGGTGTATGTTTGGGGTATTATTTGTCTGGGCTTGTGGTGTACTTTAACACCAAGTAGGTTCACGATCATCAACGAATGAACTTTCCGTAGTTCGTCAGGCCCTTTAAAGAGTCGCAAACTCTAAGAAAACAGCTGCTGGAAATTCTACAGGACATCCGTGTTTCTGGCGGTTGTTTGGCCAATGTGCTGTGGAGTGTGCTGCAACTGATCTCTACGTTTATTGACCGTTGTTCTTTCAAACAGCTCTTTTCCACGTTTTGTTGTTGTTTTTTTCCAACGATGGGACGGATCCCAGCGGTTTCTACGCCACATTTTGTGTGTGTGTTTCAATTGGTAACCCAAGGGAGACCACCTAGATAGCCAAGTTGCGATCGCTTTTTCAGTCACTGTTGCTGGTTTTTGGGGTAAAGTTCATGGAAAAAAGCAAAAACACCACTGGCGATCCAGGCACGTAGTTTTTTTGGGGGTCCCCCAACAAATCTCCGAGTCGGCCGTCAGATCTTTTAGTCGCGCATTCGCCCTGCAGGACTTTGCGCGCATGGGCCTGCTGGGGGTGCCCTTCTGCGCCAACGTGCCGAGGAGCTACCGCTGCCTTTGCAGGGGCCTCGAAATGAAATGGGGATGTGGGTGTGGGTCAAAACCAATGGTACCATTTTGGGGTAGGCACACCACCCATTTTAGTCTATTTTAGTGGGGATTGGGATGTTCACTGGGGGTGCGGGATTTTGACCCATGGCTATGTGTGGGTGTGTGACTTTGTGAGGGTGCCCCCTTTTGGTTGGTTTTAAGGGCACACCAACAGGAAAACCGCCCTTCTGGGGGTTCCCCCAAAAAGACGCACCATGTGGCAATGGGCGCCGAAAAAGGTGGTTGTCCTTGTGAGTTCCTTTTCAATCGGAACGGATTTGTAAGCTGGCTGATTGATACGGGATCGTCCCCTTGAGGGGATCCTTCACTTTTTAACGGGGCCGACACCGCCCTCCACTAGGTGGTTGCAGTACACCAAGCTGCAAGGGGTACCGAGCCTCAAACACAAACACCTAACCATGGCAGCAGGGCCCTGGATCGCGCGGATTTTTTGGCAAAAAAATGATGAGCCCTTAGGTATTCCTGATTTCCGGTTAGGACATCTACTGCGAGAGTAGATGCCGCGATTCCCGTGTAAGCACAACAAAACCTGAACCAAGGAGCTGTGGCCTGTGCCAACTGCAGGCAATTCTGGCCACACGTCCCAGCAACTCTGGCATCGCAGCGAGGGGCAGACATGTAGGAGGGTTTAAAAACAGGTGCCTCAGTTTGGTGGCTTCTGAACTCGAGTTTTAGACCTCGCCAAGGTTGCGTTTATAGGGGATCCCGATTTGTTGGTGTACCCAGTTTAACATGATAGGTCTGATGTTTCTGTTTCAGGGATTGGAATCCGTACTACTGACCTCTTGCAATCTGGACCCGGTCTCACATCAACACGCCAGCCGAAAAAGCGGCTTTAATCCAGATGACCGTGCTTCACCCCTTTTCCCTGAACCCGCAAAGTGCCTGGGTTTCAGGTTTGGACCAACCCCTTCCAACCAATGCCATCCAGACCTTCATTTAGCTGCCTCTCTTCGAGTTTGTTTCGTCAAACGTCCACCTCCAACACAATCGATTCAACTCATTTTCATCAAGCACCCTCTCCAGGAGGTCCTGGACTTCAAAAACTTTTTGGCAAAACCGTCTTAGTTTAAACCAACAGTTAGCCCATCCACTTCAGCCCATCCACTCATCCGCTGCGAGGTGCAGAGACCTGCGGCTGCCCTTGTGCCGGTCCAAGCTGCGACTGCCAGGAGTCCGAAAGGGAAACCAAGAGGAACACCTAGGTCCCCGAGCGATTGGTGCCCTGTCTCACCAACTTGTTTGGTTGGGAGGGCTACCCTATATACTAAAACGGACTACAGGAAAAGGGGTTCAGGTCTTCCTGGGTTTTCAGGGTGCCCCTATTCTATTTAGCTTGTTTGGTTGGGGTTTTGGGTTCCCCTACTAAAATAGACTACCGAAAAAAGATCGGGTACCCTTATTCTAACCTCTCAAATCTGGAGACCCTAGTTGTGGTCATTGTGGTCATTGTGGTCATTGTAAGAGGCACCAAGAGTCGAAGCAAAGAGGAACGCTCACAAATCACTTTTTCGCGGGGTCCCCAAGCAACTTCCGAACTTCCGGGCTGGGCGGCAGATGCTTTTAGTTGGGCCGGGCGGTGATCGCTGGGGTTCCAGAGTGGCAGGATCGATCGCGAGCCTCGAGCCTCGGGAGCTGAACATCACATGGATTGCCTTAGCAAATGAGCCACGTCCTCAAAACCCGGGTAGATGAAGCTTGGTAAGGCACAATCCAAACCATAAGTAGCTGCGGATATCCGCCTTCTTAATTCTTTACATGGTTCTGGGTAGACCTTTTTAATACCGGGTTTTGCTTATGACTCAAATGCCCTCCACGTCGAGGGAAAAGACGTTGCGTGCTTTCTCAGACCTTTGGCTAGCCAAAGGCTGACTAATAGCTGACCCAAGCGGAATTCAAAGCTTTGGCCAAGAATCCTTCCTTGCAGGCCTCGGCAGTTTTGCGCGCGGGTTTCATCGCTGAACTAACAGGGGCACGCTCTCCTTCAGGGGATTGGTCTGAACCATTTGGCTTCCTAAGCGAGTGGCATGGTTCAGGTATCCATGGCCTCGTTCCAAAAAGGGATACATGCTGCGGAACCTTGTGCTCCTCAACCCCCTACGGGAAATCATGGGTTGACCGCCGACAACTCAAGGGCGCCGCTGTGGTGCTTGGAGCCTTTCCTTCGTGAACTACTGTGGATGGACAAAATCCTGCACCACTTTAAAACCATGGGAAACCATTGTTTGTTGGTATTTGCAAGGGAATCATCATTCCAGGGGTTCTGAACGGTGGTGCGGTATTTCGTCCATCCACAGTATCAGCACCCGACGAAATGAGTTGCATCATTCAGATCCCGAGCGCCCAGCCTTCAGCATCCCCCCCCCCCACGCACTTCCCTAAGAACCTTTGGCCGAGGCTTTTGGCTTGCTTCGACATGTCAGTACGATATCTCCTTTGCCTGCTGATTGTATAGTAGCATCCCTAAAAGACATTTGGGTGTGGATGTTTCTTGGAGTTGCTACCCCTTGTTCCTTGTTTGGTGGTTTTTTTGTAAAGGGGTCAGCCAAAAGGAAAACCCCTAAAAGACATTTCAGTGTCATTTCTGGGTTGGTACTTCTTTTGGGGTGGTATTAAAGGGGTCAGCCGAAAGGATAACCAGCATTTGGGGGGTCCGACCTAAAACACTAGGGTTTGATTCCCCATTCTTTTCAAGCATCGTTCTTTCCAAAAACCGGATCTGTTTTCCCTGACTTTCTGGAGGTTTTCTAGAAAGATCCGGATCCTGGAAAGAATGGTTGGAAGGTAGCCCTGGAACCTTTTGTTTTGAGCTTCCACCCCCCATGAGCATTTTCCGGGTTGGTTTAGAGGGCCAAAGGGAGCCCGGCCCATTTTCTTTTCCTGGTTTCCAAAGTCCCAAGAATTGGTAACCCCGAGACGGTAGGGAAAACCCCGCATTTTGGGGGGTCCAACCTACAGAGACCGCTCTTCGCATCAGGACCCAAGCCCCACCGATCTGCTGCCCCTGAGCCTTCCGGGCCGGGCTCGGGACCTCGGGACCTCGGGACCTCGGGGCAGTCCAAGCCGCATGGGTGGCGCGTTCTCTTCGCGAAACTCCAAGGGCTTTCCAATTCTCCGTAGGTTTTTATGCCCTGGAGAATCACCGAATTTTATCTGCTAGTTACTTTGGTCGGTTTGGGATTCTGTTGGGTAGTCTTTCTCGGGTGTAATGTGAGGGTGTAGCATGAAGATCCTTAGAAGAACGGTTGCCCTTTAAGAGCCAGCCAGACAAGGGTACCCTCAGGCAAAACACAGACCCACTTCCCTTCCAGTTACTGGAGGTTCCTGCAACACAGTTTTTCGGCGCAGACTTTGGTGGTCTCCTGTTCCTCATGTGACCTTCTTCTGGTCTTTGACACAGTCCGACTTTTTCCAGCAACGCATGTGGCCCTTTAAAAGGCTGGCTTGCCAAGGGCCGGGCCTGAGTTGCCCCCTTCGGCCAAGGTCTTCCGTTTGGCCTTCACCACGTGTTTGGCGATACTTGGCCTCAACCAGGCCTAGTTGGAAGGGGTCCGCTTTTGTTGCTTCTGGCGAGATCCCAAGCCTGCGCCTTGGGAATGGACCGATTCCCTTAAAGGAAACCGGCAAAAACTGTTTAGACCAGTTGTTTCCTCATGAAAGCTAGTTTTTTTTTAAAGGAAACCACCAAACATTATTTAGACATGTTATTTCAACTCCTATATAGGTCCCCCACTAGTGCCCTTATACCCTGTTTTGGTTGGGAGGGGAAGCCCCTACTAAAATAGACTACGGGAAAAAATGGGGTACCCTTATTCTAACCTCTCAAATCTGGAGGACCTAGTTTCTCATTCCCTGCCTTTCGACCCCATTGCAAGAAATCATCCAGGGGGGCAGAAGGCGCGGGCGTAGCTCGGGCGTAGCCGAGGTCTTCACCTGGGAGACGGACCTCAGCGTCTGCAGCAAGGACGGGCTGCAGCTGAAAGCCTTGACCTGCCCAGCCCTCGGAGTGATTTCTGGCGACGTGGCGACGTGATGCGAAGGCAAGGCTTGGTTTTTCTCCCAGCCATGCGATGCCTTAGCTTCTTTGGTGTTTCAGTGGGTTTAGTTCTAGGGGTTGATTCCTTGTCCATTCTTTTGAACCATGGTGCTTTTAAATAAACCAGCGGTTTTGTAGGGGTTCTGAGTTTCTTTTTTTTAGAAAGAAGGATCACTGGAAAGAATGGGGAAGAAGTGTCCGCTAGATTAGTGGTAGTTTCCGTATTTGACCCACAAGAAAAAGTGAAACTCAGATGTGAGGACGGCCCAGAGTTTGCCAAGTCAGGGCCCCAAAAAGTGGCCCCTGCCTTCAGGAGCCAACCAAGTGCCAGCACGGAAACCTTCTCATCACCCCCCATCACCTCCCCCTCCCCCCACCCCCCCACCCTAAACCCTCCCCAACCCTAAACCCCCCCCCCCACCCAACCTAACCCCCCCCCCCCGCCTTCGCTCCCCGAATCACCAAGCTCCAAGCCCCGCGCATTCGTCGCCTCGCGGCCTGAGGCGACTTCAAAGACCCCTTCGACCCCTCACAGACGCCGCTGGCCACCGCCCGGCGCCCCAGGCCCTCGGAGCCGGAGGTCTCGGAGCTGCATGGCTTCCGCCGTCGACCCAAAAGACTTCGCGGCCTCACAAAGGAACTGGAGTTGCAACCGACTGCACCTATTAAAGGTTGGCTCCGGTGGGCTTCTTTCCAGATGTCTCCCCCTTTGTTGTGGAAGGTGGGTTTTGGTTCCAAGCTCGATCGCCAGGGTACTTGGGCCATTTCAGAACAAGGGATGGGGCTTCAAAACAAGTGTCCACCAAGTTTTCCAGTGATTGGTCATACTCTGCTTGGAGGTTGCCAGATTTGCAAATCGCAAATCGGCGATGCTTTTCCTTGGTTTGTGCTTCGTTTACTTGCTTGACATTCTGTGGAAGGACCAACTTCTGCACTAGTTGGCATGACCGACCCTGTGAATTCCGGGATAAACCACATGCCTGGCGCAGGATGTCGTCCATCCACAGTATTTTGCAAATGAATCGAACCTCTTTGATTTTGTTCGCACACACTTGCCAGAGAGAGAGAGAGAGAGAGAGAAAGAGCTCGTTTGGGCAACCCTGCGCATGAACTGAGCAGGGCTGGGCAAGTGGTGCTTCCTCCTGGTACATGGGCGTTATTGTAGAGCCCGCGTAAACCTTTCTGAGCATTTCGGTCGAACCAAACCGTCTCGGGTTTTTGGCACCGCCCTTCGGTTCTACGCAACTGTCCCTCTACTTTCAGAGGTCACAGGGCCGTGGACCCCCTCCTTGTGGGGCCTTTGGACAGAGGTTCTGCCAGCATTTCCAGTCTTTGCTCCATTCAAGGGCACTGACGGGCCCGAAATTTCCCAAAGCAGAGGACTCAAAACGGAGTTTCCCATGGCCGCAAGTGGCTCATGTGGTCCGCTAAGCTTGTTTCATTCACTGCCAATCTGCAGAGTCGACCTGCCACCCTTCGGAATTTGACCCATTGCATTTTGAATTTGCCCCAACGGCCCCATGCCGCTCAAAGCCCCCATGCCCCGAATCATGCCCGTGCCCAACCCAGAGGTGGTCAGCTTGGTTCAGAATTGATGGCACTGGGTGTTCTCGGGTTGTTAATCACTTATCAGCGCCATGTCTCCTTCAGGGATGCCTTGAGCAAAGTGTCCTATGATTTCCCCAGTCGGCCCAGTCAAACCAGCACCTCTCTTTTTTCGCCAACACGAGCTTCCCTTTCAGTGGGGTAAAGAGGACACAGCCCTGAGATGCATTTCGGTTGTTCCGCCTGGGGAATCTTGGGAAACCCGAGCGACGAGGTGAAGGAGACGTTGCAGACCCAGCGCTTGCTGGCGCGGACGATTCCGCAAAAATCGACTCATCGATGTGGAAGGGCTCTTGATCCGAGCAGAGATTCGTTACGCCGGAAGCCCCGCAGATCAATATGGAACCCACAGGAACCAGGTTTTTGTCAAAAGGGGGTTGTTTGTGTACTAGGTTCATTTGCAGGGGAAAAAAGAAACCGATCGGTTGACTGCGAGGTCGTACAACCTTGGCCTTTTTAAGCAATTTCCATACTTTCAACAGCTCAGAAGACCACCCCCTGAAACTACCAACTTGGCTCTTCCTCCGGGCTCCAATCTCGATCGGCCGCGAGAAAAAAACAGGCATCCTGCCAACGAAACGCTCGCCCACTTTGGAAGCCGAGGCAGCGGAGCTTGGGTAGAGCAAGGGTTTTTTGTTTTGAGACGTCTTGAGCCTTCCTGCTCGACCTCTTGTGAGCAACCTTGAAAGGGGAAGAACCGGGTGGTCTTGGGATACTTGCACCGAGCAATGTATAGACAAAGTACATAAATCCACAACCAAGTCAATTAATTAGGAAGTGAAGGAATACAGGAAAACATATGTGTATATACATATATATATATATATATATTATTCTCCTTACATCTCATTCTACAGCCTTGGTTTATTTTATCTATACATACTGTGGATGGACGAAATCCTGCACCACCTAAGAAACCTTGGCATGATGATTCCACTGTACCAGCAAACTTGGTTTTCTATGGTTTCAAAGTGGTGCAGGATTTCGCCCATCCACAGTAGCTTGGTACTCCCACTTCAAAAGTGAAACTATGGTTGCCACCAAGGGCCTCTTGACATGAGCAACCCTGTTGTTTCGCCCCTTTCTGTCGCATATCGATACTGGGCCTCCCCCTGTCCCATGGTTTGGCAAGTCACCCGAAGTCGGCTCTTCACTTCGGGTCTGTTCAAGAGCATCTTAGTTTTTATTATTGCAATTATGATTAGTATTGTGTTACTTATGTTTATTTTAGTTCTTGTTATAATTTTGGTTGTTCGATTATTTCTCACGAGAAACGATTGTACCTGTCTACCCTATGCCAACTGAACTAACGATCCGCACCACACTTTGTAAATTCTGTGGATGGACAAAATCCTGCACCACCGTTTAGAAACCCTGGAACGATGGTCCCCTCGTAAACACCGGCAAACAAGGGTTTCTCATGGTTTCTTAGGTGTTGTAGGATTTCGTCCATCCACAGTATGACTATGATAATTGTTGCTACAATAAGAATCACCGGATGACATCTTCGGCCCTCGGCATGCAGGGGGTTCTACCCATCAGCATCTTCCCCGGACCACCCTTGCCGGGGGACTCGTCCACTGGGCGCAGTGGGGACCATGTGCCGCGTCTAAAGACTTACTGCTTTGATCCGGGTGTATAGTAATGTTGACCCAGGATTAACAAACCCGTCCCATTATTGGGGGGTGTTCCCTCCAAAAGTGGTGAATCCCCACTGAAAGAGGACCCCCTCTCATTGATCAACCCGGGGTTTATTAATCCGGCGTTATCATTATCCCACAACTACATTTTTTAAGCCAAGGTCGCGAATGATGTCGCAACACCGAAGGTCGCAAAATTCGGTGGTTGTCAGCGTTTAGGGGTATGCAGCCACTCCAGAGGTTCATTTATCTAGGCAAGTCACAGCAGGCTTGCAACTGAGCTGGTTTGCAACCGAACCCATGATAGTTGCTTCTGACACCAGCAAGCAGGATGCGGAAATCAGGGCAACACAATGGAAGCCGTTGCTGTCTCACTTCAACGACGAGGAGACGTGCGAGAGATGCTTCCTTGTCGCCAAAAGGCTCTTGAGCGCAAGGGATGTGCCAAGAAGTGACAGCGCATGACCCTGAGTGCCAGTTGGGTAAGATCTTTGAATTGGCGGAGGAGGAGTTGAAAACTCCGTACTAGCAAAGCGTAGCCCACGACGGCAAAGAGCAGGCCATGGATTGACCGAAGGGCCGAGAAAGGCAAGGCGGGGCAGCTTGAGGCTGTGACGAATCCGATGTCTTGCCCCCTTCCTGATCCCCGCATGCATGGTTGTTGTTGGGAAACATGTTACATTTTTGCTTATTGTGGTTTAGCGGGAAATCCAACCACTTCCCCTTTGGGCACCAAAGTGGTGAAATGGCTGTGGGTCAAAACTGTTTTGGGACCACCCATTTTAGTCTATTTTAGTGGGGACTGGGATGTTCACTGGGGGATAACCGGGATTTTGACCCATGGCCAAATTTGAGGAGAGAGCCAGTCACAGGCGTCCTTTTGATCAGTGAGTTTGATTAGACAAAGAGGGCGCAGGTAGAGATTGGTGAGGCTCCAAGGACACCTATGGTCCCGGTTCCAAGTTCCTTGGCTCAGCTCTGCTAGGTCTTGATTCGACCCACCTGACCATTTCGGATTTTTGACGGATTTTGGAGAGGCCCTCAAAGGAACATTGTCGCAAGCGAGCGGTTGCGATTTGGGGTCTTTTCGGTTGCTGGGGAGGGGCAACCTAATGTGATACCAAAGTAGATCTGTTGAAGTAGTCGTACGGTGTATGGACATAAGCCTGCACCAGTTAGGATCAATGAAGCCCGATTTTTTCCGGGTTAAATCACTATCACCTGGTGGAGGGTTTGTCCACCCACCGGAAATGGATTCGAATCCCACCAACGGTTCCGAAAATTCAGGAACAATCTTGCTGAGAAATAGAGGATTCAGTTTGCGTGCTAAACAATCCGAACCGATTGTTGCTTTCCTTAGAACGGGATGGATCATTGGCTGAATCTTCGCACGAAGCCCCCTTTTAACATGTGTCTTTTCCGCTTTTCTCTTTGACCATCATTTAGTGTTCGGAGCCGCTCTTTTCCGTCCGATCGGCCAGCATTCCTGGGTTCCGCACGGAGGGCGCGACCCCCTTTTCGCAGGGCATTGTTTGGGGTTGCGACTTTCAGCGGTATCGTCCCCGTTTTTGGTCGAGCTTGGAAGGGACGCTTTGGAAGAGATCTGTCAGATGTGCCCGGACAACTTTGCCTGGTCTTTGACCGGATCGCCCCGGTTTGGGGCCATAGGCGGGATGATTCCCCCTTAACGTCCCACCCCCCCTTTCCCTTGAACCTTCCTCCTTGAGGGAAGTTTCCGCATATATCTCAAAGCAAGGAAGTCCCCCCCGCACGAAAACAAAAAGAGCAACACTCACAAAACAGGTCGTGTTCCTTTGGTGTTCCCAAAGCACCACAAAAAGAGAGGCCTCAAGAAAAGGAGAAGCCCATTTCGCGAGCCTGAGGGGCCGCGGCTGTGACACGGCCCTTCGCTGCCGGGGCGCTTGGGTCGCGTTGGCTACGGGGTTGGAGGAGGGCGCCCCATGTGGCGGACAGAATTCGGGGTTGATGTGGGCCCAAGCGGCAAATCATAGGTCGTCTACCCAAGATTGCCCCAAATGAGACGCCAGCTTCTTTTTTTGGTTGGGTTTGAAGGCATTAACCAATTTTTGAGGGTTCGACAAATCGTAGCCAAGGGAACTGGTGCTTGTCTTCGGTTCTCCTGCGGAGAACCACCCCTGACAAGAGGGTACCAATAAAAAGCAGACATTACAGTCAGAGGGAGGTTTGGAGGGTTTTCTACCCAGGATTGCCGAAGGGACACCAAACAGCCACCTTGCATTCAGGAAGACGAGCACACGAGAAGAAAGGGAATGGACATTTTGGAAACCTCAGCGAGCCAGCTTGCGATTTTCGCAAGTTAGCCAAAGGAAGTCAACAGCTGAGGTCCCTTAGAAACACCCACCGCTATTCACAGCCTTAGCGCCGATGGGTGCCTCAGTCGCCTTTGTTTGAAGGATGCCCTGTGTGTCATCTTACAAAAGTGCGTTGCTCAACATTCGCCAGCCTGGCTGGACCGGTGTTGGTACGTGTGGGATTCCGAGCGATGCGGAACTGGAGCCGCCGGGCTCAAAGCTTCGCTCCTCAAAAAAAGGGGGCAACTGGGTGAGGCGGAGCCGGAGCCAGAAACTCATTTGGGCCATGGGTTGCATCACCTATGGCGATCCCATTTTGGAGCGGATGAACATCCATTTGCCGCCTATTTTGACGTTCACCAGGGGTACAGGGTTTTGGCCCACCGCCATTTCGCCTTTGGCTCGTGAAAGTAGCCGGCGGAAGTGTCTTTGTTGCCTCACCCAACCTGGTTTTTTGTGACCATAGACCCATAGGCTTCGGAGATGGGGCACGCAGGGGACTGACTCCATTCTTGTTCCTTTGTTCCTTTGTTTTTGTTCAGCCCTCTTTGGAGGGAAGTGACCAGTTAAAAGGGTTTCTAGTTTTTCCGGGGACAAATTGTTTTCCATTCAGAACGAGCCCCCCCCCCCCGATCGTGAGCGCAACCTGTTGCTGGTCCCTCAAGTTTGAGGTGATCTGGGAAGCGTCCGCTGCTTCAACCGTCTTCAGGAAGAGGCTCAGAAAAAATCCGCGGGGGAGGGGTGTTTTCTGGAGGGAAGGTTGGCACCAAAGCTGTCCCTGTGTTCTTTTCACACATAGCTGTGCCAACAAAACTGGAGAATTTCGAAAAGCGACCCTGAAATAGGGCGTCCACGGCCCTTCTTTAACTTATAGCGCAGTTTGTAGCATCCTTGGATGCGTACAGGGAATAGGTGCGGGAGTTCGTTGTTCCAGTTCTTCACATGGTTTTGGGCTAGACAACTTTTAAGGCCAATTTTGATGACTCATGCAAGCCCCCTTTACCTTAGTGTAATGGGGAAGCCAAAGCCATACGCACCGCACCCACTCCAGTGATGCGTGCCAATCCACATGTCCAAGCAGGTCGGCCGAACCTAAGAAACAAAAACATGTTTCGCTTTCTCTGGGGCGTACTTGGTATTGGAACAAAGCCGGCCTTTCGGGCTTTCCTGTCAAGCAACCCAAAAGCAAGAGGATGCCCTCTCTCTCCGTTGCCAGGGCCACAAGGCTTTGCGGCCATGAGTTGCAAGAGTGGGAACCACCTGAGAAATGATTGGTGGACATGAGTCCCCCTGCATGATGTCCAAAGGGTTTTTGCATGGAAGCTCATACCCATTTCCTTTCTACACAGCTCATGGACTACTTCGAAGTTTGATGGAGACCAGCAGGCCGCTTTCTCCCGTTGCCTGGAGCGGAGGGGGGTCCCCTTTGTTTCCCCTCTCTCTTTTTCCTTAGGCTTCAGCACTCGGTCGACTCCTTTGTCAGCCCAAGGAGGAAGGGACTCCAAGGTGTTCATGGAAAGTTTCCTTTCAGGGGCATCTCCTTACCCTGGGGGTTCGCCATCCCACGCCTTTTAGCTTTTTTAGTTGGCTTAGCGGGGGGTTCCATTTAACCCACTCTAACTTAAAAACCCTTGCAGGGGATCTGAAAACAGACAGCCCAGATACTTTTCTCCCACAAGACACCGCTGGAGACATCCGCGCGACTCCGAGCCACAAGAATGCGCGTGTTGAGCGAGCGCCAGGTGTGCGCGAAGCGCTGCGATGGCTTCGAGGCGCGGAACAGTGAGCAACTTTTTTCTTGCTGGTGTGATACTCGGTTGTTGTTGGGACACATTTTTCCAATTTTTGCTTATGGTGGTTTAGTGGTTGAAATCCCCACTTGGCTGCTAACATTTAAATTTTTGCTCCCCTGCCACGTCAACCAAGGATAGGCAGGGAATGAAAGAGGGAATGACCATTTTACAACCTGTCCAACTGGTTTCCTTTATTCGGGAATCCCAAAATGGTTCATTCCATGTCACATTCCCTAGCTATTGCACCAGCAAGTCTTTTGTAGAGAGCTCACAGCAACCTTTTGCTTTTAAGGAGGTCTTAGACAGGTGAATAGAACCATTCTTGTGGATACTTAGGGGACCCCCAACTAGTGGGGGGGCAAAACCGCTTGTATATCAACCTTGATTCCCTTGCCAGTACCAAGCGTCACTGGGTTTTTGGGCGCTGCTCTTTCGGTTGGCAGTTTAAAGACCCCCAAACAATAATGGGTTGTGTCCCTTTGGTCTCGCTTTGTTTAGACCATACAATCTTCCCGCATGTCCAAGTTTCCATGTAATTTGCTTTCCCTCAACTTCCATTTGCTCAAGAAAATCATGTTCCTCTTCCTCCATTGGTTTGAAAAGGGATCCTTATATTTATTACTTCCGGGGACGATCAACGCAAATGGAGGTCAATCAACCAATCCAAAATGGGTTGCGCAATTTGATCCGGCTTGCTTGGTCGCCGCCGCGGTGGATGTTGTGTCCTTTTGAGGGTAATGTTGACCCTGGGATTAATAAACCCTTCCCAGTGGGGGACACCCGCAGGGGTTTATTCATCCGGTTTCCCCATTCCCCAGGTTGGATTAAACAGAACACCGAAGCAAAGGTACGGTTTGACCCCAAGTCTATCCTTTTCCCCCCCATCCGTGCTTACATTTTGTGTCCAATTTGTGTCAGAAGGGCAGGAATCCCTGTGTTCCAGGGTTGTTGGATCACTCAAAGTTGATCCCCACTTCTGTGATACAAGTTGGAATCTCCCCCTTTACCTGGGAATCGGCAGTCTTTGGGGTTAGGCCCATTTGGTTGTATCACAGAAGTGTTCGTTTCCCACGGCCCTGCCGTTTTCCAAAGCGAAAACCCGAAGGCCTGCGCATCCTTCGGGGGGTTTTGAGATGGCCACGCAGGCTTCATCTCTGGAGGTGTGAGCCAGGAAGCCCCAAGCCCCACGGGTCCCATGTGAGCGTGTCTTAGGTTTTGAGAGCCTTGGAGGTGTGTGTGTGTGTGTGTTTTTCCCTATTTGGTGTCCAAGAAACAAAATCCTTGAAAAAGAACGGGGACGCCCCCGAAAATTGCTTCCAAGAAACAACATCCTTCCAAAAAGAAACCGGGGAAGCCCCCGAAAATGGGGCTTCCCCCACTGACCAGGTGGCAAGGCCAGGCATGCGGTTTGTTGGGGACTTCGTTGGTTTAGAGCTGGGCTCCTTAAAAGATCTCCATTTTGCCACCATTTGAAACATGCATGGCTTTTTCAACATCAAACAAATTGAGGAAACCACCATTTACAAGTTGCAATGTTCAGGTGTTTTTCATGTAAGGATCCCTGTAGAGGTTGCCTGGATCGCCAGTTGTGTTTTTGTTTTTTCCAGCTACTTTGCCCCAAACACCAGCAACAGTGACTGAAAAAAGCAGCCACTTGGCTATCTAGGGGGGTTTCAACTAAACCTCCAAAAGTTACCGGTAGACTTTTCGCAGGAGATGCGGTCTGAAACCGGCCAGCCCAGCCACCAGAAGAGCCGAAAGTTCTTCTCACTTTTCGCAGCAAAATCAGGAAGGGAAAAAGCCGCCCCGCCAAAAAAGGACCCCCACCAAATCCACGCGCGGGGGGGAAAAAGGCACCGCCCTCTTCGCCTTCGCTCGCCCTCTTCGCCTTGTCCCCGCGCCTTCCGCGGCGTGTGGCGAGGAGTGCCTCAACGCCACGGACGAGTTGGGCTGCCGAGCCTGCGGCTCCCTGGCCCGGGACGCCCGGGTTCGGCGCGGCTGGGGGCGGAAGTGGCGGGAGTGGCGGGAGGGGGGGGGGGGAATTTCCGGCTTGTTTTTTTGTTTTGTTTGGTGTACCACCGCCCCCCCCCCCCAAAACCAAAACGTATATGGGATATGGGGAATACAGGGTGTTGTGTTTTGTTGTTGTGGAACCTAGAAATGGTTGTTTTTCCCAACAGCTGAAAGCTGCTGTGGGTGGTTGAAGTCGAAGTCCATCTCGCACCACAAAATCCAACCACGGTCGAAACCGTGGCTTGCTGGAATTTACAGGGGAATCGAATCATTCCAGGGTTTCTTCGTGCAGGATTTTGTCCCTCCGCAGTGTGGGGTTGATAGGCCCAGATAGGCGACAAGGAGTAGTTGGGAGGGTTCCGGATTCTGGGGCTGTTGGGGATACCACTTAGGCTGAAATTGTCGAGGGCTCAGAGTTTTGGCCCCCACCTCTTTTTTGTTGGTGGGGGGGTCGACGCACCCACAACAAGACAAGGTGAACTTGATCCTTGAAGCCCTAAACCCTGGGAGCTGAACTTTTGTTGAAAGGCCGCCTCCCCCCCCTTCCCCCTCCCCACCCCTTCCCCACCCCACCCCTCCCCCTCCCCTTTCCCTCCCCCTCCCCTTTCCCCCCCCCCCCCCCCCCCCCCCTCAAAAAGAGGAAGAAGAAGAAGAAGAAGAAGAAGAAGAAGAAGAAGAAGAAGAAGGAAGAGGTGGTTTTCCTTTTGGATTCTCTTTGAAACCACCAAACAGGGCTACCCTCAAGAAAAGACACGCCCATGTTGGCTTGGGGGGGGAAAATATATTATGTTTTCATCCGCACTTAAATATGCTGAACTAGAGTTGCTTAAACACATTGCTGACTCCTTCGGAAATCAAGCTGTGGCGCTTTGTCGAAAGCGGGGCTCTTCTTCTTGCCCACATCAAAAGTTTTGGGAAAACGCACTTAGAAACGGTGATCGGATATGTAGGGGCCCTGGCAAAACCGGTCACTGGGCTGGACCGGTACGCATGGAGCAAATGAGAAACTCCTGTTTGGAAAAAGCAAGAAAACGGTTGAGGTTCGCCCCTTGGCTCCAGGCCAACCCCAAAGTGGCAACAGGTTTCCCTTCAATTTCCATTTCCAACCGCTCTCTTGGGGCACCCACAGAAAAAAAGGAAAACAACTGTGCAGATGTCTCCCTCCAAAGTTGCCTATGTAACTCCGCAGGTTTCACTCTAATGATGTTCCATCCTAGCTTATCAAAAACCAGTTCTCGCTCGTTTCGAGAGGTGGGCCCGGGTTTGGAACCAGCGAGAAGCGAGGCGGGTGCTTCCAATGCGAGTTGCAAGCTGCCGGGCGCCCGAGGCTCCAAAAGCGCGCGGCCCAATGGACCATGGACAAACGTGAGGGGATGGCCCACGCGCTCTGCTTGGTGGGTGGAAGGGAGCTAACATGGTTGTTGGTGGGAAACATGTTACCATTTTTACTTGTTGTGGTTTAGTGGTGGAAATCCCCACCCACTTAGCTGCTAAATCTATTTTTTTTTGCTCCCCTTCCCACGTCAACCAAGCTAAGGAGCCCGGGGTTTACCCATTTGCCTTTCAAGAGGGAGCTAAGGAGCTACCAGGAGTTCTGTAAGCAAATTGATAGCCTAGAGATTGACATGGAACCCCAGAATTGACCATCATTTGAGGAAACTCAGTCAATTTGGGGGACCCCCCGTTTTGGATTCCAGACTAATTTGTTTGGCAGTACGGAGTTCTGACCCTGGCGTGAGCATGGTCAATATTTGCTGTCTATAGTAAAGGGGCTGATGCGGGCAGGAAGCACGGGCTACTCAACAAAGTCACCTGTCACTTGAGGCCCCAATGAAATTTGAGCGTGTCTCGCATGAAAGTATGGGACCCTCTGAGTGGTTGCCTTTCGTTTCCTCCTCTTAAGCCATCCCAGCAGGGTTTCACCATGTTTCACCAGTTTGAGACCAGCACCTACGAGGCTTGTCAATATGTGTGGCTCCCCCGTTAAAACACCAAAAAGGGGGGGTGGTTACCCTCAAAAAAAAAACAAACACCCATGTATGGTCTACTCAGGGTTCGGGACGTGGGGGGGGGGGGGGTTCTGACTGGCTCATAAAGGTTTGTTTCTCTGGAAACCTCCAAAATGGGCTTCGGCTTCTCCCTTGACTTTCATCTCAAGCATCCCAAAGAAACACAAAGAGAGAGCAGAAAGACGACATCATCATACTGTGGATGGACCAGATCCCCTGGAATGGTTCGATTCCCCAGCGTAAATACCAACAAACACTGTTGCAACCATGGTTTCTTGGGTGGTCATCATCATGCCCAGCTTAAGAAACAAATCGGAGCACCAAGCTTTGCGTATCTCCGGCCCGCTGAGTTTGGCCTTTGCCTTTGGAGATGACAGGTGCAATGTTTGAGGGTACCCACGTTTTGTGGTTTTACGGGAAAGCCGAAAGGAAAGGCACCAATTTGGGAGGTCCAGAAAGACGCACCGACATGGAACGCGGTGGATTTCATCTCCTCGGTCTCCATCAGTTTCACTTTCCTTTGGGGAAATTAGAGGTCGAGCTGGGGGGACCTGAGCCCAGGCTGTGGGTTCAAACCAAGATCCCGGTTTGTGGTTTTCGGTGCGCCAGTGGGGATTGAAGCGGATATTCACTGGGGGTGCGATTTGGGTTTTGACCCATGCCCAGATGACGCAGCTGGCAATGGGACATTTGCCTGGGTGACTAAACGCCGAGGCCGCCTGGCCGGTGCGCTGACAGCGACACTGCGGTGGGGACCCCGGGCTTTTCAAGAGGGCAAACCGAAAGGAGGGGGTCGGTGGCTTGCATGTTTTTTTTTTGCCGTTCAAGGCCGCCTTCTTGGAAATTCGGGCGTCCCCCGAAATTCTAGGAATCTTAGTGGATACCAACTCCTCGTCCCGTGGAAGGAGAAACTCTGCTTGAGCATGCGCCAGTTGGTTGCAAGGCCTGAGGTCAGCTGGCTTAGAGGCGCCCCTGTCAAAGCTGAAGTCAGCAGTTGAGAAGGCCACCGGGGTCTTTTGACACTCGCGCCGATTGATTTTTCACCGTGTTGCCGGGCCTTGCCTTATCGCGAGTTCCGTTATTTTTCTGGGATTTGGAGAGGATGAGAAAAAGCCACGCGGGTTGATTTGAAAGGAGTTGGGGCTCTTGGGAAGGTGCAATGCTTCAGCATGGCATGTTTCGATTTGCTGCAACCTCCTGCTTCGGCGTTTTTGTTGCAGACTGCAAAACCCATTTGAGGCACGCGCTCAAAACCCGGGCAATTGGAGGCTAAGGGACAATCCCGCTTTTTGGTGCGGAGATCGGGCTTTTCAATTCTTGAAGCATGGTTCTGGGGATCGACCATTTTATGTACCGATCGGTTTTGATTGTTACTCATTTCTTTGTTCTGCTTTGCCCGGCCCGGGGATGTGAATGAACGGATCTAACATGGACACCTGAAGGAAAGCAATTCCGCACATTGCCTTTTGTTTCCTCCCTTTTTGCGTCGGGACACACGCAAAAAGAATATGAGCGCTCCACTAGGCGCTTGGTTCATGTTGGACCTGTTTTAATGTGACCCTCCCCTCCCCTGAACAGTGGAACCAGCCTCTTTAGAGAAAATCCTGAGGGTCTGGGAGGCACAGTGCTTACTTTACTATTGCCAATTCTACTTTAGTATTGCCAGGGCTGACTCTCAGATTCCCAGTACTTACTTTAGTATTGCCAACTCTACTTTAGTATTGCGAAGGCCTGTTTTTTCAGCAACCCGCAAAAGGTTGGACACTAAAGAGGCCCCCAACACAGCATTAAAGAGGCTCAGGCAAACCCCCTTTGTGCGAATTTTGACCTTGCTTTTGCGTAAAGAAGTTATCTTAAAATTGTGTGTTTGGGCACCACTTCAAAAAAGGACTTCCTAGTGGTTGCCCGGATTTGTTTGCCCGGTTTTGTCCGAGTTTTTTTGGCCTGTGTTTTTGTTGCCCGGATTCGTTCCAGCATTTTTTCCGGCAAAAACATAGAGGACCCCAAAACAGTCACAGGGTCCTGAATTGCGAAAAATACTTTTCACAATGCAGGGTACTGCCATGAAAGCGGGTCCAACATTACCACATGCGGCAACAGGCCTTACATGCCGTGGGCGGAGGGCTGGGTTGCATGGGACCTAGCTAGGACTTTTGCCAACAATAAATGTGAATCTCTGAGTATTTTATCTCATTGCGGCAGGAGGGGGTAGGCACAAGCGACACCAGAAATGAGCGCTTGAGCCAAATAAAAAAAAACATGCCTGACAACTGAGCACACCACAGGCCAGGCTTGGAGGAGTATGTGCTTACATATCTGTACAGTGCATACGTAGATGATGGACGCATGGTATGTAGTGGCTTAGCGCAGTGAAAAGAGCTGATTCCAAACTGCAACCCGCTACGTGCGCTCGGCGCCCCGAACCCCATACGAACGACACACCGTCGGACAACCCGGAAGCCCAAACCCAACCCACCGCTTGCGCGCAGAACCCCGGAAACCCCACAAACGTGCGCCTCTCCGCCACGCCCGCGCCGAAGAGCACAACCGCGAGAAAAGCTACAAACCCCACGGAAAAACGCACGCGTCACCCACCACGCTGGCACCCCAACCACCACCGAAAAACTGAACCTAAGCGCGCAGAACCCCAAGAAAAACCGGGGAGAACCCACACAAAAGCTACAGCCCGCGCACAAAAAACACGCACCTCACCAACCACGCCAGCACAATCCGTCTGAAAAGGGAGGAACCCCACGCAAAACGCACACGGCGCACAAAATGAAGCCCGAATGTAAGCACGCAGAATCGCGAGAAAACCCAAAGATAACCCAGAGAGAAGCTGCAGCCCCCACGCAAAAACACGCACCTCACTGACCACGCCCGCGCCCAAGAGCACAATCCCTAAGCAAACCCTACAAAACCCAGAGACATCCCACGCCAGAAAACCCAGAGACATGCCATGGAAAAGCGACAAGCCCCACGTAAAAACGCACACGTCACCTGCCCACGCCAGCGCCCAAAACGACACACCGCCGGACAACCCCCCAGAAAGACCATTGAAAACTGACAAAGGAAGCCCACCCCCAACCAACTCTGCAGGGGTTTCGAGTTGGGATGAAAGGCCATTCGTTGCAGGAAATCAGTGAACACCAGCGCTTTACATGTCGCATTTGAGGGGCCAGGGTCGGCTGAGAGCTGCGCCTGTTGAGGGCGGCAAGGATCTACGCCTGGATGACCTGGGCTGGCTCCGGTGACGCCGTGCTGGACCTCGGACCTCGGCGCGCACACGTGCTGTGTTCTTGAGGGCCACGGTGTGCGCCGGGGTTTGAAGCATGTGCCTCCAACTTCGTCTCTTGGATGCAGAGCCATGGTCAGCTAAGTGGATGCGACGAACCGGGCCGAAAGCTTAGGCGCTGGCGGCCAATTTGGCCAGGCTGCGCTCGGAGTTTCGAGCCACAGCGTCAGATCGTCAGATGACGTCAGCTGTGGGCCTTCAGCGCACGGCATTTTTATTCATTGTTCTTATTGTATGTTTTTGGATCTGATGCATTCGTATTCATTCGCATTCATGCGGCAGTGGTGAGTGGCAGCCGGTGCCGCCCCCCCCCCCCCCACCCTGTTTGGAGGAGGGCGCACCCACGCTTAAACCACCCCAACGACCCCAAACAAACTACAACCCCGCGGGTTCCCAAATCAACACCGCTACCGTAAACCTACCCTAAACTCCCACAAGCCCTGGGCCCAACACGAAACCACCCTGAATCTCCCCTAGTCGCTGCATGCGCGCGCCCAGGAATCGGAGAACTGCACGGCAAGAAATGATGGGTCGCCCGCCAACGCCGGAGCGCCAGTTGTGGCGCCTACACTCGGCTCGTCTCATCGTATGATGGGATGTTTTGCGATGACCCTGGAGGTTTGTTTGAAATGGCCCCGGAGAAAACGACAGGAAGCGAGCGCCAGTCAGCGCTGCGCTTTGGCTGCCTTCAAGCGGCCACGGACTTGGAAGCGCTGGAGGCCCGGGATGATCCTGTGGACTTGAAAGCTTGCACAATCTGCAAAGCATCGACTTGCCCGTTTTGAGACCTTTCAATTAAGTGTTGAGTGTTTGTGAGTGGGCGCTGAGTGCGTAAGTGAGTGAGTGAGTGAGTGAGTGAGTGAGTGAGTGAGTGAGTGAGTGAGTGAGTGAGTGAGTGAGTGAGTGAGTGAGTGAGTGAGTGAGTGTGAGTGAGTGTGTGAGCGGGTGTGGGTGAGTATGCATGAGTGAGTATGAGCCAGTGTGAGTGAGTATGAGTGAGTATGTGCGAGTATGAGTGAGTATGAGCGAATATGAGTGAGTGTGAGTGGATTTGGATTTTGAAGCCTTTCCAAATATGATTTTGGTAGACTTAATTGCTTTGTATTCTGTCTTTTGAATGGCCAGTCCGATTCAGGAATTAAGTAGGAGTTCCTTTCCAAATATGGGCTTAAGTGAACTGCAAACATATACTGCAAAATGTAGTTCATGGTGGGGTTGAGCAGCGTACATCAAAATAGATTTGCATGCGTGTGTCTCAACTACACGTTCCACGCTCTCCCGGCAAAGGAGGCCCCCGTCAAAGCACGCGGTCTTTAAGCTGCCGTCCAGCTTCTTCGCTGGCGTCGACCTGAATCGACCGCATTCCACCAGCAGTGAAGAGCTTGGATCTGCTTTGCGCAGACGCCTTGAGAACATCGTGGTGAACACCTAAGATCAGCACTTGCGCCATCCAGCTAATGTTGGTTCTAGGGCAACTCTTTCAAGGGCAGCGAGCGAAACATCGATATGATAATCAGGGGAGCGGAAGCCTTTGCAATTTGGAATCAGCTCTTGTCACTGCGGTAAGCCACTACATGCCATGCGTCTATCATCTACGTGTGCATCATTTGTTCCCCCAAGCCTGGCGCTTGTGGTGTGCAATTGTGGCGGGTGTCAGTTGGCAGGCATGCTTTTGTTTGGCTCAACGCATAGAATTCAGAGACTCAGATTTTTTATCGGCAAAAGTCCCAGCTGGGCGCCCATGGCATGTAAGGCCCGTGTTGCCGCAGATGGTAATGTTGGACCCACTTGAATGGCAGTACCCTGTATTTGTGAAAAGTTCTTTTGCAATTCAGGATCCTGTGACCATTTTGGGGTCCTCTATGTTTTTTGCCGGAAAAACTGCTGGACACCACTAGGATGTTTTTGAAGTGGTCCCCAAACCGTCAATTTTGAGATAACTTATTTACACAAAAGTATGGTCAACATTCGCACAAAGAGGGTTGCCAACAAGAGGCCCTGAGCCTCTTTAATGTGACTGTGTTGGGGTCTTTTTAGTGTCCAACCTTTCTGGAGGTTGCTGAAAAAACGGGTCTTGGCAATAGTAAAGTCGAGTTGGCAATTGTAAAGTAAGCACTGGGAATCTGAGAGTCAGCCTTGGCAATACTAAAGTAGAATTGGCAAAGCTAAAGTAAGCACTGTCCCTCCCAGACCCCCAGGATTTTCTCTGTATTCCTGCCCCCAAAAGGACCATGGGTAACTTGTTGGTGTTTTTTTTTCTGATGGTTGTGTCATGTGAAGGGACCTTGTGAACAACCCCCACAAATGTTTGCTCCCATGTTTGGGCCATTGTGTTTGGAAACAAGCCATCAGGAGCGGCCTCCTTTGAACTGAGCCCTTCCAATCATTTTGTTTAATCTTAGGGTGGTCGAAATATGAAGCAGAATCTGCACACATGGCTTTCTTTGTACTGGTGTATGAGTGGATCCTTACTACTGGTATGGTTTTGTGAGCCCCTTTTTTCCCATTCTCCCTATGGGAAATAGAGGAAACAAGGAATTGGGAGTATTTTTTGCCCTACGCCTCCACCTCCCCCAACCCAGACAGGGTAGGGGGGATGCTTCCGGGTTGCCGTTTGAAAGGCTCCGGCGAGGCGGAAACCCTTGCCGAAACCGGCGCCTGGTTTCTGGGCTCTTCCTCGCTCTGAGGTCCATTTCAGACTTCAGTCACTTTTTGGGAAGATAACTTTTGAGCAAACAACAACCTAGAGAGCCAAGTTGCGATCGCTTTTTTCAGTCACTGCTGTTGTTTTTTGGGGAAAAATGCATTGGGAAAAACGATCGCAACTCGCGATCCGCTAGCGACGATGCATTCCAGGCCTCCGCCTGCATGGAATGCACTACGCCCGGCGCTGGGAGCTTCGACAGTTCCAGGGAAGGGCCCAACTCCAGCTCCGTTTTTGTTCTTCTCCACTTCTGGTCCAGGGGGGTCTTTTTGCCACCTTTGGTGGAAATATGATCGACCCCCTTGTAGTGAAGCATTCCCTTGTTGAGGGGGGTCGCCAATTTTCTCACAAAAGGTGGCAAAGAGAACCCCCCTGCTCCGGTCACTTCATTGACGGTTTTCACATCTTGCACAGTTGTACCGCAAACGCAAGGTTGCCGCAAACGCTGCTTGACATCTTGGGGCAACTTGAGGCGTCGGCCGGCATGAACGCAACGAGTTGATTCACCAGTTGTCACGGGCAAAAGCCGCTGGCCTTTTCAGGTTGATTGGGAAGTTGGGCGGAGCCACAGGCCACTCTTCGGAACCGATTCAATGTGAGGGGCCAACCGGGATTCCCTAGCTTCTTTATACTTGAATCTGACGCTACGAGGGCAGATACGCACCCCTCAAGAAGGCAGAAGCGGAAATTCGAGGTCTAAATGACAACTTCCGGCTTGCTACGCATGAATCGTCTAGCATCTACGGGAGCCCCTTTGCCTTCAGGTCACACAACGACTATTTCCCTCTAGAAAGGACCTTATGGTAGGATCCATTCTTCGGGGGGGGCAATGAGTCGTTAGAATTCAAGCAGACCCTGAACATGTTTTTTGCACCCTGCAGAACGCCAGAGTTCGCTACTGTGCTGACAACGGAGTTGTAGTTGGTCCTCTTTGGCAGCACGCTGTTGGTCTGCTTGGTTGAAGAATCCGTTGTCGGCAATAGATGTCTCGCCATTTCGGCGGGAAGGCATTCGCGGTTAGCATGAATTTGTTTCCGGGTTTGGTTTGCCTGCCAGCCCTTCTCTTCTTTTTTGTTTGAATTTGAAGGGCTATTCCGCCAAAAGGCGGTTGGCCTTTGGCAAAAATCATGGGAATCTTCAGGTGACCAGATGGCACCCCGCTGGGTTTCCGTCCTTTTGAGACCTGCCTTGGGAAACATCATGTATAACATACCCTCCCATCACGCAGCCTGACGTCGGGGGCGGAGCATGGTGGGTTCGATTCCATGGCAATGTGACAGGGGGGTAGTGATTCCGGGTTCCTATGCCGGCGATCTCGCGGGAATCTGCTTGTAGACATCCTTAAATTTACCCCCGAGCTTGGTGGAAAGAGCAGATGGGGAGCCAGCGGGATTCCAAGATCTGGGAACGCAAAAAATAAATCCGAATGCAAACAAATCCGAGCGGTAAAGTGCGCGCATGGCAAAACGCACCCGGAACCGGAACAGTGGATCGACGAAGTCCGTTTCGCACCACTTTGCCATGGTTGAAACCATAACGTTTGTTGGCATCTAGAGGGGGAATCGAATCATTCCAGTTCGCTTGGGTTTCTGAATGGGCAAGTTGCTGTTTTTTCAGTTGCTGTTTTTTCAGTCACTGTTGCTGGTTTTTGGGGTAAAGTAGATGGAAAAAAGCAAAAACGCCACTGGCGATCCAGGCATTCAGAGTATCTCCCCACAAGCCCCGGCCAGCGCCTTTTTCCGCTGAATCGGCGGCGCCAACGCGCCGAGCCGAATTCGCATCGAGGCCGTTGGGCAACCTGAGCAGCGAGGAAGCGGCGCGCTGCAGCGTCATGAAGATCCCACCAGGCGAGTGGAATGGAACGGCGGCCAGAGGGCTCCGAGCAAGATTGGCCGTAAGTGACTGGTGGTTGTTGGGAAACATTTTACATTTTTGCTTGTCGTGGTTTAGCGGGAAATCCCCACTCAACTGCTAAAATCAACCAAGAAGAGCCATTTTGGGGTAGGTGCCGAGTCTTCCAAAGGGGTGCTCGGAGCTATTGTTTCGCCTGGGAGAGGGTACCCTTCTGGCTGGATTTGGGCTTGGGGGATTACTCAAACACATCCACCCCAAAGTCCGGTTCAGCTTAGCTTTTACTTGTCCTTGGTTTAGTGGCAGTTTCCGTATTTACCCCACTAAGTTGTCGTCGCTGTTTGCAGATCCAAAAACTTTTGGCAGCTCGGAAGGGTGTGTCTCAAACTGGGGGGCTCCAACAAACGAGGGTCTCCCTTTCGTTTTTTTGCTTCAAAGTAAGCCCAAAAAGGCACGACCCGCAAAAAAAGGCGCAGGAAACCCCCGGGAATTTTTCAGGACCCCTGGCTGGCTGCCAAAGCTCCAGCCGCCTTTCGCGTTACAAGCGCGCCTCGCGTTTTTCTTTCTCCAGGCGGCAGCGCTGTGCAGTGCGACGCCTGGGACCCTGGGACCCTGGGACCCTGGGAGCTGAGGAAGGGTCGTGGAAGTCAGAAGGCGGTTTTTGGCTAGGGCTGCTGGGCTTGGGTTGTTGGAGGCCACAAGAGGGGCACGCTTTTTTACGCCCTCACGATGGTGAGCTGCTCTCAAAGTTTGTACACAAGCACTTGGGCTTTTTCTGCTTGATGTGGGTGCGGCTCAAAATTAAGCAGGAGGGGTTACGCAGGTTTTGGTCCAAGTTTCCACTTACCAGGGTTCCATTTTGGCACTGGTTTTTTGAGCCACAGCCATGTGTGGAACCGAACATGCGGAAGAAGCTCTGAGAGTTCACCTTTGGAATCCCCGGCCTTAACGGCCTCGTTGGATTCAGCTTCCACCAGCGGATCCACGACCTGGGGCATGCGCGAGGCTGAGTTCCCGGCGGAAGTGCGGACGTTTGAAACGGCGAAGTTAGGCAGACTGCTAGGCCCCTGCAATCCTTTTTGGTAGGTCAAAGGGAACAACCTCAGTTGCTGGCTTCTAACCCCAACAAAAACCAGTCAAGGAACCATGCTTGCACCACGCAGGAAAGAAAAAGAGCTTTCTTTTTATGTCTCCGTATACTTCTCCTTCCCCGAGTTCCTCGACCTTACTGACTTTTTGGGAAGTCCATTTTGAGTGTCAAGCAGAAGCAACTCGTGCTGTATTCCGCACAGGGCCTCGTTTTGGTCTTGAGGCGAAAATCTGCTCCGTGCCGCGGCCTTGGCGCCAGGGAGCTTTGTCATAAGATGCCAAGTGGGTGTGTCTTCAACAGGGGGGACCGATGTTTTTTGGGAGTGAGCTGGAACGACCAGAAGAAAAGCAGTCCATCTTATGGGTTTTCCGAAAAAGGGAATCCGAATAGAAACCCGGTTCATTTGTCATAACTGCCTGGAATCATGATTCCCGGGATTCTTCGGTGGTGCGAAGTGGATTTTGTCCATCCAAAGAATAACTGCTTACACCACTTGCCTTGCTTCTCAGATGAGCCATGATCCCTAGCCGAGGGGCAGTGAGGCAACTTCTCGGGGCCTTTTGACAAGTTTCAAAATGGAAGCAAATGCGGGAAAAGCAACCAACATGAACCCACGCAAAGCAAACAAAGTGGGTTTCTGGCCCCGGTGCGGGTGTTCATACCCTTTTGCCAAACGAGCGGCTTTTAAGAGGATGGCTTGCCTTCGAATCATGTCCTGTCCCTTCTTCATACCGGTCACTGCGAGCATTTACCCTTTTAGGGGGAGGGCGGGTCAATGAACACTCAGAAAAATTAGGACCCTTATCACAAAGGGACCAAAGGAGGAGGAACACACGTCTGTTTTGGGTTGTTTCGGGCGTGATCCTCACTTTAAGTCAGCTTCCCTCTATGGGTGGTTTTGGATTGGTGGCATGGGACTTGAACCTCTGGTTCTTGTAGGCAGGAGACCCCTCCTTAACCACCAAACCACTGGCTGCCGCGGAGTCCGAGTCACTTTTGGGGGGAGGCAGCTGCTGCTGTTTTGCAACCCAAGAATTGGTTTGGGGGGTAGACAGCCGCAAAATAGCCATATGCCCGTGGCTCAAAAGTAGGAACCGGCCCAAACCCTGGTAAATGGGAAAGACTAAAGCCTGCGGTCCCCTGGACATCTCTTCAGGTCTGGAGCCACACCCATTTTTTACACCAGCGACAACAACCCCAAGCAACTAAAAAAACAGGCAGACATCAGAAATCTCAGACCAAGAAACACTTCGTCGCCACACACAAAAAAAAGAAAAAAACAACAAAACACATGTGCACTTTGGATCCCTCCGGGTAGCTCCATCTCGGAGGCTGAGGGACCGCGCTTGCGACCCCACGTCTGCGGACTTTGCGCCCTGCTCCTGCCTGGAGGCGCGTGTCTCCGGTTTAGGGGGCCCCCAAAGGGGATTTTAGGTTTTCCTTTTGGCGGCCCTGAAGGAAAGGTCAAGTGGTACCAACTTCGGGGGAAAAAACAAAAACAAAAAACGACGGACCCAACTATGACGCGGAATCAGAAAACATGTGTTTCGTGGTGCGTGCCAGATGTAACCCCGATTTGATGTGTGGCTCTGTTGTTTTGGCATTGGCTGGGACACCCCGCCCCCCCCGAAAGAAGTTAACAGACAGTTCTGGAGGCATCTTCGAAATTGGGAGCCCGGGTGGTTTTGTCACACATTGCGTCCCTTCACAAACCTCAGCCAAGGTTGTGAAGCTTAGGACTTCTCGTTTGGGGGAATCGCCAGCTGTTTGTCGGGGTTGAATTCTCCGGGGTCCACATGAATCCGTGGATCCCCCCTCCCCCGTCCTTCTTAGTTGAATTGCCTTCCTTCGGCGCACTTTCGTAGCGCCCCAGCCTCCCCGCGTTTCGCTCCAAATGAGGCCTGACAAACGCCAGGATTTTGGACCGAACCCTTTTCTCAGCGTGAGTTGACCAGACGCCTTGGTTCTGGTCCCCTGAAATCCTTAAAGTGGCTTCATTTCCGGGGGCAAAAATGAAATGACTTTTGTCATTTTCCGGTCAAGCACCATTTGGGTGTGTCCTTTCATTAGGGAACCCCGCTTGGTTGATATTAAGAGGAAACCAAAAGGACCGCTATGTTTTGCGGGATTCCCAATTTCAAGACAAACCCATTTGGGTGTGGCTCAAAATTCAACAGGAGGGGTTACGCAGGTGTTGGTCCATGTTCTCCACTTACCAGGGTTCCATTTTGGTACCGGTTTTGTGAGCCACAGCCATTTGGCTCGGGAAAGTGTGTCACTAGCGAACCTTTTTACCTCAACTGAAAAACTTCTCGCGGCGCAACCGGGCGCGTGTCAGGCCCGCCCGCAAGCGCAGCAGCGAGAGGCGGGAGTTTGGTTTACGGAACCAGGGGTTGCTTAATCCTTGCGGGTCAAGGCAGTCAACAGCATCCCTTTCCTTGACCACCAAAGGGTTAAGGCGGTCCGCTCTGCGGGGGTTTGCCATTTTGAACAGCCGGTTTAAGGATAGGTTCATGTTGACATCACTCTGAGATAGGGCAGTGGACGCGTGGAGACTCACGCAGTCGTCACAGTACCTGATCCCTTCCTTCGCACAACTTGATCCCTTCCCCGCGCCCTCTGCACAGATCATAGCGAGCCCTGCGAGTAAAAACTCATGAGCCCATAGGGAATCCTTCGCTCAGGTTTGTGAAATGTGAGTCAGGTGATTTTTGGGTGCATCATTTGGGGAACCCTGTAAAGCGCGCCAGCAATGGCAATGAGTTGGGGTTGTGTGTTCCGGGAATCTCCACTGCTGGATGGAAGATCGCGGCGGAGCTGATTTGTCCATTGCCAAATCAGCGCTTCACCTACGCATCGCATCGTGGAAGCTGTACACCAAGAAGGCGATCTTCCACATAGGGAACATGATTCTTCCACCGCTCGGCCTGTGCAAGCACTTGGAAGCATGATACCGCTCTGGAGACAGTGTGTTGCGAGTTGTCGCAGACCAGCGAGCAAGGGGGCCATATCTTTTAAGACAACCTGTCGGCCCAGGGCGCAGAGTGAAGTGATGTCCATATGGGCCTAGGTCAAAAACCCAGATACCCTTCTTGGGGTAACTCCCCTTTTGTTTGGTCCATCTTGGAAGGGAATTTGGGCGGTAGGGGGGGATTAGGGCTTCGAACCACAGCCATTTGTTTGCAGTTTGTGCCAGGCTCATGTTGAATTCCTCAATGCTATGGGGGCACGAAACTCTGCACCAGCCAAGAGGATTTGGAATGATTCGATTCCCAGGTGTTTGTTGTTTGTTTGTTTGTTTGTTTGTTTGTTTGTTTGTTTGCTTGCTTGCTTGCTTGCTTTGCTTGCTTGCTTTGATTTGCTTGCTTGCTTGCTTGCTCGCTTGTTTGTTTGTTTGTTTCTTTGTTTGTTTGTTTGTTTGTTCGTTCGTTCGTTTGTTCGTTTGTTGGTTTGTTCGTTCGTTTGTGTGTGTGTGTGTGTGTGTTTGTTTGTTTGTGTGTGTTTGTGTGTCTGTTTGTTAGTGTGTTTGTTTTGTTTTGTCTTGTTTTGTTTTGTTTGCTTGCTTGCTTGTTTGTTTGTTTGTTTGTTTGTTTGTTTGTTTGTTTGTTTGTTTGTTTGTTTGTGTGTGTGTGTGTTTGTTTGTTTGTTTGTTTTGTTTTGTTTTGTTTTGTTTGGTTTCGCTTGTTTGTTTGAAAGAGGTACCCTTTGCAGTTTGGTGCCAAGGGAAGCGATAAGGAGCACCGAAATCAATCTTAAGGATCAGAATCCCTACTTTGACACGGGTCTTTGTTTTGGGGTAACCCCCCTTTTATATTTTGTTGGTGGACACCAGAGGGAAGATAACATGTGATTTTTGGGAGGGGGTTTCCCCCAAAAAAGAGCCATTCGCGAAGCACCCTGTGGCTAAACTACTAATGCCTATGATGACTAAGATTGGTTTCAACGCAACCCACAACCCCATTCTACTCATTTAGTCTCCATGCGAACCTTCCCCCCAGCTTGGATTCCGCTTTCCTTTCGGTTTTCCTTTAAGCCCCCCCTTGGGGAAACAGACAAGAAACGAAAAACAAAAACAAAAACAAACAAACAAACCAGCCAGACTTGCTGGTGCTCAGTAGGTACGTTTGGATGGTTTACCTTTGGGTCGTTTGCCGCATCTGATGTTCGTTGCCGGGCGCCCGCGCCAGCGGTCCAAAAAAGCGACGTACCCTTTGTCCAACAATCATGGAAGTGGACAAAGGGGTTGCCCAAAAGGAAAGGAGTCTTCCAAAACCCTCCTGTCAGCTTCCATGATTGTTGGAGGGAGGGTACCCCGAAGAAAAAAACAACAAAACCACGGGCCGGGTCGCCACGAAACCCCAAATTCCGAGGCCTTCGGGTGTCTGCTCCGCGGGAACCTCTCGGCGGCGCTGCGTGCGCTTCGCGGGAACGTCTCGAAAAAAGCGTGGGCTTCGAGGTCTGTTGGGTTTTTCAGGGAGACCAACATTTGGAACACCCAGCCAGCCTTTTGGGCCCTTCTCGCCATTTAGGGTACTGGTGGTTTAGGGTTCTTGGCTGTATGCTCTAAGTGTCCATGGTAGACCCTCCTTGTCCTGTAGCCCCCCTGTAAACGTCAACTCATGATTTCTCGCAAGTGACTCCAGCGCGATATGTCATGCTCGATTTTGTTCTGAGAACTTACCACGACCGGGTAGAACACGTAGGTACCAACACCGGGCTGATGGCACTGTACTACTTCGACGCGGTGAAGGCGAGACGTCGTCTCGAGCCGCGGGTGGTTTCTCAGGTTCCCCTTAGGTGTGTTGGATTGGTGGTATGGGGGCTTTGAACCCCTGGTTCTTGTGGAGGGTAAATGGGAAACCCCTCCTCAACTATCAAACCACCAATCCAAACCACCAATTCGGGGGGAGCTGATTTTTGGCCAGGCTTCAAACACTGATTTTTTGGGACGTCGACTTAAAGTTTTAAACCTCACCTTTCAGTCCAATTTTGTTTTGGTCAGTCTTCTCTGGGCTTTGGCGAGCTTGGCAGCTCTTGCCGGGTCCACTCAAAGGGTGGTTCAAAGGCAAAAAAGGAAAACAGAAACAAAAAAACACACATCGGGTTCAGGCGTCATCCAGGGCCCCTCAAAAGGGCGGATGTCGGGGGATTTGTAAAGCAGCCGGGTATTGGATCTATCCAGTCCCCGAAGCCCTGAAAACCGGGCAGGCTGAGCAACCCAAATCTCCCGAAGGGCAAATCGGCTTGGGAAGCGTCGGATTCCTCAGCTCATGGGGCCGTGAAGGGGGGCCATGACATGTGGGGGCTGACCTCAATCTTCCCTTCGGCCCCCAGCGCATGGGCAACTTTTCCCATTTGGAGGGACAAACCTTCTCTTTTTCGTGGCGTTAGTCCCCAATGGTCATCCCATGTAACAGACCTTTTGATCCACCCCCATGTGCTCCACACTGCCCTCTTTTCTGGTGGTGCCCAATTGATTCGCTGGGGTAAGTCACTCGGGGATCCAATGGCCCAAATGGATCCTTTCAGGAGCCCAGGATGAGGTCTACCAAGCGGCTGTGATATTGCCTGCCTTTGTCATGCGTCGGCCATCCTTTGGGTCGAATTCCACTTCCTTGGCCATGGACACCCAAAAGTGAAAACCCAAAGGCCTACAAAGCCTAGGTCCCCCAGTAGTGCCCTTTCTCAGCCCTTTTTTGGGGGAGGGTTCCCCTACTAAATAGACTACAGAAAAAAGACGTTATTGTAACCTCTCAAATCTGGAGGACCTAGAAGCACACACGGCAGGCCAAGAAGGTGTCGGACGACTTCGGGACGAACACCCTCGAATGCCCGGCACCCACGGCCACGTCACTGATCCAACCGGCAGGTTTTTTTTTCTTTTCTTCGGGACATGCAGGGAGCCCCTTCGAGAAAGGTCAAGACTCTTCAAAAAGGTGTTGGTTCCCAGCCGTTCGGTTCCTTGGGTTGTCTTTTAGGTTTTTAGCAGGGGATCTGCGAACAGCCCAGAGATGGTGGTTCCTTGATTTTGCCAGTACAAGAGCTTGGCGCGCGCGGAAAGCTGAGCAGGACTTGTGTGATTTTGCTTAGCGAATGACATCAAACAGCAAGATGGGTAGTTTCTCCTTCATCCCTTTCAACCACCCTCCAAAAGGGTTTTCACAAAAAAAACGACGCTCAACTAGGCCTCAAGTTCCCAGGCCTGGTGGGTTCCGGTTGCCCAAACTGATGGGTGCAGAGCGGTACATGTTCCCCGTCCACGCCGCTTCCTTGGTCCCTGGTTACCCCCAATTTTTTGTGTGTTGGGGACGGAAATATGGGTGTGGCTCAAAATTCAACAGGAGGGGTTACGCAGGTTTTGGTTCATGTTTCCACTTACCAGGCTTCCATTTTGGTACCGGTTTTTTGAGCCACGGCCATATGAGCAACACCAGGCCTGAAAACAATGTCATTTGATTCAGAGGTGTGTCAAAGGGATACCACTAACGTAGAATCCACCAGAGGGTTCATTTTTCAAAGAACATGGTCTTCCGGGACCCCTCTGTCAGGTTCCATCTTAGTGGAGGGTACGTGCAAACCCATTTCGAGCTACACGTTTCAGCAGCCATTCGCGCGTTTCGAGTGAACCAAGCCTGCAGGTTTCTGGTCTGGGTGCCAGTTCAGGGCTGCCATGTCTGTCTAGGTCCCCCGGCTAGGTGCCCTTTTACCTTTTTTTGGGGAAGGTTCCCCTGCTAAAATAGACTACAGAAAAACAGTTGGTACCATTATTTTCTAACCTCTCTACTGGAGGACCTAGCTGTGGCTCGCAAACGGTTGGACTCCCTTTTTTTCGTCTCTAAGAAACCAGACGCAAGACATCCCACAGCCTGTCTACGGGAAATCCTTGGTTTCTAGCTGCTGCTTGCCCATCTCCACCAGAAGTTCGTGTAGCTGCTTGCTGCAACCTTCAATCCGAAGTCTTTCAGTCAACAGCTGTGTTCTACGGGTTTTTGCAGGATGCAGGAACGGCGGAAGCTACCACTAGATTCCTTGATGTTGGCTCGCCGGAACATTCAGGAAATGTGAGCAAGGGGCACTTGGATGTGCCGCGCATCCCCTCTCATTGCCAGAGTCAGCTTGTCTTTGATACTTCTTTTGTCCTGCGGAGGCAACTAAAGAGTATCAACGAAAGGGCCTTTTGCCTTCTGGTGTATGTCTTTTAAGGTACCCTCACTTCGACTTTAGCCACTTTTTGGGAAGACCATGTTGGTGGTAAATCAGAAGTTTTGTTGGCCCATGCACTCAGGAAGTGAGGTACTTGTTTTTTCCCCGTTTTTTTGGGGGGAGGGGTAGATTTTTGACAGGGAAACGGGTCAAAGAACACCAGGGATTCAGGTCAGGTCGGTTCCCTTCCCCGATCGACGAGCCAGCAAAAGTCCTTTTCCCCTTAAGTGATGGCTTTTGCTGGGGGTTCTGGGTTCGATTGGCCGTGCGTTAAACAGGTTGTGTCTTTGTTTGAAGGCCCTCTTTGATACTGTGGATGGGTCCTCGAACTCCATTTCGCCACCACTTGGAAGCCGTGGGCCGTGGGAGCCCCTGGTTCGTTGGTATTTACGTTTGGGGAATCGAATCATTCCAGGGTTTCTTAGCCGGTGGTGTAAGGCTGTGAGCCAACAATAGGGGATCGAATGAACCCTTCTTAGCTGGTGTATAATTTTGTCCATCCACAGTAGGGTTTAAGGCTGTGAGCCGAAGAGCACAGCGAAGTGGACTGGACTTCAGAGTCAGACGACGCTGGAACTCATCTTTAGATTTGGGGGCTGCAGATGTTCGTTGCGTTTTGCTACTAAGGGTTGGACAGTTTCCCTTACCATCTCCAGGCATGAACAAGGACGGCAGCAGCGGTGGATGTGCCGCCTCCAGCCTGGAGCTTAGAGCAATGGCTTGGTTCCCAGCCAGCCGATTCCTTAGCTTTTTTGCTTTTTAGGGAGTGGTCGGGTTTCCATTTATCCCACGAAAAGTGAAACTTTTAGGGGCGGTCTGAGGACAGCCCAGATGGGGGCGCCTCAACAAAGGGGCTGCGTTCTCCATGTCCCTGTAAACTGAAGTAACGTAAAAGCGGGTACCCTCAAGAAAAGTCACACCCAAATCCTGCAGCCTGGATTTTTCTGCAAAAGAACAACGGCCAGAAAAAAGGTACCTGTCACTTCTATCAGAACCGATTGAAATTCACACCCATAAGGGGGAGTTTCCTTGTTTCCCTTTCAAACTTACCAAAAAGCAGTACCCTCAAAAAAGACACGCCCATACGTGGATTTTGTTCAAGCGAACATCGTTTCAGTGGGGATTTGTGTCCACCAACCCCACCAAGCTTTTTTGAGTGTTTTCCCCACGTCACGCTCATGACACCTACACCTCCCTTGGCTGTTTTTTAGATATTGGGTTTCCTCTGTGTTGCGGATGTCCTTCCCTGCCCTCTTTCTATTGGATTACCTCTCCTGTGCCTGTTCGTACTGTGGATGGTCCTAAGAGGTTGAAACCGTTGTTTGTTGGTATGTGTATACAGGGAATCGGATCCTTGCAGAGTTTCTTAGGTGCGAAGCGGATTTCGTCCATCCACAGTAGGTTTCCCCCTTTCCCTCAGGCCTAAAATCGGAAGTCCCATCGTCGGGGCGCATATCGCTTCGGAGAAAGATTGGGGCTCCCCGTAGATTGCTTTCCGAGGACACACGAGTGTAAACCCACCATTGATTGGGGTCGCCTCGTTTGAATTTTTAATTGAACATGACTGAGAGGCATTGGCCTTTTTCTCACAATAGGAATGTTTGAAGGGTGTTTCGTGTGTAAAAACCTCCAGAATCAACATTTCCTACAGATGAACATGGAACCACACACCACGTGCTTTGAGGCACCCCCGCAAAAAAACTAAAAAACTTTTGTCTCTGAGCTCTGGGGCTCCAACTCTGTTTTCCCTTTTTGGTATCACGTCAACAAAGACAACCCAGAAAAAGTATCATCAAAACCAAGCGCGCTCACACACACACACACGCATCCATACAGAACCTCAACAACCAACAGCCTAGCATTTGTTTCAACTCCGCCTTTGCAGGCGAGGACAGGATCGAGGGGCTGTCGATGGTCTTCACAGGCACGCGCTGCTTGCGCGAAGACTTGCGAAGCAACACTCAGAGCTTTTCGTGCGGGCTGGGTGCTTTGCAGGACCCAAGCAACACTTGTCTCAACTTTGCAGAATATCAAACTGAGACTAAGCCTTACCTCTTTAAAACACAGCTTTTCAACTTTTTGGGTAACATGGGCTATATGTCTGTAAAAGATTAACTTCCCCAGGGCTTGGAGTTTTAAGGGGTAAGAAGCACACTCTGTTAGTTTCAGAGGTTTGGCTCGGTCAGCTGTGTGTGTGTGTGTGTGTGTGTGTTTGTTTTTGTCTTGCAACGCACGTTTCGTTCCGTGAAATTCGCAAGGCAAGTATCACAGAAGCCATCCAACTAATGTCAACACGAGAGCTGTCACAGTTGTGGCTGTGACAGTCGTAGATGTGGTAGCCGTTGTTGTGGCTGTAGTCATTGTTGTTGTGACAGTTGTGGCTGTGACAGTGGTCGATGTGGTAGCTGTTTTAGTTGTGACAGTCGAAGTGGCCGATGTGGTAGACGTTGATGTGGCTGTAATGCTTGTTGCTGTGGTTGTCATGCTTGTTGTTGTGACGCTTGTTGTTGTGACTCTGGATGTCGTGGTGCTTGTTGCTGTCACGCTGGTTGCCGTGCCAGTGATTGTTGTGGCTGTGCTGCTTGTTGCTGTCACGGTCGTGGCTGTGACAGTGGTCGCCGTCATACTCGTGGATGTCATAGTTGACGGTCCCGTGGTGGTTGTGCACTGGCCTGGATTGACCATGGGCAGCACCAGCATGCCGGGGCTAAACGCCCTTCCATCCGGAAAGCCTTCCCAGCACTGCCCGAGGCACAGACCAAGCTGCGTCTCTTTTTGGCTTGCCCTTTTTGTGGAGCGCCGGTTGGCAACAAAACATGATTTTGCGGGGAACCGGTGGCTCGTCTCTTTTCGAGTGTCCCTTTTTTGCGGCTGTTTTAAAGGCAAACTGAAGGGACACCATCATTTCTTGGGGGCCCCTCATGCGACAAACCCAAAAGCGTGTTAGGGACACTTTTCTCGAAACCAAGGGGAAGCCCCTTAAAGCGATAAAGTCCCTCAAACGGCCCACTTTGATATCACAGAAAGACGACCATGTGCCTTTGCTTTTGCCAGCAAGACGGTCGGTTAGGATGGTGGGACCGCCCAAATGTATTGCAAGACCAGAGAAGCTGTGCTCTTATCGCGGAACAAACAACTGTCATTGGATCTAGCTTTAACCCCCCACCACCCCCAAAAAAGAAGAAGTTTCTTCACCATATTCAACGGACCCATATTATGAGATGAGCCCACATGTGACAATAAAACAAAACAGATCTGTTTCAAAGGTGCTGACAGGCTTCTCCCCATCTACGGATTCTAAACAAGTCTATAGTGAACTAAGGTCCGAAAAGGTTGCGGAACCTTTTACTTTTGGCTCCTTTGGGTAAATGAGTGTAGCATCTATGAGAAAACGGGCTTTAGTCACTTTTTGTGATGGCCATTTCTGTGGTAAACAAAAGACACGGCCTACCTTTTTTGGCTACAATCTGGTGGTACAAAAGCAACCCATCGTACCTTTTTCGGATCCACTCGCGGTGTCCCTCGGATTTGTCGCGAGGCGAAGACTGGCTGGAGGGCCTCGCGGAGGCAGCGATCGAGCGATAGGGCGGCGGGTGCTCTTTTTTGAGGTGGTGCCAAAAAGTGGAAGCCAAAAAGAACCCCCAAAAAACCGTGCTCTTTGGGGGTGGTAACTACAAAAAAAAGGAAGACAAGCAGGAAAAAAAGGTAGTTTTGGGGGGTGGTATCAGGAAAAGGAAGCCGAACGGAGACATTTGAAGACCGCGTCGCCATTTCGGTTTTGATCTTTGGGAGTTGGAGTTTACTGTTTCAGGTCAGCTTCCACTTAGGGCTCTTGTGAGGTAAACAGCTACACAACATGGCAAAGACTTGCTCCGCTGAATCCCCGCCAATAGTTGGCAACTGCAGCTCATGTTTGTCAACTTGTCTTCCAATGTCCTCCGCCCAATTCTGCCTGTTGCTTTCCCCCCAATTGGCTGGGTTTTTTGGGTGAACAAATGAGCAACAGATGACCATTCGTCCCATTTTTCAAGCATATAGGCGGGACCCAAGTCTTTTTTTCGACAATGTAAGTCAAGAGCTTCTGTGGTGTACCCCCTTCAGGGTGTACCCAAACCTATTGTCGCACATATACAAGTATACCCACATACACACATACACACATACACACATGCACACATATACACACATACACAGATTTATCTACATACACCTATGCACATACTCATATGCACATATACACATATACACATCTGGGTACACACACACACACATCCACATTCACACCCACCCACCCACCCACCGGTGCCAGGTGGAGGTGCCTGCCAGCCAAGCCTGGCACCTTTGGGCCGGGGTCCCCAGCTGTGAAGCAAAAGGCTCGGCGGCCTGCCGTGTCTTAGGTGTCCCAGTTGCAACCAGCGGATTCCGCCCCTTTTTTTCTCCCACGGAAACCCACTGAGCAACCTTTAGACAAGGGAACCCATTTTCAAGTTTTTCTGAAAAGGGTTCCCTCTAAGCTCGAGTCCGCCCCTTGTTTTCCGACTTTTTTTTTGAGCAGGGTTTGTCCACTTTTTTTTGGGGTTTTGGGTTCCTTTCAGCTCATCCAACCAACCGATTCCTTTTTTCCCATGGAAACCCACCGGGCATCTGAGGTGTGTCGTTTTTTAGGAAAGCTTCAGAATGCTTTGGGGCGAAATCCACTACGCACCACCTAAGAAAAGATGGGAGACCATGGTTTGCTGGTATATACAGGGGAATCAGTCTTCCAAGGTTTCGTAGGTGGTGCGAAATGGATTTCGTTCATCCTGGCTTCGGTTTTACTTTTAGCTTCCCTTAAACAAAAACAAAAGGGGTACCCTAAAAGAAGCAACACCCTCTTGTTGACGTTCAAGCACGTCTATGAACAAGTAGTAAAAGAACAAACAAACAAACAAACAAACAAACAAACAAACAAACAAACAAACAAACAAACAAACAAACAAACAAACAAACAAACAAACAAACAAACAAACAAACAAACAAACAAACAAACAAACAAACAAACAAACAAACAAACAAACAAACAAACAAACAAACAAACAAACAAACAAACAAACAAACAAACAAACAAACAAACAAACAAACAAACAACGTGTTACAGGGAGTGTCTACCACTCGCTTTTAAGGCCTTGCACTCGTTGACTAAAGGGAGACGGGCCAGCCATTTTGTGGGTTCTGCGGTTTGACGCCCGCTGAGGTCTGTTGAACCCCCTCAATTATTTTCTTGCTTGTGCGATAGGCAGGGAATGAGAGAATGACCTGAGAATGGTTTCCTTTAAGGGCATTCGCTCATTCCCTACTGAGCACCCAGCAAGTTTCGCGTTTGACGACAAAGCAAAGGCGACTGTGGCCGGGGGGGCAGAGGCTGGCTTGCCACCCCTTCTGCAATTGTTTAACAGAGTGGGCGACGGATCCCATTTTGGGGTAGGTGCACCACCCATTTTAGAACCTATTTTAGTGGGGATTGAATCGGATGTTCACTGGGGGTACGATTTGGATTTTGACCCATGGCCATTTGTTTGCACAGCCAGACCCCGGGCCTTTCGGCGAGGGTTCTTTCATTTTTGGTGGGCAGGTCCCTGCGGCCTTGACAACTCCGCTACAAAGGTCCAAGGAAGACACATTTTGTTGGCGGAAGGAGGCACCGTTTCAAGGGGACAACATGGCTTGCCTGGATCGCCAGTTGCGATCTTTTTTTCCATCCACTTTACCCCCGAAAAACCAGCAACAGTGACAAAAAAACAGCAACTTGGCTGTGTGTGCAGGTAGTTTTCTTTGGTTTCGCTTCCACCACCCGAACGAAACGGGTTTTGCCATGCTGAGGCATTTTCGAGGAAGGGGAGTCAATTTTCCCGTTCTCCTAGCAGGTGTTCTATTTTGGCGAGCGGCTAGCTCCTGCCTACAGGGAATGCGTATGGACAGCGCTGGAAGAGCTTGAGCCCCGCTGAACTAACTGATGAAAGCTTGATGGCTAATTATTTGGTAACGGATCTTTGGACTTCAACGCTCTTTTGTCGAAACGGTGGATTTGAGATTGGACCCACAAAAGTGAGAACTCTTTGCAGAGGGGTCGTTCCAGCAACCAAGAAAGCGGTCACCCCTTAGGGTGCCACAAAGAAAACTTGAGCGCCCAGCACCTAGCGACTCGGGCTTATACTTCTAGGTCCCCCAGCGAGGTGCCCTTTTACCCTTTTTGGTTGGGAGGGTTCCCTTACAAAAATTGACTACAGAGAAAAGGGCACCCTTATTCTAACCTCTCTACTGGAGGACCTAGACCTGGAATCTTCGTGCTCCTTCCACACGACAACCGAGGTCCTTTACCCTTCTCAGGAAGGCCCCCCAGAAAAAGGCACTGCATGGTTGCCCAGCCACAGAAACTGCATGAAGTTTTGCCTGTTCGGCGGGGGTTTCTCGTCCTTTTCTTCAATTCATGAATACACCCTGTTGATGAACATGGGTGTGTCTTTTGTTGAGGGTACCCCTGGTTTGGCGGTTTCTTAAGGAACCCCACAAGGAACACCACATATTTTTTGCTTGCTGGTTTTAGGGATTTTCTAGGAAACCATATAGGAGGCATTCCCTCATTCCCTGCTGAGAACTGAGAACCAGCAAGTTTTCCGGTGGTGCAACAGAAGCGGAAAGGCGTAACATGGCAGAGCGTCTTGGGCTCTAGGCCATTTTAGTACGTAGGATGCTCGAGCTAGTGTCATGGGGCTAGTACGGTCGACTAACGCCCTTTTGCTGGTTAGTTCTACTATTTGCTTCAGAATATGTGTTATTTTCCCTTGATGGTTTTAGATGGACTCTATCACTACTGGACATGTGTCCTGAATTTTCCATTTGCGGCCCAGGCACGCAAATGGAAGTTTTGGATGGCGTCTAGGTCTCCCAGTAGTGCCCTTTCTCACCCGTTTTTGGGTTTTGGGTTCCCCTAAATAGACGACAGAAAAACATCGGGTACCCTTAGTCTAACCTCTCAAATCTGGAGGACCTAGGCGTAAAGCTAAGAAACTCATCGCGCTGCGTGCGCCGCGCCTCGAGGTGAAGACGAGTTGCAGCTCTTGCGCCATTTTGGGCTTGCTGGGAGGCCAGAGGATATAAGGGTATATACCGCATATCTATATACACCTAACAGTTTATAGGGAAAAGATGGGGAAGATTGGGTATAAGCAAGGTCTGGTTGTTTGAAACCACATTTCGCCCAAGCCTGGGAAAGGGGGGGGGGGGCGGCCGTTGCACTTTCAGGGGTGTCTTGTTGTTTTATTCTGCCAGGAGTGGATGGGTTTACTTTGGATTTATCCCAAAGAGGGTACGAGCCCGGGGCGTGTTCTTTTTTTGCTTTGGTGGGGAGTTGACGCATGTTCGGGGACGTGCTCGGCTTTGAACCGTCCTACAGATTCTGAAAACAATATGATCGGCATTCTTCCAAAGCGAGTGCGGTACCCCAATTGGCCAAAGGACACTTTTCCCCTTCGGGCCGTTTGACGCGTTTTTTCTGTTGGATTGAAACAAGTGCCCTGCGCCATGCTTGGAGAGTCAGGTTCTACTTCGCGGGGGTTTCTGTAGACATTCTATGCAGTTGTGCTTTCTCAGACCTGTGGCTCCGGTTGCTTGGAGAAGGTTCCCCTGCCCTCTGAAAATTGGGTGCCCCCAAAAAGGGCGGCCTTCCTCCCACGGAACGGCACTGGAGCTCCGAGTATCTCGCAACGCTGGATTCGGCCATGTATTTTAATTTGGAAACACCCTACAAAGCGGTGGAACTTCCCCCACCAAAGGAAGTGGCTAAGAAATTGCAAATATTGTTTTCCAAACCCATTCACCATGAGTCAACTCGGTTTTTCCACGAGGCAACTTGGCCTCGTTCCCCATTCCAATGATTTATGGGCCTGATCCGGCTATGACTTTTCATAGGTCTTTTCCCCTGAAGTGCGGTTGGTGGACGTGAATCCCCGGCGAAATGGTCATGGGTCAAAATCCCGTACCCCCAGTGACCATCCCAATCCCCACTAAAATTTACTAAAATGGGTGGTGCACCTACCCCAAAATGGTACCATTGGTTCTGACCCACAGCTAAATGTCCAAAGCGTCTCAGTTCACATTCACACCCATTTGAGCCACAATCAGAACCCGGGTACATGAAGGTTAGTAAGGGAAATTCCCAACCATAAATAGCAGCGGCCGCCTTCTTAATCCTGTACATGGTTCTGGGTAGACCATTTTAGTACCAGGTGTTGATTGCGACTCATTTGCCTAGCTCCGGTTGTTTCTCGCAGGTGCCACGCTGATGGTCGACGCCAACGGCTTCCTTGCCGCGCCCTCGGTGCAAAACCGAAGCGAAGAGCAAGCGGAGCGGAGCGGCGTCCGCAACTTGGATCATCATGATCACCTCATGTCAACTAGGTGCCCCAGTAGTGCCCTTTTACAAACTCTTTTGGGCGAGGGTTCTCCTACTCAAATAAACTAGAGACAAAAGGGTAGCCTTATTCTATCTACCCCACCTACGACCCACGACTTGGCTGGAGATAGCCACCCTGTGGGATCGATATCCCTAAGGACCCCAAAGTGGGCGGATTCCATTTCCGGCCCAGGTCGACAATTGACATGGCCAAGAAAGCACTAGAGGCTTTCGCGTGGTCTTTTTCAGGCTCTATGTGACGGTTGGTGTTCCGTGAAGTGTCAATGGAGTGGTTCCGAAGGTGCGCCAACCCAGACTGCTAAAAACCGACAGGGGTGCTTCCTCGAGTCCCGCTTCCCTCCAGGCCCAGTTTGATAGCAGGTTCCTGGGTAGGCACGGCAGGTTTCGGAGGTCCCCGGCCATTTGAGGCTTTGGTTGCCCGAAAGAAAAATTCTGGGAACACCCGCAGATATTTTTTGGCACATCCCCATGCGATGATGTCCACCAAAGGGTTTTCCCCGGATGATTTAAGCAGAAGGAAGCAAAAGGTCGCCATGTTGGAGGTGCACTTCCTCATGAGACACTCACAGGCGCCTTCTTTAGGTGTCCCTTCTTGCGAGCTAAACATTGTTTGGGCCAATCGAAATGAGCTTGCTTTGGGTTGATTTTTAAGCGGGACATAGAAAGAACAGTGTCAAGTTTGTTCTTTTGGCGTTTCTTGTTTGGCAAACCAGCCTTTCGATTTCAATGGGAAGCCCAAAGGAACACAGGTTGAACCCCTTTTTGAAGGTCCATTGTCCCCAATTCAACGTTTTGGGCTGTTTGGTGTGGTTGCCCCAAAGCTTCGGCTCACACAAGACTACGCAGATGGGTATGAACGTACTGTGGATGGAAGCAAGACACTCTGGAATGATTCGCTTCCCCGGTTGCCAACAAACATTGATGGTTTCAAAGTGGCGCGAAATGGATTCCATCCATCCGCAGTAGGTGTCCCTTTTGGTTGTTTTGGTTAAAAAACTAGATGGCGATTCCTGGTTGACCTGGTTTTACATGACCGTTTTGGGGATTCGTTGTGTCCATGTGCATTTATGTCCACCGACCCACTTCTATAAGGGAATCTTTCCTATTCTTTTTGTTCAGGAAACAATCAAACACGGGAAACAGATCCAGTTGTTTGATATAAGAAGCACGGTTGAAAACAATGGACAAGGAATCACCCGCAACTTTTCCTGGGATCCTTTGCAGATTCACCATTCCCTTTTGGATTTTTGCCCACCAACCCGCTTATGGAAGGGTTCCCTACTGTGGATGGACGAAATCCTGCACCACCAAAGAAACCCTGGATGAGGACGTTACCTGTAAACGGCCTACTAAACATGAACATGTATGCTGCATGCTCCCACCAAGCTGCTTATGGAAGGATTCCCTATTACTTTCCCAGAATTAGCTCCCCGTTCGATTTGTTTTCGCGTTTTTTTGGGGGGGTTTCTCTGTTTTCCACTAACCAGGCAGAACATACTTCTGGTTTTGTGCCGGGGTCCTCCTTAAAACCGAAAATCTGTCTGGTCTTTTTGAAGGGGTCCGAATTTTCCGAATTCCAGCCCTCCAGTGTTTCCCGCCCTGGCAAAACAAATCTTTTCTAGTTCTTTGCCGTCCTAATTCCAGCATAAAACAAACATATTTCTGTTTTTGTTTTGCCGGGGTCCTCATAAAGCTCTGCTGGGGTGCGACTTCCAAATTCCAGCCAGACATTCCGGATTCCCTACTACTTCCCCAGAATCAGCTCCCCTTTTCGACGTTTCTCGCTTTTTTTGGGTTTCCTTTTTTCTTCCCAGGCAAAACATAGATTTCTGGTTCTTTGTCGCGGGGGGCCTAATATTCCAGCCAAGAAGTTACTTCCGGCTTGGCTTAGCCTCTAACTTCTTGGCTGGAAAAAAAGGGACCCCCGGCCAAAAAGATAGGCTTTTTTTGCCTGGTGAGTGGAAAGCAAAGGGAACCTCAAAAAAGCAAGAAGAAAAAAAAGTAAAAAGGGGAGCTAATTCTGGGTAAAATCGGTCAGAGACTCCAGGCCTCCAAGTCGCCCACGGGCACCTCCTGGCAGCCCGGGCGGCCCGGCTCGGCGGCGGTGGTCGCTTTGGCGAAGCGGCTCCGGAGCTCGCGTGGAGCGGAGCCGCTTCCGGGCGTTTTTAAACAGCCGGGTTTTTGGTGTGTTGGACCCCGTTTTTAGTGGTGAATGAAGGCAGTTTAGAGTGGTTTTTGGCGGATCCGCTGAGGAGAAACAGCAGTTTTCAGATAGAAGAAAGCCTGGATGTGGATTGGTTTGATTGGGATTTGATTGGGATTTGAAGCCCTGGTTCTTGTTGAGGGTTTTTCTTGGACCTCCCCGCAACACCTCCAAACCAATCCGAACCACCAATTGAGGGGAACCTGCTGTTGGGAGTTGGTTTAAAGGGAAAGTAACCATCCCCTATATGCGGAATCCCTAGGTTCATGCCCAACACTTGGATCATTCGGGCGGGGGGACATTTCCGGCAATCCATATTTTGACACGTGGCCATCTGTGCCTTTTGTCCTTCAGACGTGCTGAGCCTCCAATGAGGGCGGGCATTTTAGGTGGCTCAGTCCTCGTTTCCTCGGCTCGTCGTTGGAGTCGTCGGGGTCCGGGCGCGTCTCGGGATCGGGATGGCCAATGGACCCTTTAGAAGAAAAAGCTCGGCACCCCCCAGCGATTGGTGCCCTTTGCCCAACTTTCTTTGGGGAGGGCTCCCCTAAATCGACGACGGCAAAAAAATCGGGTACCCTCATTCTACCTCTCTGGAGGAATTCGAAAAGGTTCCGCCGGTGGATGCCCCAACTATTGCAAGTAGGGAGATCGACGCACGAAGACGGGAGATGTCGCACGAGCTCGACGGCTCGACGGCTCATGCGCTTCTGTTTTCAAGGGGCTAGGTTGCCTGGGGCGAGAAAAGACACGTTTTTTCTCCCGGATCCATCCTCGTGGTTCTTGGTGGTTCCCACCCATCCCCTCAGGTTTTTGGGTTTCTAGATTTTCATGGATCCATCCTCACTTGACCAGCCGTCCAGGTTCACCCACCAAGTTCCTCGCTTTTAGATCAGAACACTCACAGAGCGGATCTTGGATGCTGAACGGCTGAAAACATTCTTGTTGAATGGGAGGTCCTGAATCTTCACAGCATTGCTACCGGTCATGTCGAACTCTCCCCAGAAATCGCCAAGCCGCGATCGTTTTTTTTCAGTCACCGTTGCGATCGGCTTTTGGGGTTTTTGGTGCATGGAAAAAAACATCCGGTCGCAACTGGCGATCCAGGTCCTGATCCATGGCATAAAATCCGAAGTCGGACAGTCAAGGCCCGGCAAGTGCCCCAAGCTGAACGACAACGTCTTCCACTTCGTGGCCTTCTCGCCGCGGCTCCTGAAAATGCCGTGGGGTTCTGTGGATCTAAGGCACGAACCCTGGCTAGGTTTTTTCAGTAGTGCCTCTTCTCAACCTCTTTTTTGGGGTTTTGGGTTTCCCTACTAACAGAGACTACAGAAAAAGGTTGCCCTTATTCTAACCTTTCTACTGGAGGACCTAGCTGGGTTGAGGTGAAGCGATGAAACCAAGCCCACGCCGATTTTGAGAGATGGGGTGCTTTCCCCTCTTTGCTTTGAGTCCTTTGAGTGACTTGGGATTCAGACCACTTGCAAAAACACTCCGCAAGAAAGTAGGATGGGTTGATGCATCTGGGGTCAACTGGTCAAGGCTTGGTCATTCAAAGGAACCCGACAATGTCACGAAGAGCGTCCCTCGCGATGTTCAAAGGGACAAGTAGCGACCCCAGTTTCGAAGGGAGTTTTGTCGACTCTGATCCCTTTCCAAGAAAGTGGGATCCCCGAAAGGGCTTCACATGCGCCGAAGCATGTTTGCGGCGGCACTCTGCCGGGATCTCGCCTGAATCACTGAAGCTTCGTTTTGAGGCTCGCTGATGGGCCAGAATCAAGTTATGTTCTTTTCGGTTGCGGGGCAAAAGCCGAGGATGTTGGGGGCTCCAACCTTAGGACCTTTCCACACGGGTATGGCTCAAAATGAAAGAGCTGGGGTTCCGCAGGTTTTTGTCTTTCCATGTATCTTTTTGGGGGGGGGGGGTGCCATTTTGGGGATTCCAATTTTTAAGCAGCCACAAAAAGAGTCTCCAGGGTTCACCAAAATAAAAGGACACAACCATTTACAAGTTGCAATGTTCAGGTGTTTTTCATGTAAGGATCCCTGTCTAACCCTCATTTCTGGAGACTCAAAGTTCCTGAGTCGAGGTTCGGCCCAGACAGCGGGGAGCAGCTCATGGTCGACGGCGCTGGGGGGGGGGGGAACCTGTGAAATCCCCAGCCGTCGCCCCGTGACGAAGGAATTGGAATTGGGGGAGGCTGACCCCTGAAAGACTCTCCTATGGTTTCACTTTCCCTGCGATTGGTCCCCCAGCGATTGGTGCCCCTTTTTAACCCACTTTTTTGGTTGGGAGGGCAAGCCCCTACTAAAATAGACTACAGAAAAAAAGGGCACCCTTATTCTAACCTCTCTACTGGAGGACCTAGCCTGTTATGGTAGAACCCCTGGTTGATTTTGATTGGGTCCCAATCCTGGGGCAGGCATGTCTCAAGCTGCGGCACAATTTTGATTGGACAATCCCGGAAGAACAATCATTTTGTGTTTGGCAGCAACAGGGACGTGTCCCAAACCTTCCAAAGATGTCCTTTTGTAGGTGGGTGAAATGGGGTTATGGACTTCCAGGTTTGTTCTTGCTTTTGGCTGACCCTGTTCAGATGTGAACCCACCAAACAAGGGAGCTAGAGCGTGCCGCTGAAAGACTGTCCTGAGCCCCATGAAAGAAGTTGAGTTGAACGCCCCGCACAGAGCAAATTTGGCACCCTGACCAAGGTTTGAGTGTCCTAAAGCCACATTTTTGGGGGGGGGTGTCAACGGTTGGTGTCCTTTTGGTTGTCTCTCAACTTTAAAGACGCGTCGCATTCATTACCAACGCCAAAATGCCACAAAACGCGCCACGTCGGGGAATGGTCACGCGGCGATGCTTTGAGTTAGTTCTCTCTACAGCTCTCACCTAGCAACTTGAGGTCCTAAGTCCCAGTTCTGTTTTAACTGGGATCCAGCAAGCGGGGTTCACATTCGCAAGAATTGTGGGGTACTTGAACATCCATTTAACCATGGTTATACATGGCTAAACTATGGGGGGAAGTGCATCCCTCCAAAAGTCACGATTCCCAGAGACACTGGTGCCGGGGCGATCGATGTGGGCCAGGCACGCTCTGCGCATCGCGGACCTACTCGGCGGCGACGGGGGACGGCTGGTCGGCCCTGTCAGCATCCAAGGCTTCGTGGGTGGTGGGGGGGTGGGTGGAGCTCGGGGGGATCGGGTGGAGTGGAAGGGTGGGAGGGTGGTAGGTGGTGGGGTGGTGGGGTGGTGGGGTGGTGGGGTGGGGGTGCAGTTGGGTTGGAGAGGATGGGATGGGGTGGGAGGTGGGGGAGTGAGGTTTGGGTTCTTGTCTCTGCCTGGTTTTTCGGTGATTTTTTCCACAAACGAGACTTGTTGAGATGTTCAAGCAAGTGTTGAACTGAATCACAGTTGCTACATCATCGTTGAGTTCCTTCTTCGAGGGGGCCCACTGTGGCTCTTTGTGAAACCAATCCAGGTTTCAGGTTTCAGGTTTCACCGCATTGGGCCATTTGGCCATTTGGCCATTTGGCCAAGCATCGTTTCGCTCGCTTCACGGCTACAGCGATCCAGGTCAGGACTTTTGGTCCCAAAGAATCGCTGGAGCACTCCGGAAGGGTTCTGGCGCCTCTGAAAAAGACCTTGGGGCCTTTGATTTGGTTGGGTCACACCCGCCTTTTGGAGTAGAAACGCTGCGGGGTTGTGATCCCGACTGGCTCCAAGAGTCGACAGATTGCTCGCAAGACAGTGGCTTTGAGGCGTGTCATCCGGACGTGTGCTGCGATGGTTGACATCCTCTCTCGTCCCAGAACAAAGGAACACGTTTCGCACTGGCTTTTGCGTGCTCGCGTGTTTTCAAATGTTTACACTTTTTGCGTGTTGCCCTGTGTTGCTGCGTGTTTCCGCACCTTCTTTTCATTGAATTTTGGACGACCGAATCGCCCCATGTCGGATTGGTTCTTCGGTCTGCTTTGCAGGTGAAGTTCGGCGTGTCGGCGGATGCGACAGTGGGGAGACTCCTCCTGCATTGCGCAGGGATGATTTTTCGCCACCTCCGCAAATACTGTTGTGTGTTCTCGCAGGGGTCTGGGTTTTGATTCATGTTTGTTGGCGAGCGATTTGGCCGTTTTGGACCTGTCACGGGCATGTCCTTCTTTGACGAAATGCCTGGTTTCGTTTCGCTTTCAGAAATCGATCGATCCATTTGTGTCCGAAGCAGCTCCAAAGTAAACCGCTTCTGGTTTCCGGTGTCCTTTCGGTTCGCACCGACTGTGTCAGATTCGTTGGCTAGCTGGTGGTTGGCTCTGGGAGTTGTGGAGCCGGGGGGGGTATCCAAATTTACCTTCGGGAGCCTTCCCTTGCTGGTGCGATAGGTAGGGAATGACCCAGGTTGTCGGGAATTAACCTAGGGATTCTCTTGCAGGAAGCCATAGGGGATGATTTTTTCCTACTGATTGCCAGCAAGTTTTGGAGCAACCAGGGGTTCTGCAAGGACGTGGTTTGGCCCCCAGCAAGTTGGCTTAGTTTCTATGTCCAGGATCCGTCTCTCTACCTCTCTCTGTCTCTGTCTCTATCTCTAGCTCGGTCTCTCTCTCTCTCTCTGTCTCTCTCTCTCTCTCTGTCTTTCTCAGGAACCGGTCCCGAGCCATTTCTTGAAGACGAGCTCAAGTCGCGATCGTTTCACTCAAAGCCACCAGTCAGTTGAAACTATGTGAAAAATCCAGTGACCGCTGTTCCTCCTTCTTGCTTGCTGGCCGGCCAACACAAGAAGGATGTGTGCTTTTCCCTCCCATAGACCGTTATTCTGAGCGCAAGGAAAGAGCCGGTTCTCACAATTTCACGATACCGGGTTATAGGACGCACGCTACAGGTCAAAGCTAAGGACTCTGTTGTTGGTGTAGTATTGGTCTTTCCAACCTGTCCCAGAAGGGTCTTTAATTACGAAACCGGGCAAAAGAACGCCCAAGTCTTCCACAGACCCGGACAAAAAACTGGGTTGGCGGTGAACCGTGCTCTGGCTGCTACAGGGTGTCCTTCTGCAAGTGGGTGAAATGGGCCAACGTGGACTTTCCAGGGTGCGAAATCGAAAGAGATCCGGCAGTGCACACGTGGCAAGTGCCAAAACTGCCTGGTTCGCTTTTACAGAAGGGGACGCCAAAACAGGCTGGTCCAGTTCGTTTGCTCCGTAAACTGTCAATGGGAAAGCCATCAGCTGCTCGTTTGCTCAAAACACTTGGCAGCTGCTGGGTGGTGCTGGTACGCAATTTTGCGGGTCTCGGCGAGACCGGAGAAAAAACAAACACCAAGAGTGTAAAATTGTCCGCGGGTCTCAGCGAAACCGAAAAAAGCAAGACAAAACGAAAGCAAAACTAACAAAACACACACACACACACACACACACACACACACACACACACACACACACACACACACACACACACACACACACACACACACACACACACACACACACACACACACACACACACACACACACACACACACACACACACACACACACACACACACACACACACACACACACACACACACACACACACACACACACACACACACACACACACACACACACACACACACACACACACACACACACACACACACACACACACACACACACACACACACACACACACACACACACACACACACACACACACACACACACACACACACACACACACACACACACACACACACACACACACACACACACACACACACACACACACACACACACACACACACACACACACACACACACACACACACACACACACACACACACACACACACACACACACACACACACACACACACACACACACACACACACACACACACACACACACACACACACACACACACACACACACACACACACACACACACACACACACACACACACACACACACACACACACACACACACACACACACACACACACACACACACACACACACACACACACACACACACACACACACACACACACACACACACACACACACACACACACACACACACACACACACACACACACACACACACACACACACACACACACACACACACACACACACACACACACACACACACACACACACACACACACACACACACACACACACACACACACACACACACACACACACACACACACACACACACACACACACACACACACACACACACACACACACACACACACACACACACACACACACACACACACACACACACACACACACACACACACACACACACACACACACACACACACACACACACACACACACACACACACACACACACACACACACACACACCAACTCCAACAAAAACAAAGGAAACAAATAAGAAAACACTGCGAGATCGAACAAAAAGAAGAAGGACAAAACAGAAAAAAAAGGAGCAACCACCACCACACAAATAAAAATAAACGACACCGAGGAAGTTCCAGGGGGAGATGGATGCCGCAAGGGGCTCAGCCTGGCTTCGGCTTCGAGCGCCCCGCTGAAAGGACACCTAGGGGCGATGGATTCGGGACGTGGTGGTCGGGAGGGTCCCCAGCTAGGACCTTTTTTTGTTTTTGGTCGGGAGGGTTCCCCTACTAAGATAGACTACAGGAGAAAGTTGGTAGCCTTGAGGTAACTGGTTAGTAAGCCCGGCTAGAACTCACTTGGGAGACTTACAACCATGGGCTTTTGTGGGTTGTATAGCCATGGGTATTACCCACTTACTAAGTACGTTGCCCCTTACTAAGCAGAAGGAACGCAAAGAAGGGGGGCCCCCAACCTCTCAGAAGTAGTGGTTCATCGTGGAACCCAACGAAGGAGGTCCCAGCCCCAAAGGGAGAGTCTCCTCTCACAAGTCGTGGTTTGGTTTCAGGTGTTAGGCGAACTTCGTAGGGGCTACAGTAGATGATGTTTGCTAGGATGGTATTGGGTAATGTATTACCCGTCAACCAACCTGTTTATTAATAGGGGCCCCGGTGTACCTGGGTAGAAATGGGGGGAATCAGACCACTTGTGGAGGGATTTCCACCCCCCGATTCATAACAGGTTGGTTGATTAATATATGAGGTCAACATTGCAGATATCCGGCTCTTTGTTTTTTTAATGGGCAGACCTTCTGACCAGATTAGATTGTGGCTCATCGGGATTAGATGAGCGACAGTTATGGTGGTCCCTTTCTGGACCACCCCCCGATATTTGCAGGGGCAATCGAATCATTCCAGGGTTTCTTAGGTGGAGCAGGATTTCGTCCGTTTACAGTATGTCTCACTTCCTGAGTTCATGAACTTTAAACTTTTTGGGAAGACCATTTTAGTGGTAAATCTAAAGTTTGAACTTTTTTTGGGCTATCCACTCAGCCAGTGAGATGTCCAAACCCTGAATTAAATGATCAACAATTCCAGTCTACGGTAAAATTGGGGGACATGGAGGAATGAGCCCTAAGTTTCGCACAAGAACCAGGGGCACTCAGCGATTTTCCCGCTCCGGTAGCAAAAAGGAAGCCAACCATTTGGGGGTCTCCAAGTTTCAAGACAATTGTTTAAAGGGGGGTTGCTGGCAGTAGGATGGAAGAAGTGGCAGGTCGCTTTCCGAACTGTTGAAACCACCCGGTTTGGGCTCCATTTTGAGGCAGACCCACCATGAATATGTGGGTGTGGCTCAAAATTAAACAGGAGGGGCAAGCCGCAGGTTTTGGTCCATGTTTCCACTTACCAGGGCAACCCATTGTGGTACTGGGTTTAGCTACAGCCATATGGACTTTTACAGGCATTGGTTTGCGAAAGACATGTGTCATTGAAGGCAAAGGCGGACATGGGCGTCGGCGGCGCGAAAAGAAGAGGGATGAACTGAAAAACTGTCAGTCATCTTTGGAAAGCCGTCCATGCCACCTCCCCAAAAAACCAGTTTCCTAGAGTTGTTTCTTGCGACCCCTAAAAAGAGTACCCTCCAAAAGGGAAAGAAATCTGAGTCGCAGGGCTATTTGTCTCACTTGACGCGTTCCTGGACTTGATCTAGTTTTAGGGTTTGGACCATGTTGGACGTTTTTGGCCCATCCGCTCAGAAAAGTGGCAGGTCCCAGATCGCTTTCGGGCCGAAGCCCTCAGATGCCAGCGGTTGACACCGGGCCCAACCCTAAACCCACCCGAAACTCGGCCCTACCATTCTTTCCAGGGATCCCTCGATTCTTTTCAGGAAAACATCAAAGACCGAGGGGAAACAGATCCGGCTTTTTGATAAAAGAACCATGGTTGAACAGAAGGGACCAGGAATCAACCCCGGCTTCTTATGGGACCTTTTGGGGATTCGTCATGTGGATTTCTGCCCACCAGCAGAATGGACATTCCCTTATCTTCCAGTTGAATGTGTGTTTTTCCCTTGTTGGTTTTAAATGGGTTTTCAAGGGAGGCGATTTCACTACTGGGCATACTGTGGATGGACGAAATCCTGCACCACCCAAGAAGCCTTGGAATGATGATTCCCCTGTAACTACCAACGAACAATGGTTTCTCCTGGTTTTAAAGTGGTGCAGGATTTCGTCCATCCACACTGCTTTCTCATTTTTCTCCAAGGGGCTTATGGGAAGAAGTGGGAATCAACCCCCAGAGCCCCGCGCACGGAGGCCGCCATCTTCCAGACCGAGCTCTCGCTGCAGGCGAGAAACGGCGAAGACGGTGAAGACGTCAGAGGTCTTGGGGCAGGGTTCCACTTTTGGACTACGCCAAGTCTTGGCTTCTTTTTTTTCAATCATATTTGGGCCTGCATAAAAGGACCAAGCCGCGCCAAGATAGACTTAAACCCCAGAAAACTCCCTTTGGGGGGAACGGCACCTGGGTTTTCGTCTATTCTGGGGTAGTCCAAAAGTGGAATTCTGTTTTTGGGGTCCAAAGAGAGTTCCGGTAGGATGCATCCGAAACCGGCTGCTTGCTGGAGTTGTTTTTGTTCGGAAATGAGGTATGTTGGGTGATGTTTTTTCGAGTGACACCAGCTATCCTGATTGGCGCCTCGAGTGCTTAGAATTTCTTTGGTCCCGGGAACCCCGAAAACCATTTGGATGGACTCCAGGGAGCTGGTTCTAAAGAGTACCGACGTTGAAGGGACTGGGAGCCGCTGGTAGACATATCATGTCCCGAGTTCGAGGGTCCCGAGTTTAAGGGTTCCGGGGTTCCCGACTCTTAAAATTGGGTATGTGTCAAAATAGGAATTTGGACCCCCAAATTCGCGGTTTCCTTTTGGTTTCCTTTCAAGGCCACCATACTGTCAATGGAACAAATCCATTTCGCACCACCTAAGAATCCCTGGAATGATTCGATTCCCCAAGGTAAGTACCAACAAACACCTAATGGTTTCAACAATGGTTTCATTTTGTGGTGCGAGAAGCAATTGGATTTCGCATCCATCCACCGTAGCCACAGCAGAAACGGTAAAGCGGTACGTGTCAAAATAGGGACCGCCCCTAGAATAGTTGTTTTTCGATTGGTTTCCCTTCAAAGCCACCATATCCACCCCCAACACGGTATATGCCCCCGAAAACAGGGCTGTGGCATCAGGGGTTTCTCCCCATTCCCGCATCCCTTTTTTTTTGGGGGGGTGTTCCTTTCACGCTTCCTTTTCAGCCGGAAAAAGGCAAACTGCAGTTTTGTGCGGCAGATGCGTGGATTCCAGTTCCATCCCTGTTTTTAGCCGGCCACCGCAAAGGTTTTTGTTTGTTTGTTTTGTTTTTGTTCTTTTCTCCGCGGGGGTCGCCTGGGGTGGAAGCCTGTGCCAGGAGATGCGGCACCACATGCTCGCGGGCTCCTGGCGGGGCGAAGGCGGCTGGCGGGGTGGGTGGGGGGGGTGGGAGACCCGGAGACCGTTGGTGGTTCCCAACCGTCCGGTTCCGTCGTGTAGGTTTATCCGGTTCTGTAGGTCTTGAGTTGTGTTTGATCTGCTTCGTTGTTGGAAATCTGTGTCTAGCCCAGACAAAGGTGATTTCAACCTTTGGCAGGGGATCAGAAAGAAAAACAAGCCTGCAGCCCAGCAAGCAAGAGCCGGTGGCAGGAAACGCCAAGCGAGAGCCATTAATCTTGCTGCGTTAAGGGAATGACCGAGTCCAGGCCTCGGGCATAGGATGGAATGGCTTATAGGGTTCATTCCATTTCTCATTTTTTGCCTGAGAACAGGCAAGTAATGCAAACAACAAGTCCAACTCACGCACAGACGCACACTCACCCACACGTACGCGTTTTTGGAGCCAAGTTGGACTTCGGCAGGAAGGAAGGCTGAACACTTTGAACTGCTTTTGGCCAATCGACGTGCTCGACATGTCGGATGACTTACCAGAACAAGGGTCCACATGTATCAGAAAATACCATCTTCCATGCCCGCCCTTTTGACATAAATCGATACATCGAGCCCCCCCCCCCCCCCCCCCCCGTCGTTTGTGCGGAGGCTTGACCTTCCTGCAGCGATTCCTGACCACAGCTTGTCGGCCTCTGAGTACGAGCACGGGACATGGCAAGTCTCTCGGCGTTGGCAACAAGGTGATTTTGTACCCAAAGAAAGAGGTCGCCCAAGATGAGCTTCCGCCGAAGACGAGGGTTGGGTCCAGAAAGCGTCCTGCAGGTGGTTGGGGACATCGTTTTTGGGGACCTTGGCGCTTGGCTCAGGCCAAAACATGGGACCGGCCCCGGTCCTTTTTCCCAAAGCATCGGGCCCTGAGCCTCGAGCCGAATTGTGTGCCGCATTAGGCGGGCATAGGTAGCACAGGATAGGCTTCATTACGTTAGCTCTATGGCATAGGTGTCCTTTTTGGGCCAGTTTTGCTCGAAAAATAGTTCGGGCGATTCCTGGATTACCTGGATTGCACCATCTACCAGGGAACCCCCTCTATTTCCAACCTAAAAGGACACCTAGGACTACATGTTTCCTAGGGGCTCAGTCCAGCCGCAATGAAGGCCAAGAGCCTGAAGTCTCAGCTGACCTTGCTGTATCCCATCTCAAGACCCCACAAAGGCTCAGGACGCGCTGGACCGGCCTCTGGGAGCTATGGCGGACCAGCTCGCCTTGGGCTATGCTTGCTGCTTGATCGCCAGCGTCGCCTATGCCGTGAATTTCCTGCCGGTGAAGCAGTATGACACGGGGGACGGGATCTTTTTCACCTTCGCCATGTCACTGGGGATCTTGGTTGTTGGCCTGGTGATGGGCTTTCTGCAGCACGAGCCCTTTTTCTTCGAGCCGTTGGCCGCGGTGGGCGGCCTCATCTTCACCGCTGGCAACCTCCTGTGCCCCTTGGTGATCCAGATGATCGGCCTGGGCCCGGGTTTGACAATGTGGGACCTCAGCAACATGCTGATGGGCTGGTTCACGGGGCGCTTCGGGCTTCTGGGCGTGGACAAGGAGATCTCCAAGCGGCCACGCTTCAACTACATCGGCCTGGCGCTGGCCTGCGTCTCCCTGGTCTTCATGTACCTGGCCGCCCGCTTCGACCACAAGCCCAAAGCGGCGACCCTGGCTTCGGAGTCGGAGACGGAGGCCCTGGAGGCGGAGGACTCCGACTCCGAGGCGGAGAAGGGCGAGAGGCAGAGCCCCATGAGGCTGGTCATGGGTACATCCTTGGCCGTGCTCGCGGGAGTGCTCTTTGGCGCGACCTTCGACCTGCCCCAGGACCTGATGCAGGGGCAGTTCGGGCCGAACCACAGCAGATATGCTCTGGACTACGTCTTCAGCCACTTTGTGGGGATCTTTGTGTCGGCATCTGCGGCCTTGCTCGCTTACTTCCTCGCGCGGCGGAGAACAAGCTACGCCCCCCTGAACCTTGTGCTGCCGGCCATGTGCTCGGGCATTATTTGGGCCATTGGCACGGTGGCTTGGTTCCAGGCCAACGGTGATCTTGGCTTCTCAGTGACGTATCCAATCATTAGCAGCGTGCCCAGCATCCTGGCTCTCTTGATCGGCTTCTGCTGTTTCGGCGAGCTTGCAACCTCTAAAAGCCGCGGGTTCGCGCTGATGGGCGTCATGATTCGGCTGCCGGGCGTGGCGCTCATTGCTCTCTCCCGCCTGTAAGAGGCTTGGGAGGACATGGGCCATTTTACGTATATAGCATTCTGTATATGAATTTTGGCGTGGCCGCACCTTGACGCTCCGCACGTCGGCAAGCAGTTCGGTCTAAACTCCGTCGTTTTTGCGGGTCATGGTCATGGCGCCCTTAGTGGGCACCCTTCAAAGGTGGTCTACATTCCGTATCGCAGGGTCCGCGACCATCCCAAAGCTCCAGTTGCCCTTTATTCTGTATATCCAACTTTCAAGCAAGCGAAAAGGAGCCGGCCAGTATGCTCAGAAGGTATGTTGAAGGTGTTGAAGAACAATATGGCTGAGGAAATGAGCGGCCATTCTGGCAAATTATGGCAATGAAGGGTTGAGAGGTTGAATCAAATTGTTGCCCACGCCATACCTATTCTAGGTCCCCCAGTAGTGCCCTTTTACCCTTTTGTGTGGGAACCCAAAATAGACTACAGAAAAAAGGGTACCCTTATTCTAACCTCTCCACTGGAGGACCTAGTAATTTTTCTTGTGGTTCCTTTTGGTTTCCCTTCACTTCAGCGGGTGGACCAATCCGTCCGGACCCCCTTGGAGGTGAGGACAGTCGGCTGGCCAACGCCACCTTTCCGCGCTGCGGCGTGGAGGCGGAGCTGAAGAGCGAGCCGAAGGGCATACTGTGGATGGTGACGCGACATCCATTTCGCATCACCTAAGAAACCAGGGGAAACCCGTATCGTTTGGGTGTCTTAAGTACTATTTGCAGGGGAATCATGGTTGAAACTCTTTGAAACCATGGTATTTCGCATCACTTTGAAACCATGGGAAGCCATTCTTTCTTGGTTTTTACAGGGGAATCATCATTTCACTTGTTCTTGGGTGGTTCTTGGGTGGTCGAAATGAAACCATGGTTGAAGCCATATACGTTGGGGAATCGAATCATTTTAGGGTTTCTTAAGTGGTGCGAAATGGATTTCGCCCGCCCACAGTAGGTGTCCTTTCTGGTTGTTTGAAGCTCGAAAAATACCTGGTTTACCTTGTGATTTTTTCCCATCTACCAGGGACACCCATCTATTTCCCCCAAAAAGGACACCTATGCTGAAGGGCCGGTGGCTTTGTCTGGGCGGTTCAAAGGGAATCCGCGAGAGAGCCTTCCCTGGCCATGGGGCATTGTGGCGATCCCATTTTGGGGTGTATGAATATCCATTTGCCACCTATTTTGATGTTCACCAGGGGTACAGGGTTTTGACCCACAGCCACCTTGGAACCAGTCCCCTCTTTGGTGGCTTCCCTCCACCTGTAAGGGAGCAAACAAGGGGTGGCCTCCAAAAAAGACACCCGCAGCCATGAAATCAACCTGGAATGGATTTTCCGGGAAGCCACCAAAGTCCTGAATGGTTCCCTTCCTTGAGAGTTCAAGTTGGGGGTTGGAGAATCTGCAAAACAGATCTAGTGCACTGGGGGCTGTTAGATTTTCCCTTCGATTCTTTCCCCAGGACCTTGTGATCACGAATATCGGGACAATTCTCGGGGCTTCATGAACCTGAAACCACGTTGGTTTTGGTCCTGCAAGGTTTCCAAGGGCTACCTATGGGACGGGTGAAAAGAATAAGCCTAGGTGGTATCCCCAACAGCCCACCCCTGCAACCCTGAGGAAACCTCCCCTGAAAGCTGCCCCAAACCACCCCAGAACCTATCTATGGAAATACCCAAAAGCTTTCAGCTGTCGGGAATTAAAACAGAGTGTCCATTTTAGTAAGACGCCGCAAAGTTGCCCGAACCAAACATAGTGGTTTTCAATTGGACATCACCCCCAAACTTCCATTTAACAGCCCAAACGGGTGGACAGCATCTTAGGAGAAACAATCGGTATTCGGCGCGTTGTCTCATGTTTTTCCCAAAGGAATGACGTGTGAGAAGAATGGCGCCGTATTGATGGATGATCATTCACGTCGCCTTGCTTCGCTGCCATGTTTGTCTCCGAATCTTAGAGTTAGGTTTTGGTTTCCTTTGGCCCTAGAAACCAAGCTTCGAAGATCCCCACCCCCTTAAAAATGGAATCGGGGAGGGGGGCGACCCCTGGAATTCTCATTTGTGGTTCCATTTTCCCTTTTATGGGGAAGACTCGAGAAATGGAATTGGGGACTCCCCACCCCCCTCCTCCTGAAGGAGGGGGGATTTTCGAAGTTCCGGGAGCGCGGATTTGCCCAGTTGGTTGGGTCCAGGGGCATCCTTTGCGGGGAGTGCCTTTTGGCTCGGACGTCGCCCGTCAGTTGGACGCCCTGCTGGCACGCACGCCCCCCTGCGCCGTGAGCTTGGGCTTTCGGACTCTGCGACCAGCGCCCCCCCATAGGCTGCGAAGGTAAGGAACCATCTGCTTGAGAACATAGGTGTCCTTTTTAGGTTAGTTTTGTTAAAAATAGAAGGCACTGGTTTAGATGGGTTTGATTCCATTTACCAGGGCCATCTATTTTTCCAAAAGGACACCTATGCTTGAGAACATCATTTATTTTCCCCTGTTGGTTTTGAAGGGAATTGGTTTGACTATTGGATGTTTTTTGTTTTGTTTTGTTTTGCGTAAGACCTTCCATTGATTTTCCACTGTTGGGTTTAAAGGGAGTCTAGCAGCTGAAATGAAAATGTCTTATGTCCTCCCCCGTTGGTTTTAAAGGGGAACGGTTTCACTATTGGATGTGTGCTTTGTTTCTTTTCCAGGGGGCGAACACGCAAATGGAGGTAAGGAACCTAAAGATTGGGCCCGCTTAAAAACCCCTTGGGTGTTGGGTCCGGGCTCTTCAACAGCGCAGGCTATGTTGGGAGGTCTCGGTAGAACATGCACACTACATGCTGAAGGGACATGGTAGGCCTCTAAGAGGGTCCCTCAAGATAGGGGGACCGCACAGATTGGTGGTTTCCTGCAGTTTCCCTTCCGACCAACTCCAAATGAAGGGCATGAGCCAGCAAAGACATGGTAGTCCTCTACGATAATTATGACCATGTTTGCGAACCGGCTACTAAATTACTGAATTCGGGTGTTTGGGATCTCCTTTGACTGATGTTGTGTTGAAACAAACACTGATCATGGGTCCATATTCAACCAGTACATTTTCAGCGGGGAGCATGTCTCAAAATAGGGAGACCCTTGCCTTTAGACAACTGCAAATAGGGTTCCCTCGAACCCATATGTTCGAAACTTTACCCCAGACAACCAATGTGGCATGAAGGGAGTGTGAACTTTCTCACTCGGAGTTCACTCCATTTTCAGAACCAAGACTCCCAAGAACAAGTTACGTTGATTTTTCGGGAGGGTTTCACCTGGGTGTGTCTTTTAGGGGACCCCCCTTCCCAAATGGGTGATTGTCCTTTTGGCTTCTCTTTCAAGCCAACAAAAAAGGGGTTCCCCTAAGAAAATAACTGTGTTTCCTTTTGGTTTCCCAAAATCCATCTACCCCACCGATTTTGATACCGACTCAAAACCACCAACACCGAACACGAGGCCCAGGGCGACGTCTGCGGCTGCCTGGCGCAAGTGCGAGGCGCGGATTTTTGGGGGCTTTTCTGGAGGTCAACAAATGGGCGTGGCTCAAAATTAACCAGGAGGGGTTACGCAGGTTTGGTCCATGTTTCCACTTACCAGGGTTTCATTTTGGTACCAGTCTTTTGAGCCACAGCCAAATTGACTTTGCTTTTTTAGTTGGGCATCCCTGGCAACACCAACCTAAAATAGGGCTCCCGGAACTTCTTTTTTTTTTCCTTCTTCTTTTTTTCGGGACTTCCAACAGAAGTAAATTGATCAACTTTTGAAGAAGGGGAAATTCAATGACCCCTGTAAATATGTTGGGAAGATATTCTTGCACCCAAATCACATGGCGGACCCGTTCTTTTTCGCAAAATACTTGAAGGGAAACCAGAAGCCAGCCATTTTGGGGGTGCCGTATCTCAAATTCCCATGCGCAAATGGCGGCTCATGATTGAGGGTGATTCTTGGGGGCTGTTTCAAAGGGCTCCAGGTTCCCAACTCGAAGCATCTGCCGGGCCCCCCAAAACCCACCCACGAAGTTGGGGTAAATGGTTCGGGTTCCCCAACTTTCCTTCGGTGGTTTGAAACATCACAGGCCAATTAACTTGTTGAGTTCCTTACTCAGGCTGATGATTCAAATCGCCAGGAACCTGCGTATGGGTGTTTCTCAAAACATGCATTTTTTGTTGAATTGCCTTTTGAACCCAACAAGAGGCATGGCTATCTGCGGTTCAGTCAACAATTTCGGCAATCTTTAATCTTTGGTACAGCCCAGAGAAGAACAACATCTCAGTTCAAAACATAAACCGAGTTATTCCTTTGGTCTACTTGCAGTCAAGGTTCCAAAAGGTCAGCCTTTTACTTTGTATTTATTTGTGGGTCCTTTGGGCCTTTGAGACATTGCTCGAACAACCACGCGGCTTTCGAAGGGCGTCCCCTTGAGTGGAGCGAAGCCTTCACGACTTTCTTGTCAGCTTGCTGTGGGTGGACGAAATCCAATTCGCACCACCTGAGAATCCCTGGAATGATGATTTTTCTGAAATTACCAGCCAGCACTGGTTTCCCATGGTTTCAAAGTGGTGCGAAATGGATTTCGCAACCATCCACAGTATCATGGTCACGGTGCTGACGCGTTTGCTCCGGCCTGACGGCTTGCGTGCGATGAGTCCTCGCACGCGATGACCCACGCTCCCAGGGTTCGCTCCCCGCATCTTCTTCGGCGCTTCTCATGGCCTCGGAACCGTGACTTCAGTGCCCTTTTACCCTTTGTTGGGGGAGGGTTCCCCTACTAAAATGGACTACAGAAAAAGAGGGTACCCTTATTCTAAGCTCTCTGCTGGACCTAGTTGCGTACGGTTTTCCACGCGCGCTCTTCGGCCATTGGGCAGAGAGGCGTGCCGGCCAAGGATACTCGCGTCGTCCAAGGTGGTAAGTGGTTGCTATCCCAGGATATAACATACTTGCTGGTTTAGCCCTACTTGAAAATCCCACAAGCAGGTAGCCTAGACTACTAACCAGTAGCTAACTTGGCCCAAGACCCAAGTGAGGGGACCCCCTTTTCAGCCAATGCGAACGTCGCTATGTCGCTGAGATTGCAACCCTGCTAAACTGAGCCAGGCTAAGGCCACAATGTCCTTGCGGGTGTCCGCTTTGTTTTTGTTCACTCATGTTGCCATGAAGCCTTCCAGAAGATCCCTCGAAGAAAGGTTGCCTGACATGAGCCCAGGTAAACAAAAACACAGAAATTTAGTGAGCCATAGACAGCTGGATTGTTTGGCTGAACCCGAGAAAGACATACCTCATGTTGGAAGATTTGAAAAGGTCCAAAAGGAAATGAACAACCTAGACGTTAGATGAGCTGTCCTGTTTTGAGAAAGCCCATATTGCAGGTTCTGAATGATCCTTGAAACATCATCCCCCCATAGGCTATTGGTCATAGGTGCCCTTGTTGGTTGGTTTTTGCCTGGAAACAAGTAACCCTGGTGGATGGATCAAGCCACCAGGCAACCCAGGCCCATCTATTTTCAACCAAGCCTACCAAACAGGACACCCGCACTGCACCAACTAAACACCTAAACACCTCGGGAACCCCACTGGGCACCACCAAGCCGATTTCGAAGGCGAGTCGGAGCTCCAGTGCGCTTTGCAGTGCCCCGGGTCCTCGCTGAAGCGCACACTGCCCGGAGACCTGATGGGACGACAGGGCCCCTCGCGTTGTCGCTCGTGTGGCCTCAAGGGGTTTGATATTGGCGAACGTCTAGGGAGAAACTTTCGGCCCACCCTCCTACTACCACCACCCACCGCCACCATTACTACTACTACTACTGCTGCTGCTACTACTACTACTACTACTACTACTACTACTACTACTATTACCACACTACTACTGCTGCTACTACTACTACTACTACCAATACTACTAATGCTACTAATACTACTAATACTACAAGACGACGACCTACTACTACGACGACTACGACGACGACTACTACTACTACTACCATTACTACTACTACTACTACTACTACTACTACTACTACTACTACTACTACTACTACTACTACCACAGACGCCACCACTAACGCCACCACTACCACCACTGCCACAACCACGACCACCACTACCACGACCACGACCACTACCACTACCACTACCACTACCACTACCACTACCACTACCACTACCACTCCCACTCCCAACAACAATATCAACTACTGCTGCTGCTGCTACTTTGTTTGGGGGCGCCATGGGAATTGTGTTAAACCGAGGCTCGGCATGTTCAGGGCGAGAGAGGCTTTAGAGGTCCGGTATGGATGATGGTTGCGAAATCCAAAACGCTTGTTGGTAGTTACAGGGGAACAATCATTCCAGGGATTCTCGGCTTGTCTTGAAATAGAACCATCCAACAAGGGGTCCCCTATTTTGAGACACACCCATATAAGCTCGTTACAGGTTTTATTCCATTTGCCAGGGCCATCTATTTTCCAAAAGGCCACCTATGGAGAGCAACCGTCTCAGCCCCCTCGACCCGGCCGCAGCGGAAAAAAAACTCGCGCCGCCGCCAGTCGGGCGTCGTGAGGCCGAAGATCCTGGAGGAGCGGTGCTCGGCCGTAGACTCAGTTGATGCACAGGGCAAGGCTAGGTCCCCCAGCTAGGTGCCCTTTCTCACCTTTTTTGGTTGGGAGGGTTCCCCTACTAAAATAGACAAAACCAAAAAAAGTTGGTACCCTCATTCTAACCTCTCAAATCTGGAGGACCTGGCGGGGGGTTCAAAACATGAACATGATTGGGGTCTCTGCCTAGAAATGAGGGGCCAAAAAATGAAGAATGAATGAGGGCGGTTTGGCCTCTGAAACCCTGCGATCCCATTTCCAACTAAGGGTCTTATCTTGGGGAACCTTTTGACATTGAGAGTTGTTCGAGGATCTTTGATATTTGTCTCTGTGTCAGTTTGGATGCGATGTCCCGTGATTTTTCATACCGTGCGAGCAAGGGTACTTGGTAAATCAAGAGTTCCCGGAGGTTTTTGGGCCATCCACTCGATCGGAAGTGAGGCGTAGGTATAGGTGTTGAAATCCCTGCAACATCAGCTTATCATGTATGCTGCGAAGGACAGGTTCTTCGTTTGACTTGACCTCTGACCTAAGACTCCGCAATCACCTGGCGGAAATCGTTGGCGTGCCCGCAACCGGCTATGCTCAAGAACTGAGCATTTCAATAAGTGCGGAGCGGTCGATTGAGTCGGTGCCCAACGCTTAGAGGGGTCAACCTTTGCCGGTGACGCTGTGCCTCTTGTCTGTACGGGTGCGCAAAATCACGAGTTTTCGGCGCCAGAAGATTCTCTCCAGCAACTGGGTCATTCTTTTGGCTGTATCTTGGGTTATCAAAGTCAGAAACTGGGGTGGTTTCCCTCAAACCTACTTACCAGCTGGTGGTCTGGAAGGGAGCCAAGGAGCCAGGGGTATTCGGATCACTTGGGGCAGGACACCTCCCTCCTATTCCCTAAATTGGGACGGTGGGTTGTCACTCGGACCAAGGACGCGCTGCAGCTGGGGAAGTCGTGCCAGACCAACAGCGACTGCGATCTGCGGGGGCCCCCACCCCCACCGGAGGGCCCAGGTTTGTAACATTGGGGACCGCCCAGTTTTTTATTTGTTCAAGTTGCCCCGAAAGAAAAAAAAACAAAAAAAAGCATGCCACAAGCAAAAGGTGACCTCAAAGACAACACACCCAGATCGGTGGCGTTAACACCAGACCCAAAAACCCAGAAACATCAAGGCCTAAGACCACAAGACTTCTTGCGGCTTTGTTTTCTCCGTATTTCAGGCGACCCTGCGAGGAACCGGGGGAGAACCGGGATTTGCCAATGTATTTTTTCCCTTGCAGAAATACAGGGACTCAGGCAACCCTTGATTGACGGTTTGGATTTGAAACTCTGGCTTTAGAGGGATGGGAAACCACCCGCGGAACACCTCCAAACCACCAATTTGGCTCCAAACCACCAATTCGCGGGAAACGGTTTCGTCTTCCCATACGGTTGTCTGCAATTGATGTGCCTGCGGTTAGACTGGATGACCTCTTGAACATTTCCAGCTTTTGTCTATTTCCAGCTATTGCGCTGGTGTTTTTTTGCGTGCCATTTTCACGCTAGGCTCCATTCCTCTGTGCATTTCACGGGTGCGGTGGAAAGTCTGGGTGTGGGGTTTTTCGAGGGTACTCTTTTCGAGTATCGGAGGCACGAGTGGGAGACGCGCGGCATGAACTGCCAGGATTGTATGAGTTTTCCGCTGGGGAAAGTCCCTGTCTGAACAAGCAGTTGGGAGTGCTGGGAGCATAGGTGTCCTTTTTGGTTGTTTTGCTAGAAAGATAGATAGCCCTGGTTTACCTGATGGTTTAATCATCTACCAGGGAAACCCATCTACTTCTGGGAGGTGGCCTCTTAGACATTTTCCCTTTGTGCGAAGCACCCCTTTTCCAGTGGCTTCGCACACGCATGGGAAGTATCAGACCTGAATATGCTGTTCACTGAGTTGACCCTTTGCACTCTACCCGGGCTCGAGTATAGTGTCAACCTGGTGCGATAGGGAATGATCTTCCGGGTGTTGAATCGGAATGCACCCAAAGATTCCCGAAGAAAGGCCCCCGCCGGTTGCTTACCTCTTAAAAACACGACTTTTCAACTTTTTGGGGGTAACATGGGCCATATGTCTGTGAAAGATTAACTTTTTCAGGGCTTGGAGTTTTAAGGGGTAAGGTTGGGATTCGGTTGATCTCGGGGTCAAACGCCAAGTCTCAGGGCCTCATTCCCTGATCGCAAAGCTCTTGGATTCCCCTGCCGCAGCTTCTTGGGTCCCATACAGTGCGTGGGTGCGACATCCATTTCGGACCACTTTGAAACCATGGAGCCATAACGTTTGTTGGTATTTACAGGGGGAATCGAATCAGAAACCAGGGCTTAGGTGGATGTCGCGGACTGGATTTTCGCGTCACCATCAGTACCACCCCGCCAGGGCCCCTGTGGGGCGCTTTGGGCACGCTCCGATTCGTGGCAATGAGGCTTTTTCCGCCCATCGGCCAAAGCTCGAAGCTGCAGTGCGATCTTGCCCGGACACCCAAGTTAGTCTAAGACGGATGGGAACCCCCCGAAAATGCCTGGATCGCCAGTTTTGTTTTCTCCTTTTTTTTTCCCGGGTACCTTACCATCCAATCAAGATTGTTGCAGGTCCGCCTTTTTCAGGACCTGCAACATATTTTTTAAATTCCAGCTTGGGCTAATTTTCTGTTTGGGGGGGAGGGAAGACGGCAAGACGCACCTGTTGGTTTGAGCGCTTCATGATTTCCTTGTTTTGCCCCATGCCAAACTTTTCCCCCCGTTTTCTCCCTGTTTCCCGTGGCACTCCACTGGTCTGGTTCTTTCTCGGAGTGTTTTGGGGGGGGGGGCTCAAAAGTCAGCGTCTCAGGCCTCCATGACAAGGAGTTGTGATCAGAATGGTTCATCCGCCACAGGGCTCCAAGCCTCAAATTGACCAGAGGATCAGGTCGACCCCGGATGAAATTCACCCCTTCCTGTGCGGGGAAATGTGTTCCCCCTCCAAAAGTGGACTGACTCCCCTACGTTTCATATCCCAAAACCCTGTTTGTTTCGGACGGGACGGGGCTTCATCCGTCGACCGAGTGGTGATTCGGTCGACCAGTCGACCGGTCGGTGGGTTTTTGAGACCCGGAGCTGGAGCAACGGAAGCGCTCTGAAGGGGGCAAAGCCCAGGATCCCAGGGGGAAGGTGTCCTGGGTCTCGTTTGAATTGATTCGCATCATCTGAAGCTGAGTTTTTGGAGCGGTGGTTTGCGACGTTTCTTTGAGGCTCAGTTCCCTTTTTCTGGGGTTTGCCAACAGGCAAGCCACTTTGGAAGACTACGATTTCGGGGTCCCCCTTTGATAGGACCTCCCCCATCTTGGGTGGTTTTCCTGGTGGTTTCCCTGTGTTCACCCACCAAAAAGTCTAGGGGTTGATTTCTTTTCCACCATCGTTCTTTTCAAAAACCGGATCTTTTCCCTGGGTTTCCGAAGGTTTTCTAGAAAGATCCGGATCCCTGGAAAGAATGGAAATGGAAGGTACCCCTAGAATAGTTCCCCCTGTTGGTTTTAAAGGGATCTTCCACTACTGGAAGCTTGTTTTTGTTTGTTCCAGGGGACTTAAGCAAGCGGATGCCTTTAGTGTTTAGTGGTAATTTCCATTTAACCCACTAACAGTTTGTCACTTTTAGCGGGGGATCAGAAAACGGGCAGCCCAGTTGTGGTTTCCCTATGCTAACCCACCAACAAGTCTAGGGGTGCCTTGCCCATTCTTTCCAGGAATCCTTCCTTCTAGCAAACCTCCAGACATTTGAACAAAACTTGATGGTTGAAAAGAAGAACCAGCGACTGGAAAACTAGTCCAAACCCAACAAGTCTTTAAAGTTCAGAACTCTGGTTTTTGAGCTTGGTTGACGTTGGAAGGGCAGCAACAGCTTAAAGCAAATAGCAGTCAGGCGCTTCGGCCCAGAAAAGGACCAGCCGCCAGCGCCGCAGGCCACCTACAAGTGCGTCTTCGCGACCTCCTCCGTGCCCTGGAGTTCTCTCGGGGACGAATTGTTTGTGCACGCGGATGTTGGTTGCAGCACCCACCGTTCATTTGCTTGAGACGCCTTTTTTTTAAAGAGTAATATTAATAATAATAATAATGAAGATTATATTAATAATAATAATAATAATAATAATAATAATAATAATAATAATAATAATAATAATAATAATAGCAAGAATAATAATATCACACATGTTTTACCCCTGTTGGTTTAAAAAGGCCCATATATATATATATATATTGTGTTTCTCCCCCTGTTGGTCTTAAAGGGCGTCTATCACTTTTGGAAATATTGTTTCTTTTTCTTGTGTTTCTTCCTCAGGAAGCGAACACGCAGACGGAGGCCTAAGAAACCCTGGCTTCTGATTTTCGATTCCCCTGCGCAAATGGCAACCAACGTTATGGTTTCAACCATAGGTCCATCCCCAGTAGGAACTGGCCGAATTCCCCCCCCACCCCAACCATCCAGTGGATGTCGTAAGTGGGCTTGTCTTTGTTTGAAGGCATCTTGGGTGGCTTTAGAGGGACACTGAAGGAACACCTAGCATCTTGGGGTTCCCTTCTTGGAGAGAAACCCAAATATTGCAAGCACACCAAACCATGCTCCACGGTTTCCTGGTTCCCGCTTGCAAGAACATGTCAAGCCACCATGCTACCCCACTTTTGCTCATCAATTTGTTCTGATGCCCTGGGTTCTGATTCTGTTGGAGACTGCCATGGTTTTGGTGCCAAAGGAAGCCAACAGGACAACCGCCATTTGCGGGATCCCCAATTTGCTTCACGGAGCGGGATCCACCCGGCCACCGGGAAACTATTGGCTGGGGGTCATTGGGTTGGTCTGCCAGACCGCCGTGGTCAGAATATGTTGGCCATTCTTTCCCCCAAAAAAGCTGTTTCTGCCCATGCCCATTCTGCGGCTCGTTCGGGGTGGGCCAGCTTTCAGGGTCTCCGGAGGTCTTGCTGGGGATATCACCTGGGCTGGTTTTTTGGACTGATCCCGGACCTGTGGTGCATGTCTTCTGGTTTTTGTGTGTGAGGATATTTTCACCTCAAGTGAACTGCGTGTTTCTTTTTTGTTTCACAATTGGGGGTTTGGGGGTTAACTAGGGGGAAGTGAGAAACTTGGGCTCCTTCCCTGCAACCCGCGTAGGTGATTTTGTGTCTTGTCCTTGATTTTTTTGAAAGGGTAAGGCTTTTTAGAAACCTCAAGGAAAACCACCCATTTGTGGGAGTCTAAAAAAACACTCCCAAATAATGGGCTAGTCACATCTATGCTAGTCTATGTTCCATCTCGCTTCCAGAGCGAGTCGTAATTTTTAGCGCTGAAACCACGCTAACCCTCGTGCGAAATGGATTTTGCCCATACCAGGGGAGTTCTTACTAAAGCGACTGTGTTTTGGCTTCAACTTCCTAGAAGTAAGATCATCCAGGGTGGAGAGCCCAGAAAGATTATTTGCTACCCTTATTTGCGAGGTTTTGCTGGGAGTCCAGTGTAGCCCAGTAAGCTCTTCAAATGTGCAAAAAGGAGTCTTGACTTCAAAAAAAAAAACCAAACATATTTGATCGCCATCTCCAGTGCCTCGGTGGTCCTTTCAGGTCATTTCGGGCCCCGAAGGACGGGTCTCCCTGTCGGCCTTGCGCTTACGAGGTGCTGCCGCAGCAGGTGCTGCGCGGCAGCGTGTGCGTGGCCAGAGCGAGGCGGTTTCAGGGTGAGGGATTGTTTGGGGTTTGAGGGGCTGAGGGATTGGAATCATGCGGTCTTGACGTCCAAACCGTTGTCTAGACATTTGTGTTGGACCCCTAGGGTAGGCTAAGGATAAGGCCCTAATAAGCCTTAATCAAGTCTTAGAAAACTTGACTGCTGTTGGGTTGGATCTTTAGACTTTGACTTCTTGGTTTTTGGTGGAAATAAAGTGGTGCTTTCCACTAAACCACCAAAAAGTGGTCAACTTTTTGCAGGGGGGTTACCAGCAACCAAGCAGTGGCGGTGGGGAAAAAGGGATATTCTCTTTCTCTCACTCCCTGCCGACTCAACAAAATAGTTTCGACTTGTTCTGGCCAGTCCACTTGTGCCAAAGTGAGTTTTAGCGATAGATTTTAAACGGAAGCCCACCACCCAGAGACCTCCACAAACCAGGGTTGGGCCAGTCCTTGCTTCATGTAAGTGTGTCTCTTTTTGAGGCTGCACCCCTTTTCTGTTGGTTTGAAGGGAATCAAAGGAAGAAAAAACAACCCCACCCATGTGTAAACTCCCAGTTTAACCCAAGAAACCATAGGCAAGGAAACCGATTTGATGCTTGTCTCTGAGCGGACCCGGGCACACGCACCCGCCGCGCGCGGGCCGCGCGACACGTCAGGAACTCGCCCCCGCTGAACCGGTTGCAGGCGCAGTACACTCTGGCAGCTCTGCGCCTCGACGGAAGTTCCACTGAAAAACCCACTGCTGGTGCCGAGGGAACGCGCGACAGTTCTAGTTGTACCTTCCAACCATTCTTCCATTTGCTTAATAATATGCATTATCTTTTCCTCTTGGTTTCAAAGATAATCTATCTCTACAGGAAATATTTTTTTTTCCAGGGGGCTTAAGCAAATGGAAGCTTCCATTTCCATTCTTTCCTGGAATAGACTTAGGATACATGTTACATTTTACCAGTGACTCAAAGTGAAGCAAACAATAAGATATACATTCTATAACTGGGCATAACTCTAATCATTCTTTCCTGAAAAGAACGATGGTTGAAAAGAATGGTTGGAATCAACCCCTAGAACAGTGGTTGTAAATCAATGGCTGTGTCCACCAGCCATCTTAAAGGCCCCCGCTTTATGTCCAACTGGCTACAAATGGCTGGTGGACAAAAAATCCCCTCCTAAATGGAGTCCACTACATCCCCACTCCGGTTACCGCGTGACCGGAATTCCATGGGAGGGGGGTTCCCACCCCGCTCCCCTCCCCCTTATGGTGGGGAGGATGCTCAACTTCTTTCGCACGGCGAGGACACTTGTCCAGCGGCACCCTCTAGCTCCCTTGTTTGGTGGGTTCTCCTCTGAAACAAAAGGACACCTAGTTAAACGGGTAAAGCAGTTGGTTTTTCCAGCAACCCAGTTTAAGCGGGTCTTTTGGAAGGTTTGGGTGGTGCCAGACTGTTCTCCTCCGGGTAGGTTTTGCCCTTTTGGTAGTAGTTGGAAGGGAGGGATTCGGACTTGCCGGGACCAAGTTCCAAGTTTGCCGAGAGGGAGCCTTCCGGAGCTATCGGAGGTCTGGTTAGGGAAATGGTAGTATGGTAGGCCCTTTTGCCTTCAGGGTGATCAAAATTCGACCAGGCAGATGTTAGCCCCAACTTTTTCCCCTACTTTGGGGCCCCACTTTTGCCCCCCCCCCCCGACTCCATTTTTACCCTTACCGAGAACTGTCACTTGTTGCAAAGTCTGGCCAAGCCCAGCGGCGCCCCCTGTTTTTCCTTCTTTTTCCAACCAACTGCTGAAAGCTACTGTGGATGGTTGCGAAGTCTTTCGCAACCATCCACAGTGGTCTCTTAGATAGGCTCTGGGTGCTTCAAAGGGAGGGTTCCGGAAGGTAGAGGTTCCGGGGCTGCGGATATCACCAGGGCTGATGGAGGGGAAACTTCTGCAAGGGTGCAACGGTTTTGCTACGCCAAGGGAAACCGAAGAAGAACCATCAGCTTTCTCTTAGGTGGTTTGGATTGTAGGACATCCTATAGTTTGTGAAGCAAGTCGGTGACGAGTCTCAAAATAGGGGAACCCAAAGTTGTGAGTTTCCTTGGTTTCCCTTTAATATAATACAAAAAGGGGTACCCTCAAGCAAAGCAACATACACACACACGTGATTTGTTGTTGGATGTTGTTGGCTTACTTGGCATCAAGAAGCACAACTGCGCTTTGAATGGAGCCACAAAGATGTGTTGAGGAATTTTCTGGGAATGGACCTTGTTGGGCTAGGTGTAAGTGTCCTTTTGTTTTATGCCCCACTCACCAGGAGTATCCTAGGTGTCTCGAAAGGGTGTTATTTTTTGACCCGGGCTGACCAGTGAAACCCAAGCACACCGGAGTGTCAGCGACCGCTAGTTTTAACCTCCAGCTAACCTGTTTGCCCGCGGAACTCGGGGTTGTGGACAGCTTCGGCTGTGGCTTTTTTGGGATCCCTGTAGGATATCAACAGAATATTAGCAGGATCACCAAGAAAGGACCAACAGGGGGAAGAGGCGAAATCCCCGAAAGGCGAATCCAACCGGGTTCTCAAAGCAGTCGGGGGGGCTCTTTTGGGATGGATTGAAAAAGGGGAAGCCACGAGGACTCACCACTTCCCCTTTTTTTTCTCCGGAAGCCGACGCCGACCGCCGCTTTTTGCGCCGTCGCCGACCGCGACGACGCCGCCTTTCTCTCGCTCGCGATCGATCCGGTCCCAGCGACTCAGAAGACTCGACGGATCGAGAGGTCCAAGAGCAATGCGAGCCTCTTCTTGACGGTGGCTGCGCCCGGGGGCCCAAAGAAACATCCAAGCGGTACTTTGATTGTTTTTTGTTTTTCCTGCAAAGCACCCGGGGATTTTGGGCAACCAGCTTTTTCCTTTTCTTTGTTTTTCTCTCTTGTTTCAATATTTATTGTTCTGAACAAAGAAAACACACTCCACGCGTTACTTTTTTCCTGAAAAAAAACAAAAACCAGGGATGTTGGGCAAGGTCAGGCATCCAGTTCAACTGGGCCTTTTGGTTGTTATTTTTTTGGTTTGGTGGTTGGGATTCCATTTGTTCCCACAAGTTAGTCACTTTTTGCGGGGGATCTGAGGACGTGGTCGGGTTTGGGAGCGTCTCTTGAGGGTTTCTAGCGGCACCCAGTGGGGCCAACAAAGGGGCCTGGATCATCGAATCCCCAGCTGGATCACCAGTTGCGATTCTGTTGTTTTTTCTCTTCCACTTAATTATCTTCAAAAGCCAGCAACAGTGATTAAGCAAAAAGCAGCACCTTGGCTATCCGGGAGGTTTCTTTTGGGTCTCCTGTTTCCATCCAAGCCTCTGCCCTTATCAGAGCCACCGGATTGGATTTCCGCGAAGAGAAGGGCCGAGTTTCAGAGGGGGGCTCGATCCTTGAAATGCCGCGGGGCCGACACTTGGGGCTTGTCTCTCAACTTGGGAACCCCAGTCCAGCTCCGTTTTTTCTTTTTTAGGCTTTCTGGCGTTTTTTTTTTTTTTTTTTTTTTTTTTTTTTTTTTTTAAATGGTTTGGTGGTTGGATTTGGTTTGGTGGTTGGATTTGGTTTGGTGGTTTTTTAATTGGTTTGGTGGTTGGATTTGGTTTGGCGGTTTTTTAATTGGTTTGGTGGTTGGATTTGGTTTGGTGGTTGGATTTGGTTTGGTGGTTGGATTTGGTTTGGTGGTTGGATTTGGTGTGGTGGTTGGATTTGGTTTGGTGGTTGGATTTGGCTTGGCGGTTTTTTGTTGGTTTGGTGGTTGGATTTGGTTTGGTGGTTGGATTTGGTTTGGTGGTTGGATTTGGTTTGGCGGTTTTTTGTTGGTTTGGTGGTTGGATTTGGTTTGGCGGTTGGATTTGGTTTGGTGGTTGGATTTGGTTTGGCGGTTTTTTGTTGGTTTGGTGGTTGGATTTGGTTTGGTGGTTGGATTTGGTTTGGTGGTTGGTTTGGTGGTTGGATTTGGTTTGGTGGTTGGATTTGGTTTGGTTGGGTTTGGTGGTTGGATTTGGTTTGGCGGTTGGATTTGGTTTGGTGGTTGGATTTGGTTTGGCGATTTTTTGTTGGTTTGGTGGTTGGATTTGGTTTGGTGGTTGGATTTGGTTTGGTGGTTGGATTTGGTTTGGCGGTTTTTTATTGGTTTGGTGGTTGGATTTGGTTTGGTGGTTGGATTTGGTTTGGTGGTTGGATTTGGTTTGGCGGTTTTTTATTGGTTTGGTGGTTGGATTTGGTTTGGCGGTTTTTTGTTGGTTTGGTGGTTGGATTTGGTTTGGCGGTTGGATTTGGTTTGGTGGTTGGATTTGGTTTGGCGGTTTTTTGTTGGTTTGGTGGTTGGATTTGGTTTGGTGGTTGGATTTGGTTTGGTGGTTGGATTTGGTTTGGTGGTTGGATTTGGTTTGGTGGTTTTTTAATTGGTTTGGTGGTTGGATTTGGTTTGGCGGTTTTTTAATTGGTTTGGTGGTTGGATTTGGTTTGGTGGTTGGATTTGGTTTGGCGGTTTTTTAATTGGTTTGGTGGTTGGATTTGGTTTGGTGGTTGGATTTGGTTTGGTGGTTGGATTTGGTTTGGCGGTTTTTTGTTGGTTTGGTGGTTGGATTTGGTTTGGTGGTTGGATTTGGTTTGGCGGTTTTTTATTGGTTTGGTGGTTGGATTTGGTTTGGTGGTTGGATTTGGTTTGGCGGTTTTTTATTGGTTTGGTGGTTGGATTTGGTTTGGTGGTTGGATTTGGTTTGGTGGTTGGATTTGGTTTGGCGGTTTTTTAATTGGTTTGGTGGTTGGATTTGGTTTGGTGGTTGGATTTGGTTTGGTGGTTGGATTTGGTTTGGTGGTTGGATTTGGTTTGGTTGGGTTTCCGTATTTAGCCCCACTAAAGATCAGTCAAACTTTTAGTAGGGGATCTGAATACGGACCGCCCAGTCAAGATGGGGGCTGGACCTGTAACATGGCAACGTGTTTTTCCCCTTTGGGCTTCCCAGAAACAACCAGCCAAAGCAAGGCTTTCCCAGAAAAGACACGGTTTGGTTGCCCGGCTTCTTTTCCTCGGGTCTAGACATCAGGAAGCCACCTTTTTTTCGGAGGTTACTTAAAGGGGCAGGGTACTTAGGAAGTGGTTAGTAAGCCCGGTTATAACTCACTTAGGAGACTTATCACCATGGTAGGTGGGAGATAGTTATTACCCACTCTATTCGATTACCCACTCTATTCGGGTGAGAGTGGCATGCCATTTGAAAGTTCGGGAGATGCTCAATCATAGGTGTCCTTTTTGGTTGTTTTGCTAGAAAAACAGATGGCGATTCCTGGTTTACCCGGTGGTTTAATCATCTACCAGGGCCATTTATTTCCCTAGAAGGAGCACCTATGCGCATGATGTTGGTTGTTGTTTCGGCAAGTTCTACCATGTGTTTTGCAATTTGAATATATTGACGTCGCCTACCCGAGATTCTCCCCTCAAAGCATCCAACTTGGAATGTGTCAAAACGAGTGCATATAAATCCACCACAAAAAAAAGACACTGATTTTGAGCATATTCCACCTGGTTCCGATGTGCAAGCTGGCTTCTAAAAAACATATCACGCTCTCCAAACATGGGAATGGGACCGCGAATCAGGTGTTGAACGTTTCTCTCGGGCTTTGCTTGTAAACACCCAACGTGTAACTCCCCAAAGTGACCTTCGCTGTTCTTGGATCAAGTTTCGTTTTCCCTCTTTTGTGTTCTGTTCATCTCCAAAAACGGACTCGGTTTTTTGATACCGCACGTTTGGGTTGTGACTGGTTTCCCTCGTTTAGTCCATTTGCTGAAGCATGTGTTTTATGTTTTCCCTGTCGGATTCAAAGCGAATCTGTCACTACTGGAAACTTGTTTTCATATTTTCCATTGGACTCCAGCAAATGGAGGGTTTCCTTTTGGTTTCCCTTCGAAACTCCACCAAAGCGAGCCCCGCAAAAACGCCCCCGCGGTCGCAAAATCGCGTTCGCCGTAGGACGGATGGCTGTGCTCAGTTGGACGCCAACGCGGCTTGCCCAAGTGAGAGACGGGCCTTTTCTGCTCGCGCCCATTTTCCGAGTGCACGGGCTTGAGCCATTTTTTGTGTCCGTTTTAGCTGAGTTTGGCGAAAAATCGAGTTCCAAGGCCACCCATGCTTGAGCCATTTTGGTTTTGGGGTTTGGCCAAAGTTTTCGTCTTAGTACACCAGTTCCTATGACCTGGTTTGGCCAGTCTACTCAAGAAGTGAGGTGAGGTGAGGTGAGGTGAGGTGAGGTGAGGTGAGGTGAGGTGCGTGCGTGCGTGCGTGTGTGTGCGTGCGTGCGTGCGTGCGTGCGTGCGTGCGTGCGTGCGTGCGTGCGTGTGTGTGTGTGTGTGTGTGTGTGTGTGTGTGTGTGTGTGTGTGTGTGTGTGTGTGTGTGTGTGTGTGTGTGTGTGTGTGTGTGTGTGTGTGTGTGTGTGTGTGTCTGTGTCTGTGTCTGTGTCTGTGTCTGTGTCTGTGTCTGTGTCTGTGTCTGTGTCTGTGTCTGTGTCTGTGTCTGTGTCTGTGTCTGTGTCTGTGTCTGTGTCTGTGTCTGTGTCTGTGTCTGTGTCTGTGTCTGTGTCTGTGTCTGTGTCTGTGTCTGTGTCTGTGTCTGTGTCTGTGTCTGTGTCTGTGTCTGTGTCTGTGTCTGTGTCTGTGTCTGTGTCTGTGTCTGTGTCTGTGTCTGTGTCTGTGTCTGTGTCTGTGTCTGTGTCTGTGTCTGTGTCTGTGTCTGTGTCTGTGTCTGTGTCTGTGTCTGTGTCTGTGTCTGTGTCTGTGTCTGTGTCTGTGTCTGTGTCTGTGTCTGTGTCTGTGTCTGTGTCTGTGTCTGTGTCTGTGTCTGTGTCTGTGTCTGTGTCTGTGTCTGTGTCTGTGTCTGTGTCTGTGTCTGTGTCTGTGTCTGTGTCTGTGTCTGTGTCTGTGTCTGTGTCTGTGTCTGTGTCTGTGTCTGTGTCTGTGTCTGTGTGTGTGTGTTGCATGTCTGTGTGTGTGTGTCTTTGTTTTGAGGGTGCCCTTTTCACTTTGGCTTAAAGGAAACCGAAAGACAACAATTTTGCAGGCCCACGAACTTATTTTGACACACACCCATCCTTTTCCTTGTAGTTTCAGCATCACACGGTTGTTGTTGGGAAACGTTTTACATTTTTGCTTATTGTGGTTTAGTGGTTGAAATCCAACCACTTAATAGCCAAAATTCGAGAATTTTTGCTCCCCTAACCCAACGTCAACCAAGCCAAGGAGCTCGGGGTTTGCCCATTTGCCTTTAAAGAGGCTGTCAGCACATGATAGCCTGGAGATGTAACATGGAACCCCACAATTGACGATATCATTGGAGGAAGCTCAGTTTGGGGGACACCCGGTTTCCTTGGGATGGTCTTTGTAGCTTGGGGCCTTAGTGGCAACTCTCACGTGAATTTGGGTGGCTCCTCTCCTTTGAAGTTGGATATTCCCCTCTATCCGAAAGTGTCCAACCTTCAGAGACTCAGATTTTGTGGGGTCGAAGGGATATTTTTCCGAGGGCACCTTGAGGATGTATGCCTTGATTTCCTTAGAGCTGAAGAGGTACGCCCTGATGAAACATCCCCCCTGTTTACCACGGCGTTTCCTTTTCTTTCTTTATACCAACCCTAAAAAAGGTGGCCTCAAAAACATACTGTGGAGGGACAAGATCCTGCACCACTGTTCAGCAACCCTTGTTTTTGATTCGATTCCCCACTGTAAATACCCGACACGCGTTATGGTTTCAACCATGGGTGTCCATTCGAAGGCGCAAAAACGATGCCGCAACCATCCACAGTAAAATGTCCTTTTGTTGACTCAAACCATTCGCCACTTTCGGATTGAGGTAAAGCCATGACCAATTCAGAGCAGGGGAGCCATGGTCAAGTGCGAATGGCCCAAGCTCAAAGGGTACCGTTATCAGACTCCTTCGGCCATGGCTCCGGAGGTTCTCACGCTTCGGTCGAAATCTTGTTGAGACCGAAGGGCTTGCGCGCCTTTTTGGGTCCCTCCCTTGACCAAACCACATCGAGCAATTGTGTGTCAAAAGACTGTTGATGGTTGAGACATCCGAATGTCGCACCACCTAAAGGAAACCCATGGTTGAAACCATGGTGTTGGTTGGGTATTTACGTTGGGGAATCGAATGAGTATCAGGGTTTCTGGGCTGGTGCGAATTGGATTTCGTCCATCCACTGTAGGGGGACCCCCAAAATGCGGATTTATCTTCCGAATTGGTTTCCCTTTACCCTGACGTTCGGGGGGTGGCTTGGACCATTTCCTTTTACAGGGACCGTCAAAAGGTAGAAGGGTGAAAGCAACCGAAAGGGGTACCCTTCGCCTCAAAAGAGACGCCGAAGCACCAAACCGAAGCACCCGTGGCGAAATCGACATTTCGACCCGCGCGAAGTCTGAAGTCGTTTCTGAGGTGTCTGCAGACTTGGTGACGGCGCACGACGGCTCGGCCTCCTATGTCAGAAAGGACTGGATCCCCAGCCCCCGAAAACATGGAAGGGGAGGGGGGGGGGGGGAGGAGGGGAGAGGAGGGGGAGCGGAGTATCTCCAAAATGGAATAAAATTCCTCTTGACATAGGAGTGGGGGACTCCCGGAGGGGGGACATTGATTGTTGGATGGCAATCCCCACGAAAATTCCACATGTGGAGTATCCCCTCCCTACCCCACCCAAATGGGAAGGACATCGACCCCTGGATTTCCATTTATGGTAAGGTAGGGATGCTGGAGTTCTCCAGGGGCTTGAACGAGCCTTTCCCTTTCAGTTCCCGGTGGTTGCAGTTTCTGTTTGGTTTCATTCCTGCTTTGGTTTGCCTCCATTCGGCCCGCCATGTTTGAAGCCATCCAAGCTAGCTTAAAACAAAAAGCCACCTGAGCCACAATCAAACCCCGTGTAGGTGAAGTGTTCGTAAGGGATACTCCCAACCAGAATTAGATGCAGCCGCCTGTTCAACTCTTTACGTGGTTCTGGCTAGACCATTTTAATACCAGTGTTGATTGTGACTCACAGTCACTCCTGGAATTCAAAGGGCTCTTTTCTTTGTAGCAATCTGTTTGACCAAGCAACCAAGCGCAATCGCAAAAGAGATCGATCCTCGTTCAAGAAGTTTCAGGCATTCCAACGCTTGGTTTCAACCAAGCATGATACTGTGGATGGACGAAATCAATTTCACACTACCTTTCAGAAACCCTGGAATGATTCGATGCCCCAACGCAAATACCCAACCAACGTTATGGTTCCAACCATGGGTTTCCTTCAGGTGGTGCGAGAAGCCGCTGCCGCAACCATCCACAGTATGGGTCTGTGCCAGAATGGGAGGGAATGGTCCTGAATGGATTCCCTCAGACTGCCATGGTCAAGCCACCGCTTTCAGCTTGGTGCTCAGTAGGGAATGACCGGCCCAGTGTTTGGGAATGAACCTAGGGATTCCCTTAAAGGCAATACCATGAAGATGGTTTCTAGGGGTCGTTCCCTCATTTCGTGCTGAGAACCAGCACGCTATAATATCGTATTTTCTTTTCATAGAATCGGGTTTTGCTGGCGAGTGCTCAGCAGGAAATGCGAATTGGAATGACCCCGAGAAAAACCATCCTCTATTTTCCTCACTGAATCCCCTTCCAGTTCATTCCCGACTCCCGGAACGGTTACTCCCTTTCGAGCACCAGCAAGTCTTAGACCAACGTGAAACATCTTCTTCCGCCAGAAATGTGCTGTTTTATGGACTCACCTCAATGGGGGGGGGGTAGGTACACGGAAAATTTGAGATACTTGAGAGCCCGGTTTTCGTGTTCCTTAGGGTTTGGGAGCCTTCGGGAACCCCGGGCCGCCAGTCCATTTGTGGTTTTTCCGGTCGCGGGGGTGCCCCACAAATTCCCATCCTCCGATTTTGTCCAGGACGTGTCGTTCCAGATCACCGCCGGCGCCCCGAAAAACGGCGGAGGGCGAAAAAACGAGCGACGGGAGGGCAAGTCGTGCCCGTTTGAGTCGGAGTCGGGCCTGCACCTTCGAAAACTCTGGAAAGGTTCAATTCTCTTGCAAATGCCACTACCAAACAAGCAATGGTTACCCATGGCTTCAAAGTGGTGCGAAATGGGTTTTGTCCATCCACATAATTTCTTCTTGTTGGCTTGAAACATGAGCTTTTGGTTGTCAATTCACACAATCTGAACCGAGTTTCCTTTGTTGTTTTGGGAATGCGTTTGGGATCCCCTCAAAGAACATCACAAGGAAGGGTTTGCCTTGAAACCATAACCATTCGCTAACCAACTTGGCTGAGGGTCAAAACCAATGGGACCCCATTTGTGGGTAGGTGAATTCACCACCCATGTTAGTCTATTTTCGTGGTTGGATTGGGATGCTCACTGGGGGTACGGACTTTGGATTTTGACCCATGGCCACTTGTGGACCGGCAGTTTTGGAAGACTTTCGTCTTCAGAAAGCCTTCTATCGGGTTTTTGTATTACACCCTGGGATTACACCCACTAGGTATTGACCCCTGGAATGGTTCAACAAATCACACGGTTTTTCATCCGGGAAATGTGCCTAAATGGGGTCAATACCCAGTGGGTGTATTCCCAGGGTGTAATACAAAAACCCTTAGATGTCCACTTCCATGATTGGAACGAGGGGTATTCATTGCTTGAGGTTAACTTTTCTGGTCGTGTGCAAGCGGCACGTGTCGCGCAGGATCAGTTTCTATCTTGGTTGCTACTTTGGCCCTTTGTGACCTGCTTGGATGCTGTGGATGGTTGCGAAATCCATTTCGAACCACTTCAAACCATGGGAAACCTTTGTTTGTTGGTATTTGCCGTGGAATCATTATTCCACGGTTTCTTAGGTGGTGCAGGATGTCGTCCATCCACAGTACCACAAGAAAACCCAGAAGGCGAACACCAGAACCCCCAAAGTGCCACGTCTGTTGCCTGCTCCTTTGCTGAGACCACCACCACCACCGTGAGCACCGTCACCCACACCGTGACGACGACGGAAGCTTGGCAGCGACCCTTCAGGTCTTGCGCCTGTTCTCCTAAGTGGCTGTGGCTCAAAAAACCGGTACCGAAATGTGCAAAGATGGGCCAAAACCTGCGGATAGCTGCGGTTTGCCCATCCTGTTCAATTTTGAGCCACACCCGAGTGGGTTGCGGCTAGTTCTCATATTTGTCACCCATGGAAAGTCCGACTCTCACGAGCCTTGGACTCAGCCCAGGACGGGCCTAGCACGACAATCTCGAGCACTGTGACCGTGACCACCGTGACCATGACCACCGCGACAGCCACGGTGACGACGAAGACGGCCACAAGTACCGAGGGTCCTTTGGATCCCAACGCGTGAGGAGCTTAGGTGAGCGATAGACTGCGTGAGATGTGTTAGATGTGTTAGACGCCTTTGGGGGTTGGGACACCCTGTTCAACTCCCCTGAGGTCTCCTCCAAGTTTTCATGATATATTTCAGGGACTAACCCTTTAGCATGATCCGAGAGAATGCTTGTCTGCGTGCTCCAGATGTGGCCCAAGGTTGTGTTTGGGAATCTTCGTGCCTTCCTTTCAGTCAGAGCTCTGCCTCCCAATGCCAGAGTCATGCCCATAGGTGTCCTTTTTAGGTTAGTTTGGCTAAAAATAGATGGCACTGGTTTGGATGGGTACCAGCGCCATCTATTTTTCCAAAAGCCCACCTATGCTCATGCCGGACATGTCGAACGAGATGCGGCCGAGGACCACTGTCACGACCACAACCACCACCACAACGACCACCACCACCACGACCACCACAACCACGACCACCACCACCCTCGACCCCTTGAAAATGGAGGCAGGCCGCAGTCTCGGAGAGGACTCGCCACCGGCTGAAAGGGCAATTTCCGCTCGCTGACAAGGACTCGTAGGGAAACGGAGACAAGGACATGGACCTGCCTGGCTGATTGCTTTGCTTACCACTTTTTTTGTGTCTTGAGGGACTGGGGGTGTAATGTTTGGGAAGAGAATGTAAGCACCCTTGTGTAATGTAACTTTTTTGATGGCGTTGCGGTGTACTGCAAAGCCATTTCTTTGTCACGGTCGTAGGACAACCTAGGTCCCCCGTAGTGCCCTTTTACCCTTTTTTTGGGCGGGGTTCCCTGCTACAATAGACTACAGAACAAAGTTGGTACCCGTATTCTAGCCTCTCTACTGGAGGACCTAGCAACAGTTGGTAATGATTAGCACTTTGGGGTTGACCATCCACCAGCAAGACGGAGAAATCTCCAGGAATCGGCCCCATCGCGCTTCGGTCAAAAGGAGCCCCAACAGTGGGCGGGGGATTTCCTTGCAGCCCTTTCTTCTGGGTGCTTGGAGTTACCTTTCTTTGGTTTCTGGGTTTTGCTTGGAGTTACCTTTCATCGGTTTTATAGTGGATCCTATGATTGCCGACGTGTTTCTTTGGTGGGTGTTTATACCCGGCCCCTGAGGCGACCTTTTGTTGGGGGGGTCCTTAAGACACCACCTGCCACGGCGCACGGCTCGCGGCTCGCGGGTTCTTTCGCCAGGTGCTGCTGCCGAATGTGGCGGTCGGGGCACCTGTTTCACCGCCGGTTTCACGCGCTGGACTTCTATTGGGCAACGGATCTTTAGACCTTAACTTTCTGGGAATAACCCAAAGGGAAATAAAGGTGTTTATTGCTTTTACTATTGGCTTTACTATTGGTGTATTGGTTTTTGGTTGAAATAAAGTTGTGTTTTCCACTAACCCCCCCAACAAGTTGTCCACTTTTTGCAGGGGGGTCACCAGCAACCGTGGGCGCCATCTTCGCTTTTCTTCTAGGAAAGGGAGATGGGGGCTTTTTCGATGTTCGTTTTTCCAGACCCCCCCCCCAGTTAAACCCACAACAAGCATAATGTGGAGAATTTCACGGGAACCTCACGGAGAAGGTTTGAACAACGACAGGTCTCTTTTTGAGCGTACCCTTTTTTGGCTTGGTTTCAAGGAAACCCCAAAGGAAAACCAACCATTTTGCGGGTCCCCCTATAGTCAAGCCCGTTGAAGCATGTATCAGCAGGGGATCTCGGTGCTATCGGTGCTTTTATGTTACAGGGACCTGTTTCTCCAACTCAAAGGCTTGCGTTTGCACACAAAGTATTGTGTTCCCCCCGAAATCATGGGCCTGTCTTTTGTTGCTGGGGTGCCCCCTTTTTTGTCGTGCAAAAGGGAACTCAAAAGGACAACCACCGTTTGGGTGAGTCCTCTAAAAACACCACCCACATATTCAACTGGTTGTTCCCCCCCCTCGGACATTCTTTTCACCCACCGTTCTTTTGAGAAGCCAGCAACATTCCCCCCGGGCCCCTGGTTATTGGCATTGTGGATGGACGAAATCCATTTCGCACCACCTAAGAAGCCCTGGAATGATGCGATTCCCCTGTAAATACCAACAACAAATGGTTGCCCATGGTCTTAAAGTGGTGCAGATTTTCGTTCATCCACAGCATGAAGAGTTTCATGGCACATCTAGCAAAAAGCACAGCTGGGGGTGTGGCTTGGATTGTTCGACAAGAGGTGGCACCAACTAAAACTAGGCAAACTAATGAAGGCACAGCATGGATCTTCGACACAAGATAGTTTTGCAATCTTGGGCCGCTGACCATACGGACACCAAGTGCATGTTCAACATGACCAAGCATCCACCCTATGAATTCTTGATTGCATGTTGCAGTTTGTCGCCGGACGGTGCACTATTTCCTGCATCAACCGACCTGGTGGGTTGAGTCGCTGCACAAGTTTTGAACTTTGTTGGCCCCGGTTGCTTTCTGCTCCCCTGCGAAAACTAATCAACTCACTTCCTGAGTTCCTGGGCTTTCTACTTTTTGGGTCCGGACTATTTTAGCATAGTAAGCCAACCAACACAAGTCGGGCCTTTTTTTGCCACTCCGCTCGACCGGATCTGAGGTCCTGGGCGCGGGAGGGCTGCAGACCCTCACCTTCCAGGCCGGCAAGTGGGGCCGGCAAGGGGAGCTGTGTGGTTGGGGTCTAGCTGGAATTCTTGGGGATTGGAGATTGCAAAGAGATTCAGGTATCCCTTACTTAGTGATATGGATTGGTGGTTTGGGGATTTGAACTGGAGGGAAGCTGAAGACCCCCAAATGGTTCTGCCCGGTTCAGTCGATCCAGAGATGACCCAAGTGCTTACAAGCGGGCCCAGGCTGTGCCGGCGGAGTTTGGGACGTCATGTAACCGGATTAGGGCTGGTTCAATGTGGGTGTGTGGTGGGTTTAGGGCTGGTTGGGCTGGCTTCGGGCTGGCTTATGGCCCGTTTAGAATTTCAGCGGTGGGTTTATGGTTGGTTTAGGGCTTGTTTACGGCGCAGACCAAACAGCCAGAAAAGCCGAAACAGGCCAAACACAAGTGGCAAGAAAAAGTCGAACCTCATTAAAAAGCCAGAAAAACCATGATTCTCCAAATATTCAGGAATCTTACAAGAAAGCGGGCACATCCCAGAAGAATAGTCCTCCCAAGGCGGCAAGCGACAATTTTGGACTGTTTTTGCAAGTCCACGCAGGAAGTGCGATGTAGTGCTATCAGACGAGCAACGAGCAGATCAAAACAGGGAATCCTTGGGCCCGCATCGGTTTCTGGTCATCGGGTCAGATGACCAAGCCCGCGAGAAATGGCAAATGAGGCAACCCACAGCCCGAACAGAAGGAATTTGACAACCACTAGGTCCCCCAGTAGTGCCCTTTCTCACCCCTTTTTTGGGGGAGGGTTCCCCTACTAAAATAGACTGCTTGAAAGTCAAAACGGCGATTTGCCAGGCTCGTCAACTTAAAGTCGAAACTACCCATCACAACTTCGGGATTGCACTGCTCAAAAACTATGGTGGGTTTAGTAATCCGGGGTCAACAGGAGGTTTTCCTTTGAGACAAACTCCCATGGAGCCAACCCTCAGGTACAAGATGGTGCCTTGGAATTTGTGGTTTGGGGGTTTCAAGCCCCAGCTGCCGAGGAATAAGCCTAGGCTTTTCAGTTGTGCCCTTTCTCACCCCTTTTTTGGTTGGGAGGGTTCCCCTACTAAAATCGACTACAGAACAAAACATGGTACCCTTTTTCTTCCCTCTCTACTGGAGGACTTAGACAAAAACTATTATCTTTCCCACTGCATGGGAAAAGTTACCCTTGATCATTTGGGTGCCAGGAATATTTATCAACTCCCACAAGGGAAGCATGAAAAGAACTTAGTACATATTTATAGTTACATGTTTTGTTAGAAGAACCAGCGGGATGTTCAATCATTCAGGCGGTTCCGCTGGACGCGCCGGTACTGGAGTTGAATAGGAAGGTACCGCCGCGCAGGCGATGTTTGTGCACAGAAAGCCTGGCATTATCCCTATGGATGCCAACTCAATATTGCTCATGTAAACTGACCACGCATTGTGACATGATAGGAAATTACATTGGGTTTCCTTGGCTCCCTAGTTGCAATCGGGTATCCACCGTACTATCTTCAAACTATTCGACCCCAGGGTCATACATCACTTGGTGGCTCCCAGCCATCCCCTTAGCCTTTTAGCTTTTTAGTGTTTAGTGGTAATTTCCGTATTTAACCCACTAAAAGTTAGTCACTTTTAGCGGGGGATCGGTTTGGGCAGCCTAGATCATATTCCTCTCCCACCCCCTCCGAGAGAGTCTTCCTCCCGGTCTGACCCAGGGCGTCTCGTTTACATAGGTGTCCTTTTTGGTTGTTTTGCTAGAAAACTAGATGGCCCTGGTTTACCTGGTGGTGTAATCATCTAAACCCATCTATTTCCCCTAAAAGGACACCTATGCTCGTCGAGCTTGCCGTTCTCGTTGCCAGGCCAACGCCACGCCCGACGCGGCGGGATTGGAGGCGCGGTTCTGGTTTTCGGGCCTTTTGGTCGCAGATAGGTTCGAACCCGCCTCCTAGTGGGAACCGCGGATGAACAAAGCCTTTGATTTTGATTTTTGGGTTCTTGGAGGGGAAAAAAACCAGCCGAAAAATTGGTACCATGTGGGTACCTATTTTTGACACACCCAAGTCCATCCAGCCATCGTCGGAAGTATGTCCCCGTTGCCGTTTCCCCCCCCCCCCCCCCGTCAGTTATGTGTACGGAACATCCCACGGAAAGGGGGCAGAACGGGGAAGGGATCTTACCCACTTTCCAGCGGTAAGTACTTGGATGTTCGGTCAAGTTGGTAAGTGGTTGCCCACCTGACTTACAACCCACACACAAGAAGCTAAATCCACTCCACTTTGGGGGGGGGGAGGTTGCGGGGTGGGGGGGGGGAGGTTGGGGGGGGGGAAGGTTGAGGGTGGGAGGTTGAGGGTGGGAGGTTGGGGGTGGGAGGTTGGGGGGGGACTTAGGGGGACCTTGTAATGGTGTCACGGTGGATGGCAACTCAATATTGCAACTACGGAAACACGGAAATCCAACGTAAGTGCGTTCCCTTGGTTTGTGGTGGTTTACGTGAGCAATGTTGAGTTGGCATCCATCGTACTGTGGATTGTTGCGAAATCCTCCACCTAAGAAACCTTGAGCAACCGCTGTCAGTTGGTATTTACAGGCAGGCCATCCTCCAGGGTTGGGTTTGTTGGGGATGTGTCACAAGTAGTCCCGGACCCAAAACGGGACGAGGGGTAGACCAAAGTGGCGCAGGAGTTCGTCCATCCACCCAACCCTATTTGGGCTGTTCGGACAGCCAAGCAACACCTCCCAATTTGAGGGGGTGACGCGATTTTCCACTTCCAACGCACCACCCGTCATGACACCCAGAAGGGCTGTAGAGGTACGTCCTGTTTCATCCCCTGTTTACCCCGGCGTTTGGCGGAGTCAAGGGGCTTGTTATCTTTTAGGCGTCCTTTCTGGTTGAAACTGGATGGGTTTTTGTCTGGCTGGTTGAACCACAAGGCAAACCAGGAATCGCCCGAACTATGTTTCAACCAAATCAACCAAAGAGGACACCTATGCTTGTTCTCTTTTTGGGGTTCCTCCCTTGACCAAAGCATAGGGGCAAACGTGTGTCAAAATACTGTGGGATGGTTGAAATCGAAATCCATCCAACAAAAACACACCGAAATGAGAAACCATCAGAGCGTTGGTTGGTATTTAAGTTGGTTGGAATCGAATCAGAAACCAGGGTCGCTGAACGGTGGCGCAGCATCTTGTCCATCCACAGTATGTTTTTGAGGCTACCCTTTCTTTTTAAGGGTTGGTTTAAAGAAAGACAAGGTTGAGCCCCACGGGTTACCAAAACGTTGCCATGCACAACTCGCGTGCCGCACCCCAGACGCTGCTGGCGGCCTGCGGCCCCAGAACCGTTGCCCTCTGGGGCCCTCTGGCGGGCGGCGGAAGCGGCTGCCGGGGATTTTTGGTTTTGCGAAGCGTCCCAGAAGGGGTAAGCCTCAGCGAAGCGCCCCCAGCGCGTCCGAAACCAACTTAGGTTTTCTAGTTGTTTGTTTTGGTTGGTTTGGTGGTTGGGTTTCCATGAAACACCTATTTTTAGCAGATTTGAGGACAGGGTTCCTCAAGTGGCAATTTCAAAAGAACCCACCAGTAAATGATCACCCCAAGGGGAAATCCAGTGACCATAGGTGTCCTTTTTGGTTGTTTTACTAGGGAAATAGATGGCGATTCTTGGTTTACCTGGTGGTTTAGCCATCTACCAGGGAAACCCATCTATTTCCCCTAACAGGACACCTATGCCAGCGACGCCTGAAAGAGGCTGGAAACATCGCCCGGTCACTCGCCCACAAACCTGAAACGTCCATTTGCTTCAGGTTTTTTGTTTTCCCCTCCTGGTTTCAAAGGGAATCAATTTCACTACTGGACATATTATAAAATATTTTCCAAATTAAATTACTTATATAAAATAATATATATATATATATATGTTTATTGAATATGTGTTCTTAATATATGTCATATTTTTCCCAGGGGGCGAAAACGCACATGGAAGGATAGGGAAGCCGATCTTGGCTCGGGGCGGCGCGGCTTGTTGGATGCCGTGCCTGGGGAGAAGCGTCTCGACGCTTTGGCACCGGGAACCCGTTGGTTTGGACGAATGCCTGCACCACTTTGAAACCATGGGAAACCATTGTTGGTTGTCATTTACAAGGGAATCATCATTCCAGGGCTTCTTAGGTGGTGCAGGATTTCGTCCATCCACAGTATGGCTATGGGTCAGAACCCCCAGTGAACATCCGATTCAATCCGGGAACCCGTTGGTTTGGTCACATCGCCTTTGGAACCCAGGTCCATTTCCACTCAAGTCGCCAGATTCGTGGCCTTTGGGGAGATGTTCCCACGGTGAAGCATGCTTGTGGGTTGGTCCCCCCCCCAAATAAATTATCAAGGGGGTTCAAAATTCCTGGGTTCTTAGCTTGGTAATTCCCCAGTTTGACAAGGAGCCCAAAGATAGGGCTCCGCGCAAGGAGCTTACAAGGCGGTATTTTGGGTTCCAGGTCAAGCTGGGGAGCAGGTTTTGCCGCTGGCCAAAGATGATGGAACCGTCCAATTCCTGGAGTGGTGATCTGGAGGTTGTGACTGCGTCGCGTGCTTGCAAGTCAAAACGGCGATTTGCCAGGCTCGTCAACTTAAAGTCGAAATTACCCATCACAACTTCGGGATTGCACTGCTCAAAAACTATGGTGGGTTTAGTAATCCGGGGTGAACAGGAGGTTTCCCTTTGAGACAAACTCCCATGGAGCCAACCCTCAGGTACAAGATGGTGCCTTGGAATTTGTGGTTTGGGGGTTTCAAGCCCCAGCTGCCGAGGAATAAGCCTAGGTCCCCCAGCTAGGTGCCCTTTCTCACCTTTTTTTGTTGGGAGGGTTCCCCTACTAAAATAGACTACAGAAAACAGTTGGTACCCTTATTCTAACCTCTCTACTGGAGGCTGCCCAAAAAAACTGGTCCAAGCCCCAAAAAGGGTTCCCTTTTTTTCCAGGGTCACACCACCAATGGTACCATTTTGGGGTACTAGTAGGTGAATTCACCACCCATGTTAGAACCGATTTTCGCGGTTGGATTGAATCGGATGTTCACTGGGGGTTCTGACCCATAGCCATACTGTGGATGGACGAAATCCTGCACCACCTAAGAAGCCCTGGAATGATGATTCCCTTGTAAATGACAACCAACAATGGTTTCCCGTGGTTTCAAAGTGGTGCAGGCATTCGTCCATCCACAGTATGCCCTCAGTGCCCTTCTAATCGCGTCTGCCTTTTCGCAAGCCTTCGGCCGCCTGCCGTGCGAGGCGGCCACCCGGATCCAGGCGAGCCTCGGGAGCTACGTGTCGGAGGAGCCACAGCGGGGGGCGGGCGAGGTCAGTGGTTTTGTCGCCTCATGGACACTGAAACAAGAAAGGACGATTTTGCCGAAGCCCTAAAAAACGATATAAAGAAATAAATCCGTAACCAAATGAATTAATAAGTATATATGTATACACACATAAGCACTTTTGTTTTTGCAGGCCGAAGCCCTGAAACCAAATTTGCCCTACAGCTTGCCCAAAAGAAGCATCGACAATGTCTGGCTCCGCAGGACCCGCCGCAGTCCTTGTCCAAAGAAGACATGAAGACGGAGGCCCGTCCCATGGACCAAGCGGTCTTTCGACGCGACGTTCGAAGGTAAACGAACCATATAGGTGTCCTTTTTTGGTTGTGTTGCTCGAAAAATAGATGGCGATTCCTGGTTTACCTGGTGGTTTCATCATCTACCAGGGAAACCCATCGATTTTCCCTAAAAGGATACCTATGGCAAGAACAGTCTCCGGTGGCTGGCTGATTTTCCAGAAGCTCGTGGTTCGTAAGGGAGCCGAGACAAGGAGCTCCTGTGGATGGTTGAAATCGAAATCCATTTCGCACCATGTTGAAACCATGGGAAACCAAATGGAAGTTTTCGGGGGGCTTGGTTGGGCCGGCATTTTTGGAGCTACTGTGGATGGACGAAATCCTGCACTACTTTGAAGCATGGGGCACCATATCGTTCGTTGGTATTTACAGGGAAATAGCCATTCCAGGGCTTCTTACATGGTGCGAACGGATTTTGTCCATCCACAGTAGGACCGGGTATCCAATTGATAAGAACTCTTGGAGAGAACGGGGATCGTTAGGACGGATTCCACTTGGATAGAAACTGTCTTAGCTGTGCATTGCTTTACGACATCCATTCCTCACTTTGAAGCCATGGGACACCATTGTTGGTATTTACAGAAGAATCGACACATTCCAGGGTTTGTTAGATTTCGTCCATGCACAGCATGTGCAGTAGTTTTAGTTTTAGCAGTCGCAGCCAACAACTTACACTCGCCTGCTGTGGATTGTAAAGAGAACTCGCAGACGCGTGCCACACGTCGCTTTAGGTAGTGCATGCTGCTCGCTACATCGCAAAGTCTCTTTTCAGTGAACTGGTTCCTAAGGACGGCAGACGGAGCTAGATTGGTAAGTAGACCAACCATGAAACACTGAACTTTTTTTTGCTAGCCTGCTAAGTAAGTCAATAAGTAAGGAAAGCAGAACGTAAGTAAGTAAGTAAGTAAGTAAGTAAGTAAGTAAGCAAGCAAGCAAGCAAGCAAGCAAGCAAGTAAGTAAGCAAGCAGGCAGGCAGGCAGGTAACAAAATGAATCTAAGTAACTAGGTAACTAGGTAGCTAAGTAAGTACATATTGCGGGGAGCCGGTTGTTTCTGGCCGCCAGGGAACCACCTGGTTGTTTCGGCATGGCTAAGAGCCATGGCCACCCTTGCCACCGTTGCCATTCCGCTTGTGTTTTAAACATGGTCAACCAACCAAGGAGGTCCCAATGATTTTTCTTACTTCTGAAGGCTTCTGGAATTTAGGGACTTTCGAAAAGCCTTGATTGGCTGTTGTGTGCCATGTAAACCTTTGTATAGCCATGTTAGCAGAACCAACAATGGGTTTTGGGAGCTGAGTTTGACGCATGTTGACGTCATTCAGGAGTGCTTTTTCAGGCAGGCCATCGCGAGTAGTCGTGCCAGATAGGGTGGTTCATCCCTCAAAAGCCAGGGGTTCAAGTGCCCCAAGCCAACAACCAACTTCTTCTTCTTTTTTAACAAGAAGCTTCGCATTAAGAAGTCCAGAGCTCCTCAGATGGTTTTCCAGAATTGTTGTGCAGTAATTATCTGTTGAACTAGAAGACGCAGGCTCAACTCAACTAAATGTTGGTTCCGGAGTTTGAGGGTATGTGAACTTTGGTGCATTTTGCTTCGATGTTAGTTGACTTTAACTTGTTGCTTCAACTCATGGGTTTTCCGCATGAAATTCCACTAGAAGTTAAACTCACTTTTTAGCAGGGCTTCGCAGATTTCGCCACCGAGTGAAAACGCGGGTTGCGTTCCCAAACGATTTTTTTCGGATTCCTTCGAGGCTTTGGGTTTGGCCCGGCTCGGCCAGTCCAGCGCTGGGTGTTTCAAGGTGGCCCGACTTCAAGCATCGTGGCTCATGAGTTTCCCAGGAAGGCTCAGTCTCTGAGCTCATGGACTCACTTATCTTCCTCTTTTCCCGTTTCTGTTTTTTTTTGGGGGGCAGCCGCCATTTTAGTGGCAAATCTTACAAAAAAGTTCAGACTGTTGGCCGCAATTGTTTTTTTTGCCGGAGCTTTCTAGGGGAGGTCGGTACATCCCTAAGCGAGGTGCCTGCCATGGACACCCTCGGCGTGGAGGAGAGCATCGAGGCGGCGGGAAGCTTCCAGTGAGCTTCGGCTTCGGGGCAGCCGCTGGAGCGGAGCGTTGCGGTCCCATGGGTTCCAACGGGGGTTTGAGTCCTGGTCGATGATTTTTTCAACCATCCGTTCTTAAAAAAAAAAAACCGCTTTTTTCCCTCTCTGTTTTTTTTTTTCCTGGGGGGGTTCCAACGGGTGTCTGGGTGAATGTTTGCGACCTACGACCGGATTCACCCCAAATTTTGTGGTTTATGTGGGGAATAGCCCCCCAACCACCGCAAGTTTCAGGTGGGTGAAATATTATCGTGGCTCAAGCCGTTTTTGATCAGGAAAAGTAGAGCGACCTGAGAAAGGTTCCCATAGGTTATGAGCCCAACTGCGGCCTCGTAGAAAGGCCATGGAGGAGTCACATTCGGCGCCGGGCTCCGTGGAACCCCTGGAGGAGGAAGGGGGCCTAGAGCTGATCGGGCAGGAGGTGGCGGTGATCACGGGCAAGGGAACAGGGGCTTCTGGGAGGTCAGCAGCTGGGCGCCCTCGCGATGAGGGAACGCCAAGAAGAGGACTGGCGACGAGCTCGGGCGGAGGAGCGGCGGGCTCGCCGATGTGGGTGGGCGGGCCGCTGGAGGATCCGAGAACCCTGGGGCCGCTGTTCAGCCCGGAGCAGATGAGCCGACTCAGAGAATGGGAAAAGGAGGCCCCGCTGATTCATGGCACCCCGATGGACCAAAGGAGGCCGGAGCATCTGCCGATTCTGGACGATGGGCAGGAGACCAATGAGGACATGGCAGTAACCATCAAGGAGCTCCAGAAGCAGAACAAAATGTTGATGGAGGAGTTGGGCCGCGTCAGAGCCAGGTCAAGCCCGAGGTTCAGAAGGTGTCCAACGGTGCCAGCAACAAGCGGGATAACCAGAACGAAACGGTTGGCGATGAAGAGAGCGTGAAGAATGAAGATGAGGATTCCTCGGAGCTGAGGCCGGCCAGTGAGAGCAGTTCCGGGAAGGAGAACGCCAGGCTGGACGTCATGCTGAAGCTGATGGAAGGGATGCAGGAGCTTCAGAAACACATCCTGGACAAGGGCAACAAACAGAACGAGAACGCGGAAGTGGTACGGCAAGGAGTACACGATCTTCCGCTACTACCAGAGCCTGCCTCGGAAAGTGGGCCGCTGGATTTGGGTGACTGGTTGATGATGGTGGAACCCATGGTGGCCGACTTGTCGGACACCTCGGGCGAATGGTGGGTGCTGATGGTTGAAGAAAGCAGGAAGTGGTACCGGAGGTACATGGCAGAGGACCCCATCAAGAGAGCCGAGATGTCCACCGAGAAGCCGGAGGCGCTGGATCAGAAAAAGTGGGGAAGGTTGGAGAAACGAGCGATGGCGATGATGGTCAAAGCGGTGCCGGAGTCGATCCGGGATGAGCCCATGGCCATGAGGGCGTTGACGGCCTTTGGGACACTGTGTCGGTTGCAGGTGCTGTACCAGCCGGGAGGGAACGCGGAGAAGGCCCTGGTGCTGAGGAATTTGGAAGACCCCCCAGAGGCTACCACAGCAGGTGAGTTGGTGAAAAGTCTGCGGAGGTGGCTACAATGGCGGAGAAGAGCGGAAGAGGTAGATCTGGCCATACCTGATCCGACGGTGTTGGTCAAAGGGATCAACAAGATGTCGAAGAGGGTATTGGAGGGCAATCGGGAGTTGCTCTTCCGGATCTCCCTTGCCAGGTCCACGATGCAGATCGACTCCAACCCGGATCAAGCTGTGGTGAAACAGGTCCACGATGCAGATCGACTCCAACCCGGATCAAGCTGTGGTGAAACAGTTCGCGGAACTTCTCTTGGCGGAGGTGGAGCAGACGACCTTCGTGTTGGAAAAGAAGAACGTGAAGGGGCAAGCGATCGCAGAGCCGAAGGTGAAGAAGCTGGGAGAAGCCGAGGTGGAGACGAAACCGTGGAAAAGCTATGAGAAAAAGGAGCGCCCTTGTCGGCTCTTCCTGACGGAGGGTGGTTGCCGCAAAGGCAAGAGCTGCGAGTGGTCCCATGTCATGGAGGAGGGGACAAACAAGAACCGGTGCTGGGAGTGTGGCGCCACGGATCATCGTCGGCGAGAATGCCCAAGAAAGACCAGGGCGAGCGGCAGCACCGAGAAGGTGACCCCGAAGGTCAACAAGGCGGAGGTGGACGATAAGGAGGATTCGCCGGACGATAAGGAGGATTCGCCTGGGAAAGAAAAAAGGGTGGAAGAGACGCAGAACAATGGAGAAAAGAATGCGAGGGAGGACGGGGACACGTTGAAGGGCATCCTGCATGAGGCCAACGTGATGCTCAAGTCCATCAATGGCGATAAAGAGACAAAGGGTAGCCGGGATCGAGAGAAAAGACTGGAGGAGTTGCAAAAGCAGCTGGATGACTTGAAGGTTCGGGCCGTGAAGGTCACCAAGATCAGCTGCAAGAGAGGCGGTTTGCTGGATTCGGGGGCTACTCACGCCGTGAGGCAGATGGGCAAGAATGAAAACAGGAGTCGATTGGAGAAGACGGTGGTGACCATGGCGGATGGTGGGAGGAGAGAGATGTACATCACCCCGCGCAAGATCCTGGTGTGCACGGAGAAGGTGGATCCGATCCTACCGTTGGGAGGATTGGTAGAAAGGCTGGGTTGCCGGGTGGAATGGCAAGGATCCTGCTGTCAGCTATGGCATCCTGTGAAGGGAAGAATAGCGGTGGAAATGGTCGACGGGTGCCCGGAGGTGTCTAGAAAAGATGCGGAGGAGCTGATTGAGGAGATAGAGGAACAGGTGTCTGCGAGAAAGGTGTGGGACATCGCGCCTTGCCGACGGACACGGAGAAAAAGGTGCAGTGCCAGGTGGAGAAGGAGTGGATGAGGAGCCTCATGGAGAACCA